TGGTTCCTGCTTATCTGCCAGCAAGCAAAACTACTAGACGACCTGGTTTCAAGCTAGCTATATTACTATTGCTTACAATTTTCCCATTTAAAAATACTAAATAAATCTTTTAATAATTTATTCCAAATTTTTTGTTACTAATAATCTAACTCATTGATTGAGTACACATAGAACTTATCAGAATCCAAGTGACAAAAAAACAAAATCATTAATGAACAAATTGATAAGGTTTATTCAATTATAATGATTAAATCCAATTCTATCTTATAAAATGTATTAGATGGAATAACCACATGATTAAACCTCATTTAAAATTTTATAGTCTTTTTTTACAAAAGAATGAAAAATAAAGTTTATTTGATTTATAATATTTTATATTGTACGATAATATCTTGGAATAATCAAAAGACTAGGTCGTGTGGTCTAGTTGTTTTGCCAATGCTGAAACGTGCACCAAGATATTGTTTCAAGAGTGGTGTTTTCTTAACAGCTGCAATCAATGCATCATCAATTGATTTTTAAGTCTTTCTTTTACCTTCCAATCTTGTTTTTTCTGCTGTTTATTATTCAGCTGTGAGCTAAGCATAAAATAGTCACTTTACTTCTCCTCTCTTGGCCCAGAATCCTTATTCATTTTTACGTCTCTAAGCTTATGTTCTCTTGAAATATAAGTCATCGACTTAGCCAGCATTCACTCCATTGACATCTACTTTAGTGGATGTTGGAATAACATATGCTGAGTTGACTCTCTTAAGTGGGACACCATTAATTTTGAATGGACCTGTTACAAGCAACAATCCTGATTTAAGCTGCTTTAAGAATACTACTCTCTTTCCTTAGAATCTTCCAGCCAACAAGATCAATACTTGTCCTGGTATCAATCTTTCTTAACTTAGCTGGTTTTGGTGCCTTTTTTGATTTTATTTCAAAATACTTTTCTCTTTCTAATGAAATGGACATTTTCATCATCACTCTTGTACCAATTACCAATTCTCACAGTTCTCTTTTTAGCAGGCATTGATTATATTTTAATTAATTTTAAATCTAATTTTAAAATTTAATTATCCTTAATCACTCATCTCTTATACTTATTTATAATACATCAAATATACGAATCCCGTGAGAAGGTAATGATAGCAATAATAGAGTTCAATTCTTAATTTATATAAAGACTTTAAATATAAAAATATTTTGAACATGCTATTTTTTAATACTAAATTCCATTTAATAAATCAAAAACAATGATTGAGCAATGAAGGGAATTTTAATTTCAAATAAAATACAACTTAAATTGTTGCAGATAAAATAATTGCAATAATTTTTATTAATAATAGTGAATTTGCTCGAGTCTAATTCTATTAATATGGTTAAACTTAAAATAATATTCCAGCATTTAATATCTATTTTTTTTTATTTAATGGATAAGGAGGAGGTATTCAGACTATCCTAAGAATTCTATTATATCTATATGTGTGCTTATGTTGCATTTTAATTGAAAATGTATTAATTAAATAAAATAAATGAAAGGATGGTAGAATTAGTATGATATCGCATAAAGAGTGAATAGAGAGGACGATTATTATGATAGAATAAATGCACTTTGAAAAAAAATGATTATTAAACAACATACTTAGTCTAAAGATCTTCTTGAATATAAATTTCCTTAATCTGAATGTTTTAGCTTAGGGTAATTAATTGAGTCATTGGTAAATTGAATGTATTATTTAGAATTACAATTTCATCAAGATCTATAAAGGTTAGGTTTTAATTATTATATTGGAAATCTTAAAACATCTTTAATAATTACATTAATGTAAAATATCACATGGATAATTAATACCTTAAAACATTGTTATTAAATTAAAAAATGATAAAAATAATAAATTAACCATCATATAAACTAAATTTACAATACAATAAGTATATTTTATTAATTATAGACTTATTGATGATTGTGAATATTAAATAAATTACTAACAAGATGTTCAATAAATAATTGAATGTTTAATTTAAATAATTTAAGTATATTAAGATTAAAAGTGTTAATTATTAATCTTAATTTATAATCTATTGAATGAATATAAAAATAATGAAAAAGAAGATGATTTAAAAAAAATGATAGAATTTTTTAATCAATTAATAAATGAGTATTTAATAATTTTATTTTAGTTTTGTTGATTAAAAATAGCAAAAACTAAAAAAAGGATCAACTAATTTATCAATCAACTAAAACGATTTAAACACTTAACTTGTTAAATATTAAGAAGGAGATGAATATGGTATGTTGACCAAAAGATGGCGAACGTAAACTGTATTCGAAAACTTTTTAGAAAATTTAAATTCGCAGAGCATTACTTGTAAATTATAATACACAAAGCATTATTCTGTTTCAGATACTGAGCAATTTTTAGATATTTCTGCATTAACTTAAGATGAATTATAGATATACAATGTTGTTGAATAAATTATAAAGTAATAAATGATCAAAATAATTTGGAATCAGCTCGGAGCCTTCTTTGAATCTTGGGATGAAGAACTAGATTCTAAATTTAACGCAATCCTTAAGGATATTAATAATACGAATAAATTAATTTTGAAAAATCAATTAAGTCTTCTTTTGGAAGAATATAAAAATATTAATTAAATAAACACTCAGATTTAAGTAAATATTGAAACAAATTATAAATTTGATATTTAATATGAAGAATAGAAGGCGCAACATATATTCCTTTAAGAATTGAAGGTCTAGGTATCAAATTACTCATTCAATGATTTTCAAACCTTTGTTAATACAATCAAATCTAATGTGAAAGTAAGAATTAACAAATTATTACAATCAAATTGTAATGTTAGAGATTTTAAAATTAATAGTTGATTTAATTTGATATTTCAAACTAAATAAATATGAATATGTAATATTTTCATTATGGAGTCTGTAATACATCGCCTTTAACTGATAACTTTTAATCGCTTTTAACATCTTGTAAATTTGCAGATTCTCCATGTGACCCAATATCTAGTTCTTAATGTTCTTTCTTCTCATGATGCTTTTTTGCACCATGATGATGACCCTTATTAAAGGAATGTTTTAATATTATTAAATCTAATATTATAGTAACTGAAAAGATGACTAAATTTGCCAGGTTGTAAGACCAGGCAAAATTAGTTAGATCACTTTCTAGGTTTGTAAAGAAGTAATCGCTAACAGGATCTGAAACACAGTTATTTTCATTGATATCTTTAATTACTAGTCTTTTTCCATCTATAATAGAGAATGAAACACAAATAACAATAATTTCAGCTATTTATAATGCTATCTTAAAGGCAATTTCAATTATAAATATATAATTATACTAAGAATCCGGATGAGCTAAATAATAACAGATTATTGTTACTTGTCATACAAGACCAAGCAAAATTGCAGGCAGTCATAGTTCCTACAATATTGAATATAAGACCAATAACAATAAAATATGTTATTGTGACTGCCAATTAAACTCTTAATGATACATAAACAAAAAATAATGTACTTCCCTCATGAATCACATCATCAAATAATTCTCCTCTACAATTTGGAGCCCAAGGAATATAAGTCTTAGAATGAATGGTCCAATTATATTTTGTATCTATGTTGAAATAAGGCAACTTTTCTTTTAAATAAACGACATTATTGGACAAATAAAATTATTCTTCATCTATAGAATGGATTAATTTGAATAAGGGATCAGTATTTTCACATTATTTTCTTCTATCTATCATGAGAGGATAGTCGATTCTATTAGGAGAGATATTTTAATTTAAATTCCTCCTACAAACTTTATCACTTTCAGTAGCTCTAAACTCAATAACTGGTAGATTTGAAGTATTTTTTAAATAATAAAAATAAAACCCTTTTCCTAGATCATAGATATTTCCTTTATTAGTATCATTTAATTTTTGCAAGTTTTTGAAAGTAGAATTTGTAGTAAATCCAATTTCTGAAATAGGACAACTCATATCAGGTGGAACACAAAATATATTATCTCCTGTTCCGCATACTGTTTTGTTTTCTGATTCACAATAACTCTAATTTGTTTGTAAACTTATCCCAGTCTTTCTTCTTGCACATAAAACAAAGGCTAAAATCTCTAGTTATATAACTTACGTCTTCCATAGGAACCATCATTCCAAGAATTAAAAACTTTTGGTTATTATTCATTCACATTATGACATCCTTTTGCCAACATTTCCTAACTGCAAACTCTTCCAAGCATAAACGATTGTTTAAAAAACTCCTCTATATTTACAAAATTTTAATCTTATAATAATGAGAAGTTAAATCCTTAGCTACAATCACATCCAATCATTGTTCCTGACCAGTAATATTCATATAAAGAAGAATACTATATTTTGAAATTATTATTACTTCACTTCCAAATTAACTCTTACAATTTTTATTTGTATAAGTAAATTGAATATCATCTATTACATATGAACCCATATTATCCAAAAATTATTTATAATCTCCTTCATACACTGTTTGATCTCTGTAAGATAAAATGCTTAAAGTCAATACAGCTACGCTAACTATGAAAAAATATGCTTAATATGCCAATCTCACCTTATCAACAGGTTTTTTACGCAACAATCTCTTTAGCCTTCTTGCTGAAATTAATCGTTCTTTTTTTGCTTATTACTTTCTCTTTTTCACTAAATCCCTTTTCATCAACTTAGGATCTTCATCATGATAAACTTGATTTAACACACTACTCATTGGATTAGTTTCACAGTATTTTTAATTTTGCTATTGCCCATCTTGATCAAATATTTGATCATTCACTTTTTCTGGATTTAATTGATATTGTTCTTAATCTGGCAGATATTTCTGATTCTCTGTATTCATTTCTTGGGCAGCCATTTAATAAATTAAATAATATCATAAAAATGAAAGCAAAGATAAGTATTGGTAAAACTGCTACTGAATTCTTAATTTAACTTCCATTTTACTTATAGCTAATAAATGTTATTTATAAAGAAGTAAAAGAAGATTATCATTAAAACAAATATTATAAAAGTAAAGACATCCAAGTACAAAACTATTTCATGAATTATAATGGAAATAAAATATATTCAAAAAATTTAATTTTCCTTTTTAACATCAACATAATAAAATATATATATTTAGTTAATTTTCCTCTAAAATTTATTATTGATCGCAGTCTTTAAGTTAATTCAACTGATGAGCTTGGGCCTATGATTGTTCCTTAAACTATATTAAAATTTCATCATTAGATCATTTTTTATTATTAAGTTTTTAAAATACAATAAGTTTTTAAAATACAATAATAATGATTATAATAATTTTGAATTCAATAAAACTGAAAATAAATTAATTGTATATATTAGAAGCAAAATTCTATTAATATAAATTTTAAATAAATTATTCTCTATAAATGTGTCTTTTTTTATTATTGTTGTGTTTGGAATGGCATTTTGATTTTGAAGAATTCTAGCTTTAAAACAGTGTTTCATCTATATTAAGATTTGCAGCATTTAAATGAATCATTATGCACTAAGCTTTAATAATCAAATAATTAGTATTAATAGTTACAAATCACTTTTATCCCTGCATCCATGATGGCATCAAATTTTTTAATGGTTATCTTCCAAAGATATTCTCTTCTTCTGGTGTAAACTACCACAGTAGATTTGGCACTTCCTCATTTTTTATTTCCCTCAAATCATTAAAAAATGGATGCATTAAAGCCATAAATGGTTTAATTCTTTACTACGGTTAATATCTATTGTAATAAAATTGCATCATTACGTAATCATCTTTTTAATCAAATCAACAAATTATGGGTCCGGCTTATATTTAAGAAAAACTTTTGACCACGGATGTCCTTTAACTTAAGGGAATTTAAAATCTGTATTAGAGACATTGAATTCAGCAATATCAGCTGCTGTAGGTGTCCCCAAAACCTTCATTATCTCAACTAATTGATCTACTGAACTTTCTCCTGGAAACAGTGGCTCCAGGAGAATAAGCTCAGCGAAAACACAACCCAAAGACCATATATCAATGTTTGTTGAATAATCAGTGGCTCCAAATATGAGTTCAGGAGCGCGATAATTTCTGGAACATAAATAAGAAGTGTTAATTTATCCTCCTGAAATGATCTTGGATGAACCGAAATCGCAATATTTAACTGTCATTCTATCTATGAGAATATTCTATGGTTTAATATCCCGATGAGCCATTCCTTTTCCATGAATAAATGCTAATCCTCGAAGTAACTAATAAGTTATGCATTATAATTCAATTTATGCTAATTGTTTCTTTTGTTTCTTCAAATTCTTGATATAATCTGATAAATTCTCAGGAATGAACTCCATAACGAAATTTATAAAAACTTCCTCACTTAATTCATATTTAAAATACGTTATACTTTTAACCAACTACATAAAAGGCGTCTTTGAGAGGTATAATATTTGGGTGATCTCCAAGCAACTTCAAGTTTGCAAGTTCTCTATTTTTATATTTCTTGTCAAGGGGTGCCTTTTTAATTGCAACTCTTTCACCAGACTCCTAAACCGTTGCTACAAAACTAATATTAATATTAAGATTTTATACACTACAGCAAAGGCTCCTTCTCCAATCCTTTTTTCTACAGCATAGCTTGAAAGACTCTCGTTATTTTTCATATAATTTATATTAAAGGAAAAAGAGAATTTAATAAATATAAATCGCTATTATTATACTATGCTATTATTGTTGAACATTATAAATACTTCTTTTTGGATGAAACCACAACTAAAGAAACAGATCAATAAAATATTTGAAATTGAAGGGATATTTACTTGAATGAATGGAAGAAGAAAAATTATAATTGAATTATAGGGTTGTTTTATATTTAATTACGGTCAATAAATGAAAAAATCAAGGTTTTAGACTTAATAATTAAATAATATGTAAGCTAGATTAGTAATTAATATTATATCCAGCATATATAATTCACTTTCGATCCGAAATATTTTACACATTATATTAATTTTTATTATGAGATATTATTAAGAATTAATAAAAGAACAATTTCTCCTTCTTAATTAATTTAGTATTATTAATGCGCTGCTGCTAAAGGCTTAAGAAAAGAACCCGGTTTTACTCAATAAAACCATAAATTAATTATTATAGTCTAATTCAAAACTTTATGGTATTGAAGTAAGACCGTTGTAATTTATTACAGAGAAAGTTGAAAAATAGTTACGAAGGGTTTCAAGATAGTTGAATTTAACTTAATGGAAGTATTATAGTTACTAAAGAAGCAAATGAAACTCAGGAAATCTTATAATTTGAGAAAAATTTCATGATATCATAAGTAAAAATAGGAAAAGTCTAATACGCTAAGAATATAGAGCTATTCTCTAAACTTATTAAATGACACAGAAAAATTTTAGATGTACTTGGCCGTAATTAGAATTTTAAATAATAATATTTTATTTAGTCGATTTCTTTCAGCGTTCTTTTCATATATTGTTATATAATCAAAATAAACAATATTTATTTTTCTTTTCATATGATTTCATTAAAATGGTTAGAAATAATGAAAAAAACCAACTAAGAATAAAAATAATTATCAATAATGTAATATAAAAATGTTAAAAGAATCTTTTGGATTATAGAATGAATTTTTTATAAACAAGAAGTATAAAAGAACAATGAAAATTAAATATTAGTATATTTTAAAAATAGAATAATTTTAATCAGATGTATTAAGACTATCTGGAATGATATAATTTTTTTTCAAAACATCAAATAATAAATAATTAAATGATCTTTATTGAATAAGAAATATTTAGGAATTGCTAAAAAATGTTCTAGATATCTTTTCCATAAGAATTAATGTGATGAGAAATATGTAATAATTACAATTAATTTTCATATTCAATAATTAAACGCTTTAAATAACTAAATTAAAATATGAGTTAAGGATCATAAAAGTAAAGAACTTCATCTCCTTAATTTGGAGTAAAAGTTACATAAAGGGAAAGCAGCGTAACCAATGAAAAGACGAAACCAAATACAAAGCTTTTTTGAAAAATATTCATACCTTTTAGGTAATTGGTGAATTAGGATTTATGTATGTTTATACTCATTTTCTATATTTCACCATCAAATAAAAAACTTAGTACTGTTCATTAAACGATCAAGAAGATATTGCAAGTCATAATTCTTTAGGATCATATTTACATGAATTTAATGATGTCTTTAAAGGTTGGGGTATTATAAATGCTAAATTAATCTTTAACATTCAAGGAAGAATTCCATAATGTCCAGAAAACTATAATTATTTTTTTAGTGAATTTTAAACTGAAATGTGTTTAACCAATATACAATCAAGGTAATATATTGGCTAATCTATAGGATGTTACTGTTGTTTCGGCTACAATTGATAGATTATGTAAAGAAAGAAATGGGAAATTTTAAGTTTATATATCACCATAATCACAATCTCATTTGATAAATTGAATTTTAGATGAGAAGAAGGAAGCGTCAAATGGGTATTAGAAGTTGGTAAAAAGTAAGGATTTTTTACAAACGCTTGTTACCATACAGAGGAATTGAAAATACAAAAGATAATTAGGATACTCTCTTTACTAATTGTGAAAATATAAAATATAAGATCATCGCGTAGTTTCAAGCGAGGAAAACAACAAAAGAGAAATCTTAAATAATTGACCTCTTTTGTAGCAGTTACTCATATATTTAAAGACTTTCATATATATAAGGGGGGAATTTATCCCTTAATTAAATATTAATAATAATTATTTTTTTCAAATTATTTTTTAATTTATATCAAACAAAATCAAATTAGAGTTTAATGATTTCTTACATTACAATTTGATTGTAATAATTTTTTAATTCTTATTTCACATTAGATTTGATTGTATTAATAAAGGTTTGAAAATTATTGAATGAGTAATTTGATGCCTAGATCTTCAATTCTTAAATGAATATATGTTGCGCCTTCTATTCTTCATATTAAATATCAAATTTATAATTTGTTTCAATATTTGTTTTAATCTGAGTGTTTATTTAATTAATATTTTTATATTCTTCCAAAAGAAGACTTAATTGATTTTTCAAAATTAATTTATTCGTATTATTAATATCCTTAAGGATTGCGTTAAATTTAGAATCGAATTCATTATCCCAAGATTCAAAAAAGGCTCTGAGCTGATTCCAAATTATTTTGATCATTTATTACTTTATAATTTATTCAACAACATTGTATATCTATAATTCATCTTAAGTTAATGTAGAAATGTCTAAAAATTGCTCAGTATCTGAAACAGTGTCATCCATAATGCATGTAATGTATTTTAATTTACAAGTAATGCTCTGCGAATTTTAAATTTTCTAAAAAGTTTTCGATTAGAAATTACATTCGATATCTTTTAGATAACATACCATATTCTTCTCCTTCTTAATATTTAACAAGTTAAGTGTTTAAATCGTTTGAGTTGATTGATAAATTAATTGATCCTTTTTTTAGTTTCTGCTATTTTTAATCAACACAACTAAAATAAAATTATTAAATACCCATTAATTAATTGATTAAAAAATTCTATTATTTTTATTAAATCATCTTCTTTTTCATTATTTTTATATTCATTCAATAGATTATAAATTAAGATTAATAATTAACACTTTTAATCTTAATATGCTTAAATAATTTAAATTAAACATTCAATTATCTATTGAACATCTTGTTAGTAATTTATTTAATATTCACAATCATCAATAAGTCTATAATTAATAAAATATACTTATTGTATTGTAAATTTAGTTTATATGATGGTTAATTTATTATTTTTATCATTTTTTAATTTAATAACAATGTTTTAAGGTATTAATTATCCATGTGATATTTTACATTAATGTAATTATTAAAGTTGTTTTAAGATTTCCAATATAATAATTAAAAGCTAACCTTTATAGATCTTGATGAAATTGTAATTCTAAATAATACATTCAATTTACCAATGACTCAATTAATTACCCTAAGCTAAAACATTCAGACTAATAAAATTTATATTCAAGAAGATCTTTAGACTAAGTAGTTGTTTAATAATCATTTTTTTCAAACTGCATTATTCTTTCATAATAATCATCCTCTCTATTCACTTTTTATGCAATTTCATACTAATTCTACCATCCTTTCATTTTTTTGTATAAATATAAACTGATTTTATTTTGAAATATTAATTTAATAGAATTAGAACTAAATGCAAGGCTTATAGACCATCTACAAGTTTACTTATCCAAAGAAATAACCTCTCCCGGAAGTACACTTTATTTGTAAAAGAGAAGATGAAAATTGTTTTTTTTATCAACTTGAAGCATCAAACTATATTTCCCTTGATGTACTCCTAAAAGCTTATGTAAAAATTTTATTTAACATAGTTAACTCAAATTATACGATTGAGTATTGGCTAATGTTTAATATTGATAAAATTAATTTATGAAAAGGTTATTGAAGTTTATAGAAAGGAAGGAAAAACATTACCTAAAATAACATTGGAAAACATATGGATTTATACTGATAATGGATTTAGTGGAGAAATTAGACCATAAAAATCAATGAAGATTATATTTTTGAATTATTAAGATGAAAATGTAAGTATAGAAGAAAATTTGAATCAACTTTAATTTATCAATCGTAAAATAAAAACAATTTGTGCTAAGACTGAATTTAAAATAAGGGCGATTGATGGTAAAAATAGCCATCTAATATAATAAATAACTAATGTTATTGATGATATGTTTTATGACATAGAAATGTGTTTGTACTAAAGTCCAAAAGAAATTAAAGATAGAATCAAAAAATACGTAAATGAAGACACTTAGGAAACTGATTATGAATATTTGCAAGTTGATGAAGTTTCATATATTCAAAAGAATTTTGAGAATGTAATTAAAAAATTAAATGAAATATTCAAAGTGGATTGCTAAAATGAATTGCAATTACATAGAAAATTGTTAACTTGGTAATAAACATTATTTGATGAATTTATTGAAACAACTTGGGATAGATAAGGTTATGAAATAATAATGAGGATTTTAGATAATTTTGAAGATAAGATTAAAAATGACGAAAATATGACAACTGAAATTTTTCATAAATTCTTTAGAAAGTTAGAAGAATAAGGATTTTTGAATTTTAATTCAAAAAAATTACTTACATCCTCAGAAATAAAATTTAATCGTGAATTAACTTTATCATTGCAAAACGAAAAGAGTAATCGGGAGAAATAAGAAAAGGATAAGGATGTTTTAGTAGGGGGTATTGAATAGATGTTTGCAGAACGAGTGTTGGAGGAGAAAGAAGACGCTAATGATTTTGCACAGTTTAAATTAAAAAAACCCATAAGGGATAAAAATTTAATAATATTGAAAGATTTTTATAAATAAAATGCTCAAAATAGATATAAGTTGTTTGATAGGTTTTATTACACTATTAATTTTGAAGAAAAATGGACAAATTATATAAAAGTTGAAGTTTTACCAAGAGAAAAAAAAACAATTCAAGTCGATGACGAATAGTTAGATAAAACCTTAACTCCCTTATTTGAGAAACTATTAAGAGAGAATAAAATTGGCAGAAATAACCAAGAAGAAAAACCGAAGTATATTTGATTATTTTATTATTACAAAATTAATGCGATCGAAATTTATGATTTTATGTTGTGATCATAAATTTTACATCCAAATATATATTTTTAGGGTTATATAAGGATTATATAATATTTTTAATAACATAATCAAAAATGGGAAATGGTCAAGGAATGGAGGAGTAGATGGGTACATTCTAACCTCAAGAGATTAAAAGACTTTACAAGAGATTTCAATTCTTAGATAAAGATGGTTCTGGTTAGTTAGAACCATCTGAATTGTTTGATGTTCCTGAGCTATCACAAAATCCATTAGTGAAAAGAGTGTTTCAAATATTTGATAAGGATAATGATGGTAAGATAAGTTTTGCTGAATTTATCACTGGACTGTCCAGCTTGTATGGTAATGATGAAGAGGAGAAGTTAAAATTTATGTTTAAAATTTATGATATAGATTAAGATGGATTTATTACAAACGGAGAGTTATTCAAAGTGCTTTAAATGATGGTTGGAAATAATTTAACTGATGTTCAATTACAACAATTAGTCGATAGAACTATAATCAAAGCAGATGAAGACTTTGATTCTAAGATTTCCTTTGCAGAATTTAAGAAAATGGTTAAAGACTTAGATGTTGCTTCTAAACTCTAAATGTAAGGAGTTTGATCGATATATATACAAAATATATTACATTCAATATAATAATCCTCATTCAAGATCAGATGGACAAAATATATGATAAACTATTATGCAACTTACTTTAAGATGCAAATCATCTTTAAGTCAAATAAGTCTTTCTGTAATATCGTTTGTTAAAGCCCTATAATAGTAGTGAAAGTTTTAAGTTAAAAATCATACGTGAATTTTTTTATTTCATAATAAGGAAATTTCTAAAGATCAAAGTTTTACAAATCTTCTGTAATGAGTAATCCAAATCATACAAGAAAATACAAGATTTTACCAATTGAGAATAATACTTAATTATAATTTATTATCCTAAAAAAAGAAAAAAGAATAGTTTTCTAAGAATTTAATTTATTTCTTAATTTGATTACGATTTTCATTTCATAAATTAAGTTCCCTTAAAACATATTATTTATTTAAGAAATGATAAGAATATCGACTTGCAAAGGCGATTAAAGCATTGATCAAGATAATGAAATCAATTGGTGTTTTGAGTAACTGTAAACAGAAGTTAGTGCTAAAAGACATGAAACTAAAATAAGAACAGATAAAAATAACAATGAAATCAATGGTTAGAACAAAAAATTCTCAATAACCTTTAGAGACGAGATTTTTCCAAAAGAAGGTCTTGCAGATGTTTAAATAGTTGAAAATTGGAAAATTTATAATGTAAATTAAGAGAGAACAGCAGCAAATGATTGTTCGTGTTAAATCTCATGAATCCTATTTATTTATTGATTTTAAATTTGAATCTAAACTTATTTCATTTCTCTTTCAAATTAGGTAGAATTAGGTGTTTTTGTCATTTTTTTAAACTTACTAAACCTTACTATTTTTTAATACTGTGCCTTTTTCTAAAAATAGTGATTGAACTGTATGAATATTCAATCGATGATAGTTTAAGATTATAAAATATATACCCTTCAACGATAAAAAATATAAATTATCTACTCTTCAAAACACACAAATAATTAATGATCATAACATTATATTTCATTTTTTGTTAATAGTTAAAATACTAGCCCGAACTTATTTCATCTGACGAAGCTAACTAATTTCGTTAGCTATAAAACTCTTTTTAGGACCTTTATTTCCAGGAACTTCTAGTTTTGTTGGGTCTTTAATAGATTATCTTGGTAGTATAGGTTTTAACACTGATTGTCTTTAGGCTTCTTTTGGAGGTGGTTTAGGTCCTTCATCTGCTCTTCTTGCTGTTAATGGTGTACTTTTCAACATTTATCTTTTTTTTAGTGCTTCTTATCTTTTTGCTCTTTCTTCCCTTTATAATTTCTCAAATTTTTATCTTAAAATCTGTCTGAATATTTTTAAAATTTTATCACCAAATTTATCTGAAGGGTCTTTTGGATTTTCACCATAAAATTAAGCACATTGTTTGTATTCTTCCTCTAAAAGATTAATCCTCTTGTCTAGTTCCTCAATGTCCTTTGTAATAGATTCATACCCATCCTTGAATTTTTATTATACTAAATCCTATTGATCATCTGTTTATGATTCCATAGCCTTTTTTATAAAACTACAACCTTTTTTGATGTCTCCCAAATCAACCACTAATTAATGGACTGGTACTCTCTAAAGAACTTCAAATGCTTTCATTTCTAACTTTCAATTACATAATTACTTTCTTCAGAAATAATTTCTCCTCCTATTATTTACTCTGTTTTTTCGATTATGTACAACAATAAATTATTATTTAGATTATCTGATGTTTTGACTTCAGCACAAATGTCAAGAGCCTCTATTTTGAAACCCAAAGCTGTGCCTCTAGGAGTCTTAGCTACATTTTAACAATGTATTTGTACCATTTAAAAAGTTTCCAATATTCAACGTTATCAATAATATCTTTTATAATCCTTATAAATTTCTTATTTCTTAAAATCTTGAAGTTAAAATGGTCATTTTATCAATTAAATCTTATCTATAATCATCATAAACTGATTTAAATTTTAATGATCTAATTCTAAATTAAAATCCATTCACTTATCTAATGCTGTCAATAAAAGTTTCAACAACTCCTAGCAATTCCCTTTGACCTTAGAATTCACTGATCTAAAATTAATTACAAAATTCTTACAGTCTTGATTTCTTCATCAGTGGGGATTATGGTATCAAGAGAATCTATTGCAGAATCAGTCAGTATATTTAAATCAATTGATAATAGAGATTTCATAATCAAAACATTTGGTATCTTAATTTTTCCTAAGACTAATTCAATATTTTTGGATCTGTCTGTTGCGATTAATTGTATTTTAGTTTACACGACTTTCTTAACAATCTAATTTTCACTATTTTGGGTTTAAGAAGATGAAGCAGATTAAATCTTATAAAAGTATGTTTCTAGGTATTTTGTATCTATGTCATAGGATTCCTAATAAATCTATTCATATATTGTATTTTTCATATTCTAAGGTTATATCAAAATCCAATTTAAAGGTTTAGTAGGAACAGATGGAATAAGTTCTTTTTTATTGAAAGGAAATGGAGAATCTGATGGTTTTGGAGCTTATTAAGCACCTTTTAGAGGAGGTGGCGGGGGTGGAGGAGGACCACCGCTTTTTAAACTTGGAGGTGGTGGTGGTGGAGGAGGAGGAGGAGAAGCTACATTTATTTTAATTGGTTCAGCAGGTGGAATAAGTTATTTATCCTTCTGTTCTTAAGCGGTTACCTAAGTAGAAGGATTAGGTGGAAATTCAAAAGTAGTTTAAACTTCTTTAGTTACATAGATTTTTTGAATAGTTTATGATTCAGAGTGGATCATTTACTTTTTTTCAATTATAATTTCATTCTTTTGTTCTATTTGTTTATTTTAATTATTATTAGCATTTAATTAGTTCTAATTATCTTAATCTAATATATCCTTTTGAGGTATTTAATTTTATTCTGATTTATCAGTTTATTTTTCTTATTTTTCAGATTAAGAATCTTCTTTGGATTTTGTTTCTGGTAAAATTACTTAGGTATCTTTATCAGTATTCAAAATAGCTGTTTAAGACATCTGTGTTTCAGTTTATTGTTCATCAACTTTATCTGAAATAGGCATTGAGGCATATTGGTCAATATATCGTTGTAATAAATCAATTTATTATTTCTAGGTTTGAACTTTTGTTCTTTCCATTTCAATTTAATTTATTAGCTAATTTTCAACGAAATTCGAGTTTTAAACTTAGTCTTTCAATAAAGTCAACTCATCTGTTAATGAATTGATTTACAATGAATGTTATTGTTTAAGAAACTCGATTTATTCTTATACTAAATTGTTAATTTAATCTTAATTTTGACTTGTTGAAAGATATATCAGTTTTTCATTTTATTCTTCAAGTTTTTTAGTTTTATCCTGTTCATCAATCAATTTGAGTTATAATTCTCGGCATTATTTTTCCATCTCTTCATATTTAGAAAATAGAATTTAATGTTTTTCTTCTAATGCATTGTATTCTTATTGTAAATTAGCATTAGCATATTTGATCATATTGCCTTAATTTCTAAATTAATCATTATTCTTTATTTTTGAAAAGCTGACCAGTCTGTTATCATTGTCTTCTTCCTCTTCTTCATCAACTTCAGCCAAAGTTTACATTTCATTAAAGACATCATTTGGATTAGAAATAATTTCGGTTTGTTCCATTTCATCATTTTCAATTTAGATTAAGATTGAATCAATGTTTAAAATACCGTCCATGAGTTCAAAAATTTGAACTTTCAAAATGCTAAATAATTTAATATCATGCTATTCAAAATAGAAGCAATTCTCAAATTTAATTCTCCCAGTTTCTTCAAGATCAAATTCAACATTAGGTTTGATAGAATCTTTGGGAGGCTTTTCTGTAATGGTTTTGAATCTCGACATTGAAAAAAATTCATTATCTTGATTTAATTTTTCAACAAGGGGATGTTAGAATTGAGCCAATTTTTACCTTACGCCTTAATAAGTGCATTCTTCAATTTAATAATAATCTTTAACAATTCTAATTTTCACTTATTGAAATATTTCATCAATCCTCTTCCCATTTATGACTGTTTCCAATAATTCTTTATTTAATGCATCAGATTCAGGTTTCTCAACTGAAAATAAAAAGTTAAACAAAAATTAAAGCAGATGATAAATGATAATTAAATTCTTCGTATAGTAAATACTTCGGATTATTACATCAAATCTATAGTTTAATACATTTAAGTTACTTAGTTTATAATCTGTGATTATTTTAAAACTCAGTCATGGCATCAAGGATGTTATCCAAACATTCAGGTTACCAACATAAGCCAGACTTACCCCCTAATACTTATAGCATCAATCCTGTAATTTCTGGTTCTACAGGATGAAATGTACTAAACATGATTTAGAAGAAATTAGATGTGTCACACAATAATTAGACACCTATTGAATAATAATTGGCATATCAAGAATACCTGATTCATGGTGTAACAGCTTTTCAAATATTTTGATAATAACAATTTAATCTCTAAAATTTTTGGAATTTCTGGATAACAATTCCTAAGTTTTCAGTTCTACCACTAATTTTGTAATGAGATCCACTTTGGCTATCAAAGTTACTTTATGTTCAAGAAGTTCATCATTAGTTAAGTTTCTTGACAATGCTTAAATAGTTGTATATGAGATGTACCTTCTAATGATATAACATCTTGTTGAGATAACACTTTCTGGATTAGCTTATCTGTTTCCTGCATAACTTTCTATTTATATTATTCTCCTTTAGTTATCTCTTACATGATTTAATCATGTTTGCAACACAACCTAAATTTGTATTTAAGAGGAATTCCTTTCAGTTTCTCCTTTTCCCTTCTTCCAATAACAATCTGTTTTAATAAAATAATGCTTACTTTGCTCAGCCATTTTTGAAACATAGTCTCGATATCTTTTTCCCTCGGAGGCACTTTTGGAAAGTTTTGCTTTCCCTTTAACCCTTTAAAAGGAAGAAGTATTTCTTAGCCTTGGATGGTGGAGTAGCACAAAGTCTGATTAATCTCTATAGAATTTCCCATAATTTATTAATTGATTTTAATTAGAGTGGGATAATGAAATTATTTAAATCTTTATTGCTGATTCTGATATTCTATTAAAAGTTGAGAGTATCTGAAATGCTTGATATACTGATTGTTTATATGATAACTTAATTTTTATAGATAAAGTTAATTAATCAATTTACAATTTTGCTCACATTCCTAACCTGTTTAAATAATGTTAAAATTCAACATCTATTAAATACAAAATCAAACTTACTTGTTTCGCAACTTATAACAACTTTATATAAGGATCCATCCATCAAACTAGCTAGTAGAACAAAAGATTCATTCTCCATATCTAATCGATATTCAAGAGAAATTACATTAAGTGAATGTCTTAATTCCGACATTGGATGTATTTTGATACAAGTGGAAAAATATAGGGGGTTGATCCGGTAGACTAGCTATATCCTAAATTATAAGTATCTCTCCCTTAAGAGTGGACACCAATAGGTGAGACTATTAGTATATGCTGATTTCAGTTATAGTGCCCATGTTGTTGTAAGAATATCTCTAAATATTCAAACCATTAACTCTAAAAATGATATTGCTCAGATAATACCTGGTTGCTATAATTTAATTTTTGCTTGTATATAATACAATTAACCCATTCCCATTGGTGACAATATTCTGTACTTTTTCTCCATCCATTAAATCAAGTTTAATATCATTCAGGAATAATCCAGAAATGATAGAGTGAATTTATAGTTTCCCAATTTTATCCAAACTTATGACAACTTACAAAGTATCATCAATATGAACGCATTTGATGGTTCTATCATGTCCATAGAGTATTAAAGATGGGGTGGAGAAGAACGAAATTAACTTATCATTTGAATGAATGGCCTTCCATATAGTCACTCTATTGTCTTTTGCTCCTAAACATAATATTTTCAATTTAGGGGAATATGATAAACAAGTGACTCTCTTTTTATGTAATTTGATTTTATGACTAATCTAAGCTGATTAAGATTTGTCTGCAATTAAGTTATATATGTAAACTGCGCCACTTAAATACCCACAAACAAATAGAACATGGTCATCGAACTGAAATTATAATTCTTTTGAATGCAGTTTCTCATTTCCTCTAATAGAAAATGATGAGGCATTTGCCAATTTGTCATCACTTTCTCTTCTCTCTTAATTACTATTAAATCTAAAATATTTAAAATAAATACTTTAATTTGTACACTTATTTGTCATTCAATAAAACATATAAATTTTCACTCTCCTTGTAGATTTTTATAGCTACTTTTTTATCAAACTTCATAATTTTCTTAGAATTGAGAGACTTTCTTTCACTTAGGAGTTTGATTAAGTTTATTGGTGTAAACTAAAAGGACTCCTATTTTTGTTTAGGCCAATGAGGCTTTGTAAATAGTTGAAATGGCACCTAACCAAACTACTATATTTAAGCTAAATATCCCAATCTTTCTTAACTTGGTAATTTCTCTATGTATGTTATACACGAATCATAGGTTAACCAATGATATAGGTTATCCTTTTTCTTTGCCTCTTCACCATAGGCATAAGGCCCAAAAATTAAATTAATCCAATTATGCAATTTCTCACTTACATAACTAGACTCAAGAGCCTACCTATTAATTTCAATAAACTCCTCGCAACTTGATGCCCATGGAGGTAATACTACATCATCTACTTAATCTTGATTCTATCTCTGACCAAATTATATCTTATTAATATTCTTCAGAAATTCTGGCAAATAAAAATACTCAGGAATGAGTTCTCTATAATCTTAATTATCATTTTAGCAAGATTCCCAAATGTTTGAGATTGAGAAAAATATTCTATCAGGTTAATCTAATTTACCATCTTGTAATTCGCAAGACAATGTTGTAAATGGCTCTATTCTCACTAGAGTATTAATTATTTAAGCAGCAACGCTATAATGAGATCCAAATAAAAAGAATTCATTCTAAGTTTATTTCAAGGATTCAGACCTAATTTTACAGTTTTTCAGTCTCTCCTCATTTTAGGAACTAATCATCTTCTCTAAATCCCTGTATATCTCTCTTTTTGTCTATAATAATATTAATTAATTTAAATTACTAAATCAATAGTCTTGCTTTTATAGTCACTAATAACCCAGGGGAATATTGGATACTAATTCAAATCATTAAAAGATCTTCCAGAATATTTGTTGATTAACATTAGATACTCAAAATTGGACAACTTGCCTTTCACCCATTTCTTAGTATATTCCTTTGCTTGAAATTCTAAAATTAATCTAACATTTACCTCCTCTTTTGTCTATCACAATTGTGAAAAAATTGTTCTACTTGATTTAATTCAAAAATTGCGTTCTTCTCTCTTAATCATATAAAACGAAAAAGTAAGATTTAGTGTTTTTGCAGAATATCTCAATAGCAATTTCTTTATGTGAGTATCTCCTAGTTTGAATTTCCAAAATTTAAGAGGTGTTTATAATTTTCTTCTTCTTCAATTTTTTTAAATTATAAGGCTATTAATATTATTATATTATGTAATACTATTGTTCCATATATATAGAATTCCTTATCTGGACGTTCTTAGCCATCACTTTGGAATTGAATGACTTTGCCCTTTTCTAATAATTTTAATTCACCATATACTTGCATCTTTACCCTAATCCATTCACAATGATATAAATTAGAATCCAATAGCATTGATTCACTCTATTATTGATGCCACTCGATATTTTTATCACTCTATATTTCAGCCATATTTTATAAATTCTTGGTAATTTATATTGCATGTTTAGCTGATATATTACAAGTTTAGTTTCTTGTATTTCTTCTTCCAATAAATTAACTTTTATCTTTTCTGTATATGCTACTCTATTCTAATGCTAACTTCTCATTCTAAGAGACATAATTTTGGATTTCAATCTATGGTGCCTCACCTGGAGAATTCCTTCTGAACTCAGAACCATTTGATTTCATAATAAAAGGAGATTACAATTCCTAGGAGAATGTGTTTTGCACCTACATAATAGGTATGTTGAATAATGAAGTCTAATCCAGGTATTCTACATTTTATTATGTAGCAATTTGATTTTGAGGAGCTAATTTTATTGAATTAGTGTTTGAATTTGAACCCTCTGATTCCAACTAGATAAAATTTTATCTTTATTATTCTGGAGATTCCCCTTGGGATATCATAGAACTGTTTTATTTCATGAGATTCAGTTGAAATTGTTGGCAATTTATGTAGTCATCTCTGCATTTTCTTAAGTCCTTCACAAAAAACAATGATCTTGATAAGGAATCGAAGTAATTTGTTCTCTTATACACTCCTTTGCTCGAAGTAGAACCATTTTATAATACAACCTTAACACTTCTTAACTTACAAGATCTCCTTTCTTATGGTTCTATATCGAAATAAGTTTAGGTTGTGATGGATATGATGAATAGGATAATTTCAATATTCTCTAAACTTAAGAAAACTTCAGCCAAACTTGTATCCTCAATAATATTGGCCCCTTAATAGATTACTTTAGCCTCTTAATTTAATTCATAAGTTATCTTATGTTATATCTACTTCTTTATCATGTTCATTATGAAATTTGAATCTTGTATGTTCTAAGCTCTAATAACCTTCAAGACATCTTTGATTTCAGCAATTTAATAACTGGACTTAAATTTCTCAAAATCTAGGTACTGCATTTCTCTACCTATAGAATAATAATCAATAATACTTTAAATTTCATCCACTCCAAAGTTCATAATTTCCTTTTCAACAGTTTCTACCAAGTTTTTTTAATTCCTTGAAAATATTGATTTTATTTAATTATCTAGTAATCTGTTCTCTATAAGGATGAAATTATTGATGACTCCTTAGAATGTTTTCTAGAATTATTAGTTTGAATAGTAGGATCCTATATTCACACTGAGAGGATGTTTTTCAGAATGCTTTTTGATGTATTCTAATAAGAATGGTTTCACTTGGAAAGGCTTCTCAACCTAATTCTAAATATTTATTATAAATTTTCCTTTATGTCTATCATCGAACATAAACATAAGTAAAATAGTCTCATCCTTTGATTTTTATGTGTAAGAGATGCTGATTTCTTACATTTATTATTCAGAATTGAGTATTGCAACTTTTATGAGATTATTAAGAGGATCTTCTGGATATAAGAATTAATTAATCAATGACACCGTGATTAAATCAACTTAAACAATATTTTATTTTTAATTTGTTGTTTGATGCCCACCTTTTTCTTGTCTCTCTATATGTCCAGTATATGCAAATAGGACTTATTCTTTTTTATATATTTCATCCAGTGATTTTGCATTTGAATTGATGAAATGGAAACCTTCCCTTTTGAATTCCATTAAAATTGTAAAGTACTTCCATGATTTATTTACGCAGATATCTTTGTAATTTTTAATGATGATTCCACTATCCTTTCCCAATAACTGGAATTATTTTTAAAATTTCGTTTCAGAACCACTATTTGATAGATTTTCCAAGGTAGCTCCTACATATTGTGAGAATGCAGACTATCTAAACACTTTGTTTTTTTACGATTCCTTAGGTGCATTCTAGATTAACTTCTAAATTTAATCATTTCGAATGAATGACAAAGATCTCTTTAAGACTTCCTCCATTGATTTTTATAAATTCTTATTCTTCTGGTTCCTCATACACACTAAAAAGTTCTAAGGATATTTTAAGATTTCATACTGACAATCGAATGGCTTCTCTAAATATCATCTTATTATAATCATTCATTGAAATTAGTATACCCAAGAAGTGGAGACATTTAAGTCTTAATTATTCTGAGGGAGTTGTATTAAATAGGAAGGATTCAACGAGAACCTATAGATAGATGGCTATTTGCATACCTTTAAACAAAATTCATTTTAGATGATAATCTCTCCATATTACTCAGCTGTATTAGTCGCATTCTTGAGTCTTATAAATCTACTTATCATAGAAACAGAACAATCGAAAAGTAATTCTATTAGTTCTCTTATTTAGTCATCTGTAAATAAGTATAAATTTTATTCTAAGTATGATATAAATTCATCAGCAAAATCAATCTAACATAATTTCAATCCTTCAGTTAATAACCACAATAATTTAATGAACTCTTTTAATTGGTACACTAAATTAGTAGTATTATTAATGCCAGAAATCAGATTGATTATCAAACTGTAATAATTGTTCACTTGAAAAAAATCTTAGAAACTTCTGTTTACTTTAAACTACTTGAAATACAGACAGTTAGCATATGGATCATTCTAGGAAAATATTTATTCCACATTTATTGAAGCATTCTCAAGACACAAGTACTAACAAATTTAAAGAAGGGCATGGAATTTTTGTGGATGAATAATCTTTTTTTGGCTTTCCATTTCTAAAATTGATATAAAAAAACTGTTTCTAGTTCCTAATGAGTGATCTTTATTCTCTAAATACAGAGTTACCACCATTTAAAATACCAGTAAGTAAAATCGATCTTCAGGATTCAATTTAGTCCAAATATATTGAAAAATCTTCTATTTCAGATTTGGACTAATAAATTGAACTTACATCAAGACTTTCTCTATTGTGGCCATTATCCCTTCATTTGATGATAGGGATGGATCCACTATAAATTCGATGGATAATCTAATCAAATTTTAGATAAGCAGGTTCTATTTAATTAGACTCTAATCCAATGGGTAGAGTTAGTCAATAAAATGTAATAAAATGGTTGAAGATGATGACACATACTTTTAAATATTATGGTGATAACGTAAGATAACCAATAGACCAGCACAACTTTTTATGTCGTTTGATTGTTTCGAAACTGGCGTTAAGGAGAAAAGGAGTTTATCTAAGCCATGGATGTAACTTAACCAAAAGTCACGCTTTTGATCATTAAGTTGATTGCAAGTTTGAAATTCGAGTGCTAACCAAACAACATCAAAGATATATATGACCTCTTCTAACAATTATTCATTGTAATTTGTGCCATTTATAAATGCTTAAGATTTAATATTGTCTAATATATAGGAAAAATGGTTTACTTAATATTTCAAATGATAAATCGATACATTATTAATCATATTCAAATTAAAAATTAGAATTCTCAAATGTATTCTCTAAAAACTATCTAATTTATTAAAAGACGGTTAGGCTTTTGGAAATCAACCAAATTTTTAAGGCCTAGAGACTTAAATGAGTTTGATTATTCAATTTTTATAGATTAGAAAATATCTGATATGATGTTTTACCCTGGCTTTCTTCATTATATTGGAATGTCTACTTTAATAGTATTCTAGTGACGTGAATTAGCTTATCTGAGCAATCGCAATATTCTTGCATCAAATCAATTATAAACTTGGTGTCATGATAGCGAATTTTCATTGCCCATTCCTTTGGGATCTTTGAACATAGTTCTTCGCTCTGGAGTAATTATCTGATGAATATTTAGAGCAAGATTTGTCCTTCATTGTAGCATTTAAGCAAAACATCTTTCATTTAATTCACTAAATGGATGTATGCCAATTTGTAAAACAATTTGCTTTCAGGTATGGCATTGTAATCATCTTGCACCTCCTCTATTTGGTTTTATGCGTTGATCTCCAACAGTGAACTCGATTGATGAAGCAGCATTATGATGCATTCAAGCAGAATTGATTTGCAAATGGGGTCTTGGGGTTCAATGATCTGTTATAAATATTCCAGAGTTTTAATTTCTATTTTGTCGATTGATTACATAAACTTTTTGAAGAAATTATAACGAAATTGCTATTTTTCGATGTAAGTGATGTGGTATCCATAAATGAAGAATGTGATAATCACGATTTTCTAATTAGAGGATTAGAACATTGCTAATTGTTCTTAGTCAATTAATATTCTTTCTTTGTTCTGTTCAAGACATTATACAAAATCACTCGGGCATTAAATAGATTGAGCTTGACTTAAATAATTAATCTTAATCCATTAACTATCCAAAAATGATTTAAAATCATCAAATTAAATGAGTGGTTGTCTTTATTAAATTAGCATTAATATTTTATTCGATAATTTAATATACACTTAGGTAATCTTAATCTCATTAATTCATAAAAAAAGATTAAATAAAGTCACCAAACGAATTCGAACCAATCCAAAGATTGATTAATTTGAATGCATCGACCATTCAGATTGCTACCAAATATCCTCATTTATTAAGTTAATTTTGGGTGTTGAAAACCCTATGATATTACACTTAAAAGACATTCATTTTAGGTAAGTAAGTAAACGGTTCAATGGTAATCAAGCTTTTAAACATAAGAGTTATATAAAAATAAACTATTTTTAAAAACAGAACCTGTGCTAGAGCGCGCAAGAGTTTTGAGTATCGCAAATTTCTTCCTATCTTGAATCACAGTAGAAATCGGGACCTATTCTGACTCATGTCCAAGTAGGTTAGAAGTTTATGAAGTAACTCTTTAGATGAACACAATAACTTTTGGGAATAAACCTATATCATTGAGATTTGAATGATCATTTATTTTTACGGGGAATATTTATAATTTGAGTCATTCAGAATTATGAATATTTAATTTTTTTTTTTAATTAATAATGCATTATTCATATGAGTTCTAAAATACAATTCAATTTTATTTGATATTATTAAATGAGATGAAATTTCATTAGAGTGTAGAAATTGTTAAAATATTTATATACTTTAGGTTACATATGTTTAATTACAAAAATGAATAAGTTAAACTAATGTAATTTAGATTTCATTGTTCTTCTAATTAGATATTCTAATTAGAATAATGATGTGAAATTTAAAAGTTATGATAATAATGATAAAATATGATGATATGATTTTAAATGTAAAGATTGATAATTTGTAAATCAAAGCTACCTGCTAATTTTAGATTTTGAGAATTCGCATTATTGTTTTTCGAAATTCCATCTGCATCTTTAGTTGGTGATAGTAAGACACGCTTTCATGTTTAATCCCGGCGTAGGTGGCAAACAAGCAATTGAATCAGTAGGTTAAACTTTGACACAAAAGTGCTGTTTAGAATCATAATAGACAGGTTCTGTGTTGACAAGAGCACAAGCATTAACATTGGCAAGCGCATGAGTTTGAGGTGTAACAATAGAATCAGATTCAGGTATGGAAATGCATAGCCCATTGAGCCATTTACAATTTTAATTCAGAGTGGTGATAGACAGACAGGATAAATAACTGAGATTTTAATTGCAAAGAGTGATTTTATCATCGACAAAAGAAGCACAAGTGCCAAATTGAACAGGTATAGGTTAAGAAGTCTTGAGCTTTTTGATTTGAACAGTTTCAACTTTCCAATAGCACTTGGTAGTAGCCTAACTGACACAAGCTACTTTATTGATGTTATCTAGACATAGAGGGGAGTCATGGAAGTAAGAGGAACATTGGCCTTCCTTAAATTAACACATTTGTCCAGATCTTACAATATTGAGACATGCTCTCATGGATCCGAAGGCAGAAGTGATATCTGCACATTATTCAAAGACAGTGGATTCATGATACTTGCACTGTTCATTGATCCAAATGCAGGGCAATGAGAGGACCATCTAACATTGTTCAGCAGATTGCAATTGATCACATGAAGTAGGTTCTGCTATTTAGACACAAGACTTAGTAGATAGATTGAACACACAGTTTTTGTCAGTAGATTTGATGCAAGTGAGTTTGGAAGTATTCAGTAGAGTGCATGTAGTGATTGGATTGGTGTATTTGATACACTTGGTGCCATCCCATTGGCAATCCAGAAGATTTTACAATAGACAAGTATTCATATCAGGAGCCTTGTTGCAACAATCAAATAAAGTGTTGTCGCACTCGAACATCGGTTAGGTTGGTCCATAACAAAAATCAGTGAATCTGCATCTTAGAGTAGGTTTGGTGTATTTGAGACAAGCGTACTCGTTTAAGCCTCTGATGCAATCCAGATTATCAGTGGGCAGAGACTCTACACATCTGTTTTGGAATTGATCATATCGACAGGCAATGTCAGTTGGTTATTCACAGAAGTAAGGTGAATTGATATTGGTAATGTTCTCACATTCCTCATTTTTGAATTTGATTAGATCTTCTTATTAACATTTTGATGATGAAAAACGACAATATTAGAGAGGAGTTGAAATCTATATGCATCCAAATTTATTCACTACTTTATCACAATTCAGAGTGGCTAATTCAGTTGCCAATACACAATTATTGCTATTGTCTAATTTGCATGGTTGTGCACTCACATTTGTACAATCTGCACTGCCTGAACAACTTTTTGCGGCTTCTAAACAAAACTAATCAAATCTGCAAGAGGCCAAAGATTCACATGCTTATTTGTTTATTCCTCTTACACAAGAAGTAATAGGGTCTGAATCCAAATCGATTTACTCGCATAATTTTGTAAATGAATTGAATTTGCAAGGCACATCATTGGCTTATTCACAATATTCTTATTGATTTACATAACCGATACTCTCACAGGATTTCACTGTGATATCTTTTGGCAAAATAAATTAGCATTTATAATCCTTATAAATACAATATTGAGTTGGATTAGTGATTTAAGAACAGGTAAATTGATTTACTGGTTAATCACATGTCAGATTAGCTAAGTCTTCTACATCAACTTCAACACATCCCTCAGTTGTGTAGATAACTTATTTACCATCTGTTTGATATTTCATACATGCTAATTTGTTAAATGATATCATATTAGATTATGGCTCATTCAAATCCATGGCTGCAAGTACTGAAACGCACTTTTAAGTAACTCTGTCATATTTACAAGCTACTGACTCTGCGGCTGTGCATGTGATTGGATTTGTTGGAGTCAAATTATAACAAGAGACTACTTGAAGTGGATCGATTGCTGTACATCCATTATCAAATTTACAATACTGTTTAGCAGTCTTAACAAACAGACATTTGTTCTCATTTGTGAAGTGTTGACAGGTTAAATTGTTTTCGTAAGTGGAAATACAAGTACTTGTAATATCATTGAATCTACAGAATTCCAAGTCTGTCTTCATGATGCATCCATATTTATTCAGTCCATTCTGAGTACAAGACAAAGTAGTAGACGCAGATATTATGCAAGTGTAAGTAACTGAATCGAAAATGCACGCTTTTTAATCAATTAATCTACTGGAGCATGTCAATGGAGATGCTTGAATATTGGCCAAAGATACACAAGTTTCAGAATCCTCTACTGGTTGACATTTGTTTTAGTAGAACTTACATTTTAATTTTAATTAGACACAGGCATTCCAATTAAATGTGGGATCACAGATCTTCGATTCATTAATAGTCTTATTACTTAAGGTTGAACATTGACCATTCACAAATTGACAAGTAGGTTTTGTCTATTTTAAACATGTTAATTCATTTAAGCCTGGGGAATTGCAAGCATAAATGAATGGTTTAGGTTGATCACCATTTAGACAGCATCCTTTGACTGAATCATAAATCAATATCAACTGTTTTCCTTCCAACTCCTTATAATATTAACAAACAGAGGGTGAATATGGGAATGTTTCCAACTTAGTAATCTAAGCAATGGTTGTGAATGCACTCACATCATAATCCTGACATTGATTATTTGTGGACTTACAAGTCAAATTAAGACTGAAACATGCTACTAAATTGATTGGAGAACTACAAGTAACTTTACTTAAGTCAGGAATTGCTTAGCATTGTCCATCAACAAATTAACAATAACCAGTTGAGTTTAGATAACAACCTAATTTACTTAATCCTGTTGTTCCACATGTTATTTTATCTTTAATTCCAATCGAATTGCATTTTTGAGTTCTATCTCTAAAACAAGCAACATCTTTAATTTCTGAACATGACTTTGCATTAAATTTAATCATCTTCTTAGTTGAATCAAAGAAATTAGTACATGATGCCACTGGTTTTTTATATAGAATTGAATAACATTTTTAATCCTCTTCTGACCATCCACAAGACACTTTGGTTAAGTTTAAACAACCAAATTTATTAGCCAAGGTGCAATCCAAACTATCTAATGAATAATCTTCACATGCATTGTCTAGCCATTGACATGATTACAAATTACTAATTATACATGCCAACTTATTTCCATTCTATTACTTAATTAATTTGCAAGTTGAATATATATCTACCATCGAACAAAATTTAGTAGATGGAGATTTCCAACAAGAATTCGAAACTTTGGGACACCCATATGAATTTGTTAAAGAACAATCTATTAGTTTTGATACATCTGAATCACTTTATTCCACACATTATCCATTTTTCCAAGTACAATTCTTACCAGTTGTCATACTTAAACAACCATCTTTGTTGGCATCCTAACATCCTGTTTACTGTGTCACTAATGAATTACAATAATTAGTGGTTGAATCATAAGCATAGGATCCACCAATACAATAAATGCATGTTTGTTTAGTGACTGGCAATTAATTAAGAGATGAACAAGTAGCCTATGCTGATGCCACACATTATTCATTTTAGAATGCACAAGGAAAATCCATTTATACGCAAGCTTGTCTTTTGACTAAACTAGACACACTCAACTTACTGATGTATTGACATTGATAAAGATAAAAAGGAGATGTTTAATCGAAAGATGGTGATGTATACACTTGTTGGCAATATCCTAAAGTGAAATCACATCCATTAGATAGACAGGCAAGTTAACTGAATGTTTCATTGCATTTTTTCTTTTTTGTATCTGAAGAACATTTAGCACCATCATAGTAACAATTATCACTTACTTTACTACAAACAATAGGACTCACTCTTCCTAGTCCTTCTGCATCTTTACATTTAGAAGGTGCTGTCTACTTGCACACCTATTCCTCACTATTAGGATATCCATCACAAAGATCAATCTTAGGAAATATTATACTTGTTGAATCATCTATAATACATGGGGCATTAGGATTTCTGGACTTTAAACAATTATCACCAATGACATCTTCACATGATAAGATTTATTTTTCATTTCCAGCAATTTCAAAACAACCTCCCATTTGAATATCAAATGCACACACAGATGATAATTATAAACATGCTCCTTTACTATATATGTTCGAGCAGTCATCGTCGAAATCAATCACTTCCTCTTCACACCACCTTTTTATTCCCTTAGATGTATTTCCATCAGCATCTGTGATATCTACTTAGGCTTCCAACCAAGCTAAGTTTTTCAGAGACATAAGTTAACATGTAGTGGTCAATTGGTCCCATTTACAGTATTTCTCAACTCTGCATTATTGTAAGAATTCTTGATCGGGTTAACTATCAGGATCTGGAGACTTAAAACATTGCAATGTTCCACCATACTCTGCAAATTCATAATTGATAGATGCACAGGCTATCTTATTAAATAAAAATTCATCTGATTAATCTCTTAAATCACTACATTTAGTTGAGTCTTCAACTTTAATGTATTTGCATTCATAAGTTGATTTAACAAAATAACATGCTTATGGTACTTCTGCACACATTTATAAACTGATTTAATAGGGTGAATCACAAGACGTTTGAATTCCAGTAAAAGCTTAACATCTTTTATCTGCACTCTAGGCTTTGTCAAAATAGCATTTCTACAGCATTGTACTGAATAAACAGGCATCAACATTGAGTAACATACTGCCATCACATAAGATGTTAGGTTCTAGGGGATCTTCAGGTTTTTTTTACTCCTTGTAAATATCAGCAGCTGTAATTGGACTGCACAAATAAGTAGTTGGATCATATCTGTATGGTGCTCCAAAGACTTACACACAAGCCTCAGCATTGTACAAATTATCAGCTACTATCAATTAGGATTGATTGCTCTTCAATCTCAAGCATTTTAATTTCAGGATATCCCATTCACATGGTTAAGTAGTTATTTTTAGACATATTGCAATATTGACATTGTCCTCACACCCTAATTAAGTGAGTGGCTTATCATTTTCATAGCATAACATTTCCTTATCGTCCCATCTGCAATCTCCTTTAGTTTTAGCATAACAAGCTATTGAGTTTCCATCTGGCAAATCACAAGCATCTGATTCAGCATTCACATCTTTACACACATGCTTTTTATCATCATATCCACAGATTTAACCGTCTAATTTGATATTCATACATGCCAATCTACTGACAGTACCTGTAGTAGATCCAAAATACTTACACTCTACTAAGGTAGGTGCATCTGTGCATTTATGTGTCTAATAAGAAAAGAAACAACTTGCTTTTTGGATGTTTACACAAGCAAATTCATTCAAATTTTAATCACAATATGATAGATTCTCAACATAATAGGAATCTACACTCTGGCATTTCAATTCTGATTTCGACCATCTGCAATATATTTCAGGATATTTCATTTAACAAGCATTACTATTTAACTCAGTCGATCCACAATCTGTTACATCTATGATATCTGGATCCTTCTTGCAATGTTTCCCTTCGTATCCAAAAAACAATGCAGAATTAACATCTGTTTTCATGGCTTCAATTGCTAAACAGGCATACTTATTGAGGATGGCAGCAGCATCAGTGAATATGGCCAAATTTGGATATAAACTGTAGTTGATATTCACACATAGATTTCCATTGAAATAACATCTTTATTGGGTTGACCACTCAATCATATGACAAGAATTCTTATTCATGTATGAACATTTTAATTGCAGTGTATTGTAATAGTCTTTTACTTATTTCTCAATCGTAATATCCACCATGTCTATTGTCAGTTCTGTGCATTTTAATTCATTACTAAAATAACAATATTGTCCTGTTGAATAACGGCCACAAACATGTGAATTAATACCTACAAATTCACTGCAACAAGGTGTTCCACAGATTCCTTTGAAAACTGTGCAATTACCTCCCTCATATATACAATACCCTTTCATTTTATCTATCAATGGCCCCTTCAAAGCATCATAATCAGGTTGCTCCATCTCAATTGAAGCACACACATTAGCATTAATCAATATACTCTTCCCAGTATACGATGAATTATAATCCAAACAACTCTCATTAAATGTAACATATTAATTCGAACATCTATTCTCTCTAAACAGCCAAGAACACTTTGCACTTGCTTTGGTAATTGATCTACAAACATCAGGAGTAGGTGAACTAGTCACGCAATCAGAATTCAATAACAATTTATCAGTCTATTTTTTTACGATTGTATTGGCAGTAATAACTGTGATCTACTTGCATTACCATAAATCCTTATCGTAATAGCAACTTTTTAATTGAATTTGAGCACATGCATAAGCATTTAATCCAGGAAATGAGCATGACATGGTCTCAGTATTCAAACTATTAACACATCCCTTAGCATTTTTTTCATATCTACAGACTTCATTCCCAGCCTCTACTAAAGCACAAGTGGCTGGATTTACATATTGCATTTGTAAGCAATATATAGCCTATACGTCATTCTTATGTTTGATCTGCTAGCATTAATTGTTGTACCATCTACACAATTAGCCAGTGGTTAATACTAGTGCACAACCTATTCTATTCAATCCCATTCCTGTACATTTAATCTCATTTAACAATTAATCATTAACTAATCTACACTATTAAGAATTAATATCATAATAGCAACCATCTTCATCAGATTTCAATATTTAAGAACAGGCTATTTGATTTGCAAATCCTAGGTCTAAGCAACTAGTCTGTTCTTATATTATTGTAGCTGACTTGCACCCAGAACTGGTCCATTAACAAGCATTTTTTAAGATAGATACACATGCATTTAGATTTAAAAATGGAGTAGTACAAGTGTCACTTTCAATAGTCTTTTCACATAAATGAGATCGAGGATTATACTTACATTTGACTCCTGGCTTAGATATGGCTTAGCATATATTGCCATTGAATTTGAATAAGCTATTTTCATTCTGGATTGGACAATCAATGTCTTAGTTAATAAACATCCCAACACATTCTTCCCCAGTCCATTTACAGAATTGGAATTACGTCTTTACATTAACACAAGCATCTTCATTCAATTCTTCACATGATATTTGACTCAATTGGACTTCATTCAACTATTCACATCTATTATTAATAAAGGTGCAATTATCATCCTTTATTGATAAACAACTCAATCTGCTTAGTCCCAAATCATTGCATTTTTAATTGTGTATTGATGGCTTAATACAATTTCCTTCTTTAAATTAACAGTATCCTTCTTGAGAGGCACATACACTCGGACTCACATTCACATAATCTTCGCAGGTTTTTAGATTGTCTAAAATTAGAACTTAGCACTTATTCTGTTTCCAAACACAAGTAATTTTAGAAGATACAATGGCTAAACATGAATCCTTATTGATATAGTCGTCACAACCATTATTCTTAGCACTTTCATTACATTAGTTGTTTTCAAATATACCTATATATTATGATTATAAATCTTACACTTCTATCCTTGAATTTACAGGCAAGTCTCTTTGTTCAATCCTTCAGTTTTACATCCAAGAGTGTTCACCTCCGTATCTGAGACATCTTCACATTCATAATCATTTTAGAATAAACCACTTTTGCATTTTACTCCCACAATCAAAGCACATGCACTAGGAGTTACTGGTACGTTGTAGGCTGATTTACAATTCTACGCCTCTACGAATTAGCTTTTAATTTCTTGGCAATAAACCCCATCCCAATAACATGTCTTTCCCTTAACATTTGCACAGGAGTTTCGATTGAATAATGATGAACATCCTAGGTTTTATAAGTAATGTTCTTTTGCCTCTATACATCTTGTTCCAAAATAACCTTAAATATATTTATTTGATTCTTACACTTCGCTTCGTTCCCATCTATGTTTCTGAGCTAACTCAAACAAGCCCTCTTATTCAGTTACGGACTACATCCTAAATTGGTGCTTTAGGTAGGCACACAGGCATTTTCAAATACACTAAATTGACCTACTGCTAAGACTAAATAATTACACATAATTCCATCGGTTTTACTAATGCATGATAATGGATCCATCGGATAGTAATTGCAAAACATGCAAGCAGAACTGCAAATTAAACTGATTAAAACAATTGATTTTAGCATTTTTTTTTTTATTAATGAATTACTGTATCAAAATGGGAAGATTTAAGCTGAATTTTTACTTTATTTATCAATGAATTAGATAATAATACTTAAATAATAAAATTTCAAAAATTAATTTAAATCAATACATAATACCTTAAAAATAGTATTAATATTTGTCATACCAATTAGCCCTCCAGTTTCCTCTACTCAAATCGATTAATCTTTCATATTTACTATAAATATATACTTTTGACATTGCACATACAATTGTGAATCCGAAAGATCATTTGATAAGAATCTCCTCTCCAACTCAATTAGAGTGTTTCCCTTAAAACAGCTCAAATTTGAATTCTCCATCATTTTTACTAGCAACATTATTTTGTCCTTGTGCTTTCTGATTGCCTTGAATCCTTCAAAGAACATCTTCCTAAACCTCTTAAACAAATTGGAGTTGTATCCACCCAATATCTGCATATATTCCTCTGTCAACTTAAAGGGCACATCCTTTTCCAAGCTCCCCTTTGGAGCATGAGATAGAAAAAATCCAAAATCTACATGAACTATGTAACCATCTCTATGTAACAAAATATTGCCATTATGTCTATCTTTGATTTATAAAAAATAACAGACCAGACTATATGCAACTAAACTGTTTAAAAAATTGGATATCATGGCTTGAGATGAGTTTAAGCTAATTATTATAATTAAATACTTAAAATACGAACTCAAACACTTAATTTGTAGTATATCATTTAGTTTTTTTTTAATCGAATCTATGGATAGGGCATCCTTCACTACTTCTATTAAGCCATAGCCAGGTCCTAAAGATATCACTTCGTAAGTTGTCAATTATAATTTCAATTATTCAATTTTAAAAATCTAATCAAAAGTCGAGATTAATTGCATTGCGAATTACTCTTATCTCAAATCATCTCCAGATTTAACAATGAGGTGTACTAATTTCCAAGATTTGAAATTTCTAAAAGGAGAATTACTTCTAATTCTATCTGAATTATCACAACCAAAAATAGAATCAGCCAATTCTTTTTTTGACATCTTATTTAATTATTTGGATGAGTTAGCCTAGATTGATACTAAACTATTTAAATCCTCATAGTAAGAGTGTGAGACATCATTATCCTTCAGGATATTACTGAATTGTGTCAAATCCTGCTAACTATCCTCAACTTCCTCTTCTTCTTCTACAATTTTACATAGATAGGTAGGTCTATTTCTTGTACAATCTTAGGTTTCATTGTTTTCAATGCTATTCTTACTTTCCATTTTCCCTACTGTTTTTGGAATAGACATGCGACTATTTCTTAGTGGATTAGGAATTAATTCGGCTTCTTCTTCAGGCCTATAGATTTCGAGACATAAATAAAATGGCGATCTACATTTTGTAGCGAATACTTTGCATTCATCAACAACTATATTAAGTACAACATAACTTCTCACTCCCTAAAATGGTACATAAACAGCAGCAGGCAAGCCTCTATTTATTTTTTGGATATCTGCCTTGAGAGATATTATTTTGGGATCTGCCAAATGTAAACTAGAATCTATAAAGTATATTTACTTCTAGGAAATATATATGATATCATCCCAAAAATCTATATTAGAACAGAACCCTGAAGATTTAGCTTCTCTAAATATAGATTCATAATTAGCCAAATGTAATGTATCATCAAACACATGAGTTGAATAAAATAATGTGCCATATGCTTGAATTCTGTCAGGTAATATATTTGTTTATTGTACAATAGGCATCCCTTTAGAAATCTGTTGTTCTATGCCTTAATTGAATTAATGGTTCTCTTAATAAGCAGCTATTAGGAGAGTCTTTTTGTAAACTCTATCTAATGTTGATAAAAATAGTCTCAAATAATTTTCAATTTCTGGAGAGTTATCATTCACAATGGATCTCCAAGCAAAGAAGAATGTATGAGCAAAGAAGAAATCTACCTCAGCAGCCTTAAGAATAAAATTAAGCACATATTCCAACTATTTATATAATATTTGGTTGATTAGTTGAGGAATAAAGTACTCTAAATCATCTCGAAATTACAGTAAGACTAAATTTGGGTTCAGTTTACAGCGAGACAAAGCGTAAAGTGCATTCTAGCCTCTGTAAATCATTTCCAAGATTACTTATGCCGATACAATCTCATCATCTATCTCTATGTGTGAGAACATTGTCCTAAAATCAAATCCATATTTTACATAGTTTTTTAATAGGAACCCCCAAAGCAGCCGCACCCTATTTGAGAAGATGTTGGTTAATCTTTGAATTTGGACATATTTTATATTAATTATTAGAATGAATAATTCATCAACTTCTAATTCTAGATAATCTGCCCAGAACATCATTAACAAATATGAACAAAATAATAATAATGAAGATAGATTTACATTTTAAGTTAGGCCCAACTCACCTAGAGAGACTTTCGGAAAATAAGCATAACCCAGGAATGGCTAAGTTCAAATTCTAAGAGAAATTGATCAGGCCAATCTCTCAAAGATGCTTAGTGACTTTTCCATTGTTTCAGAATAGGAAGAATCCATGTGCCAAAATCAATTTAACAACCCTATTGGAATCGGTATAATCTATCTCCATTCTTAGTTTAACCTACATAGGTAATATAATAAAAACAATAAGAGCAAGCACAAGAGAATTAGAGTTATCGCGGAACCTTCGGCAAGAATCCATACTTTTAGCCTAAGGCTGAAGTTACTGAAATCATCGAAAAAAGCTACTTAGAAGAAGAACTCTATGATGACATGTCTGTTTTAAAAGATAAAGTGATGGGATTGCTACAAGCCTATGCAGATGATCTAAAGAAATCAAACCATGATCCTAACATTAAATCTAAAATCTAAGTTGATGCAAAACAGGTTTTGAAAGAGTATTCCTAAATTATTGAAAAGGTGAATCAATCTGAAATATCCTAATTGAATGTGTCTCAAAATCAAGTTAAAAAAGTATTCTATATCCATTAACTTCATTAAGGAATCAGAATTAAACTTGATGGGCAATTTGGTAGCTGAATTCTTGAATAAATTTGAGATGCAAAAACAGCCTGTTCTTAATGTCTCATAGGTTTTGGAACAAAAGTTAGCTAAATCAAGAGTTCAAAATACTAATCAACAATTAGAACTTACAGTTATGCATTAAATTCCTTGTGATGAAACATTTTATCAACATGATTAGTATAATGATGATAAATTAGAAATCAAAATTCAAAAACTTAGGTAGATGCTCTAGGATGAACTTGATAAGCAATAACTAGTTTATTCTAAAAAAATATTATCAGATATGATATCAAATTTGAATTAAATCTTAATCGCCAATGATGCCTAAACTGTTAAAACCATCATATATAAAATTGAGAATATGATTAAATAATTGCCATAAGAAGATTGCGGATCTATCTAACTCTATGATTATATGGCCAAAGCCATGAAGGCAACCAAAAGAAGAATCAAATAGATGGATCCACAGAATTAGTAATAAGAAAAAACACTCAAAAGAAAGTTTTTTGATCTTGCCACCCAACTAAAGAATAAATTACCGTAAGATCATCCAGGGAGAAACGAAATGATATCGGTGCTTTACGATCTTTATTGTTAGGCAAATAAACCAGAACAAATGGAGGAATTCATTACAAATCAATTGAATTTAGCAAAATGATATTTATTATTTATATGAACAACCAATTTTAATCTCACTAAGGCAAATAATAGTTTAAGATCAAATCTTATTTACAAGGCAGAGTATTGAAAGCCAAAAAATTGAACAACAGCTTTCTCTTCCACAATCAAAGATCGATAGCGTTACTCAAAACTGGAATGCTGGTTTATTATTCTAAGTGTGTCAAATCCCCCTAAGAAAATGCTGATCTTATGAAATCAAAACCTAAATATGGAGTGTATTTTAACAATGCGCTTTATTCCTGTGTTAAAATATCAAACCAAGAAGTTGAATTAATTGTAAAGTTTAAAAAATCTTAACTATACAAATTCGATGATAATTTGATCAATTATGTAGAAGAGCCTAGATCCTAGGATATAGTTCTTTGGATCTTTGTCATTCAAATGGATTAGTTACTTTCAAAAAATAATTGTGATATTAATAAAGGTCGTGACAGTTTGAATTCTTTATAAAACTTCCAGGGGTTTTGCTTTGATGAAAGAACACAAAAAAGTAATTACTACTAAGCAAAGACAGAGAAAACATCAATTGAATAAAGAATTAATACAAATGATGTCAAAATTAAAAAAAGGGTTCAATGGCTTGATAATTTTACTTAATAATAAATTGTGGAATAAAATTCATAAAATTTTATCCTAGAATAGAATATTTAGAATACTTAATAAAAATAATAAGAAGATGAATGGGAAATAAATCAAGAGAATACGGATCTCTCTGTAAAGAGTATTTAAATCAGAATGGGCTCTTTTTCATTAAATGGATCCAGTAAAAACAATAAGTTAGAGTGAATATTTCTTCATATATTTAACAATCTAATCTTCTTTGTGATATTCTTTCATAATTACTATTCTATATTAAAATATAATTGTATCTTTGAATATTAGCATTATCTTTATAAAATAGAATGATTTATTTAGTTTCATATGAGTAATTGAGTTTTTATAAATTAAATAAATGCCTTACTTGATTAAATTTTCCCAATTGATAACTATGCGACTATTTGGTTGTAACTTATAGAAGATATTCTCTCTAAAGGCATGTGGAGTTTAGTATTTTTTTGATAATATTTACAATTTAATTTAATTAAAATTAAAATTATTATAAAATCAGAAACTATACATTTCGTAATTGAAATAGATGAGTCTCAAGAATTAAGGCCTTCAAAATAAGGTTCTTGATTATTAAATATTTTTTGAATTGATTCGATTATTATTCAATTATTAGTATAGTGTTTAGTTCATAGATATTATAATTTTTCGATAAAGATGATAACATAATTAAACACATTAAATTAAGTCAGATTCTATCCAATTCAATTCTAATTACTACTTATTAATTCCTTGAAAATTCATGAATTATGTGATGAATTAAAATATCTATATTATAATTAAATGGGTCAATAGCAGTCAATTTAAAAAAATTTCTTTTGGCCTAGCAAAGGTGAAATTGAAGTTTGGACTGTCCAATAGTTAAAAGTTTATTTAATTTTAATAATCAAGATCCTTTCAGAAGCAGATTCAAGATTATCAGAATAACAGAATGAGTCTTAGGTCCAACATCCGGTTTAATACTCGTTAACTTGGATAACCAAATCTAATTAAATTTTATTTACAGTCACTAGAAAATCTGATAATGGTAAAGTGAAATTTATTGTCGATTAAGGAACTGGGAAACTAATAAGTATATTTTAAGTTTAAAACTTAGAAACTGAATACATTCAACTTGAAAAGGATGAGATTTCAATTTTCGATGAATTGTCGCCTTAAACTATGTGGAAATGTTGGGTTGAGATCTGGCAAAGTTAACCAAAAAAGAATGATTATATACTCAACAAATTGGAGAGCTAAGAAAATGCCCAATCTGAATGTCTCAAAGGCTCTGTGTTCAACCCAATAGTGAAATTATATCGAGAACGAAAGGAATAAGTGCAATTCATAACCAGACAATTGTTTTATACCAATTAAAATGATAATGCTAAATCAAGCAAATACAAAATAAATATGTAATTCTGTAAATCATAAATTTGGATGTTTAATTGGGATCTTAAAGAGAAGGTAGTTCCTTAACCCTGCTTTTTGGAACTACAAGATAAATTATAATCAGACTCTTTATCATTTTATCAATATACTTTAAATTGAGTATCAACTAGTAATTATAAAAACACAACTGATATTTTTCAATAAGCAAATATTCCTCCACTTAGATTATTTATTGTGAAGGGATTAATAAGACATCTATTTGACCCGATAAAAGATTGCATTTCCCCCTTAAAATCAGGGGAAGAATAGAATTCTATCCTTGTGTGTCTTGGAATCTACATTTAAATAATATTTACCTAGATTGATCTTACAGTCATTCTTGATAATTGAGGAGGAATTGTGGGAAATCTACCACAAAGTCTTATGGCTCTTCCTTAATAATTACATTCTTCATAAGCATAGAAGCAAACATCATCAACATCTAAAAATATTATTTAAATCACTTTATTCTAAATTAGCTTTCTTAGGCTTTGTAGATTTTGTATCATCTTCAAACAAGTATTCTCCCCTATATCCATCTCCTCTCAATAATTCTCTTACAACTTTTCCTAAATCTTCATCAGACAAATTTTCTATTATTTTTTCGCCTTATTCATCTTGATATTGTTCATCCTAATTTTAATTTCCTTCACCACCATCTTCGCCTCCCTCGTCCCAATTCACTTCTTCAAATTATTATTCATCTTCTCCACCTGCTCCTTCTTGATTATCATAAACTACATTGCTATCCTCTCCTTTATTTTCATCGTCATTATCCTCAGAATTGTTCTTATTAGAGTTTTTGTTTTTTTTGGATTCGTTTTCTGTTTCATTATCATCTTAAGACATATGATTGTTTTATTATTTGTTTTTATTTTCATTTTAAGATTTCTCCTCATCTTTAGTTCCTTTTGAATTATCATTCTAGTCACCATCATCGCTCTTTGAACTTTTACTTTTTTATTCATCTCGTTATTATTATTCTTCTTCATCACTTTTACCCTTTTAATCTGATTTTTCATTGGAATTTTAGTCTTCACCCTTATCCGACTTTGATTCTTATTCTTAATGGCCCTTACTTGATTATTGAGATTTTGTATTTAGTTTATTTTCTGCAAAAATTTGAGGTTTATACTTTATATTTATGGCATCCTCTTCTTTCATGATTTCTAATCCTAGTAACAAATCGTCGTCTTCATTTGCATTACAAAAAAACAAGCAGATGAACCCTATTAATATTATTACTCGTTTCATGCAATTTATAAATATTAATACTTATTAATTATTTTTAGTCTGAAGAAAAAATTTATTATTATTAGTTCTCTAAAATCCAAAAATCTAAAAGATGTTTCGACATAAAATTTTAAACTTTAACATTGATTTTAAACAATTCCAAATTTATGTATAATTGCTTTATTTATTAATATTTCTAATAAAAGTATATAGTGCTTTAAATTATTTGACAATGCATTTATTCCAATCACAATCTTTGTTATTTATTATTTTCTTTTCAATTATTATAATCTCACTTTATACCAATTGAAAAATATCATTCTAATATATACAATGGACATATCAATATTTATATATCAAATAAACTATGAAACAATATTATATATTAAAGGGAAAGTCTTTAAATTACCAATTCTAAAATATATTAATACTCATAAGTTTATTTATTGTATTTGAGAATGTTTACACAGAATATTAAATAAATAAATAAATTAATATAGCTTAGTTTAAATCCGTTAAAATGAATTCCCTCACTTAATTCTAACTCCTATTAACGAACAAAACTTCAAATACGAAAATGTTTTTGACGCGTTAACAAATTATTGATAAAGTAAAAAAAGAGAAGGAGCTATAACTAATTTAAAGTAACAGAATTCAAAACAAAAAAATTTCTAAACCTTAATCAGTTATGAAAGTGTCTGTAACGAAATCATCTACGCAAAAATTATCTTAACAAAAGAAAACATTTAGTTGCTCTAAGTTTTAGATTAATGAGTTAGTTCCTGATTATGAACTAATATGCAAAAACAGTAATAAATCATTATAAAATCCGTAATCAACATTAAATACAGATTATTTCAACTTTGTTAACACTAAAGCAAAAGCAGTAAAAGATTTATAAGAAAGAAGAGATGAATTTTAGTAGATTGAATTAAACTCTTCATAAATTTTATCAGGATTAGGTTAGTATTAATAGATGAAAAATGAATTAATGAAATCTTTTTTAGATATAGAATAAATGCTATTAAGAAAGACACATTGATAAATAATAATTAATATTGTTTAATATTATACTTCATTAACATTTTCATAGTTTTTACTTTTCTATGAAGCCTTATAAATAGTTGTCTACTTCTGGTTTAATAATTGAAATTACTTCTGTTGAAAAGCTCATTACAAAATCATCCAAGTACTAATTGGAAATATTTTATGATATTGCTAACTCGTCGTGATTTTAAAATTTCACTTAACTATTTTAACTAGGTTAATGATGACTTTGAAAGTTGGTTAGAAATGAAGATATATAATCTTTAACAATTTCTTCAATTATTTCTAATTCAACTTTATTATTAATAGATTATTTTTGTATATTTTCTTATTTGAGATGAGCATTATCATTTTTGATTATAATATTTTATTCTTGAAATGATGAGTTTTGGATTTATTATTTATGATCTACAACAAAATCTTAATTTTCAAGCTAATCCTTAGATTTTGTCTCTATTTTTTCATCTTTTATAATTAGTTCACACTAACATCCAAAATCATGTTTTTTTATTTCATTTTTGCAAATTACCTATTCATTTTTAAGAGTAAAGATTTGCAATTCTTTTTTAGGCTTATCAATTCTAAATTATGAAAATTAATACTTTTATACTGCATCAACTTTTTTAGGAGGTTAGTGATAATCAAATATAGAGACTGACTTTATAATGGATAACATCTTAATATTTTGTTTATCTTTCTCATTTTTAGTTTTTAACTCCTATTCGATTTGTTGTAAATTCTATTCAAGTGACTGCTTCTCTTATATCAGTTCATTAATATTTTCTTATTGTTCTTGTAATTGATCTTCTATGTATTTTGATTCCTCCTTTAATTTCTAATTTTCAGCTTCTATAAGTTTACTTGATTATTACTAAATAATACATAACATTTTATTTTGCTTATAATTGGGAATTCAATTATTCGATATTTTAGAAATAAGAATTTAACTTAAGTTAGTTTTGTTATTGAACTTTAGTTAATTCTAATAATTTTTTATCTTTCTCTTATAGCTGTTAATTAAATTGTTGTTAGATTGTCTTAATGTCATCATTTTGATTTTCATTTTGATTTAACTATTTTCTATAAGACGATGGCTAGTTTCCTTTCATCAACTACTCTTATTATTTCTTTCCAATAATCTAAAGTTTTTCGAGCTCTCTCTGTAAGTTATCATTTAATAGCTTTAGTTTATTAATCTCTCCCTTCTACTCCTAGATTTTAGATAAATAACTAATAATCTAATTTTTCTTCGGTTCAGATCCTCTTGGCAAAGCTTCTTCAAGAAATGATCTCAAACGATTAATTTCTTCTTCATATTGTTGAATTTGAAGTTGAAAATCTCTTGGTATATTTTCAGCCAATCTCTACTAGAGTTAAACTTGTTATTTGAGGATGTCAATTTCATTTTGCTATAATTTGATCTTGTGTTAAAAGGAAGTAAACAAAGTAAAATGGTCCGATTTTTTTCTGGTAAAGAGATCTGATCTTGTCATTTGATTATCATCACCGATATCATTGTTATTTGGTTAAACCTATTTAATATTGCATAGCATAAATTATCTATACCTTTAGTTTTATAGTTTTGGTTAAAGATTATTTTTAATCTGAAGGTCTATTAGGTGATAGTTTCTGTTCTAAAATTTCTTCTTTGTTCCTGGCAGACAGCTTTTAGGCTTATGCACTTTTTGGTCGTTTCATAATGTATTAATATATATTAATATTTATATTATTATTTCTGAAAAGTAAATATTAGTAACTATAACATATTATTCTCAAATCACAAAAATAGATCTTAACTAAAGTTAATTGTTGAAGCATGATTGTAGTGAGAAAGTTAATACTTTTTAATAAGGGATGGAAATGGTTAACTAACTTCATCCAAAAACCAAATTTAAATTAACTCCTTTGTTAATTTGCTAATTTGATTAGAATCAACCTAATAGCTAAAAGTTATAATTTTACCTTTAAAATTGAAGAATCAATCTTTTTGTTCGAGATCTTTCCAACAATATTTAAAATAGTGCCTACTATTAAGAATGGGTCTCCATTTGCAAATCCATAACTAAATGAAGCCAACTATATCAGATATCAACTAATTAAATTTATATAATCAACCTAATTTAATCATCTACTTCGGCAATATGTTCAAATATTCTAAGTGGTGATATGAAAGATAGATTAAAATTGATATTTTACAGAATCTAGCCTTCTGCCTTCAAAATATCTTCTTTGCTATAAACTTCATCACACAACTTAGATAATTAGCCACTTTTAGGAACCCCATAAACTTCTTGATATTTTGATGCAATAAATAAGCAAGCAATTCCAAATAGTTGAAATCTATTTTTTTAAACTAAATGAGTTTCAATAAATCTTATTTATAAATTTCTACATACTTGTCAATGAGCCATACAGTGAGCAGGAGGGTTTCTAATTGTAACTTTAATTTATGATGAACCTCAAAAAGCCAATTAATTAGAACATTTCTCATTTTTAGAGTTATTTAACTTTATGAATAAAATGCATTATATGAGATAGCATTTTACTATTGTTCTTATTACTTTTGATTAAGTTCTTCTAGATAATTAAATATATCTTATTTGTAAACCTTAACTAATTATGGATTACCATAATTTTCTGTTGATGTAAATTTGTCTAATCCTTTTGTAACTAAATCTAGAAATAAAGAATACTCTTTTACATTTGTTGCTATTTGGCAATGATATAGAAGCATTAACATTACTATTATTCTGGGCTTAATTGATGATAGAAATTTAGATGTTGGTTAAACTTCTGTTTTTTAAAGTTCTCTAGATATGCTAATATTAGTCGGTTTTTTGTCTAGGCATTTCATAACTAATATGTCTTTGATCCTCTCTTTTCCCATTGTCTCTTGCAACTTGCGGTTTATTCCATTTTGAGACTCGAATAACTCTAGGTTTAACATTTTGTTGAGATAGCTCATCCTTTATATACAGAGTAGATTAAACTCTGGTTTATCTATTTTAAACAAATTAAAAGTTTCTATTTTCTTTATTTGCTTCTAGCATTTTCAAAATATTCACAGATTTCATCGTTGTTATTTTAACGACTATATATATTATAATAAATAAAAATTGGCGAAATATAAAATATGTAGGTGTAATGGAATTAAATGATGCATAAAATAAAATGGACAAAAATACAATAGATTTGGTTTATTTGATTAGAAAGAAAACAAAAAATAAACTGTTCGGATTAATTTAAAAATTTATGAATAGAGGATACTAAAACATTTTTCATTGTATTAAAATCTACTATTAATATTAGAATTATAATTAGAAACGATTTATAAATAATTAGATTATAAAAAATGGAAATAGTGTAAAACTAAATAGAACATTATAATTTTGTTCTCTTTTTTAATCCCATAATTGAGTAGAAGGAATTAAGCAAAGTTATATGTAATTGGAGCAATAATGTGTTGAGGTCATGTTAGTGAGTTACTTCTAAGGATATTCATCTACATATGAAAATTTAGAGACTAGAGAGGAAAAGAATATTATAATGGAATAACAAATCTCTAGGAAAATATTTACAAAACAATAAAAATTACAACTAGTGCCAAAAACACTTAAGTAAATTATTATAAAAATTTCACTTACGCCGCTCTACATCAAACATTTTTTACATTTCTTAAATTTTATTATTATTATAATAAAATTGTGTAAATATACTAATTTTAAAGTTGATAAACTACTACTTAGATAAAGAACAAAGGAGTATTGATTCTAAACTATAATATAGTTATGAATAGATAATTTTTAGATATTTGTTTATCATTAATTTTAGGATCATCTTAACTTTGCGCTTTATAAATTTTGTTACAAATAGATTTCACACATAAATAAAACAATATTGATATGATCAACTTGAGTTCATACATTCTCTGTTATTCTAAATTATCTGCTTTATCATTAGTAAAAAAAATAATTAGTCTAAATTATTCGTAGATTAGTATGTAGGTCTGTATTCTCTTAACTAATAATTTCTAAGACTTCTATCCTATTTTCCTATTTTCTTTTCCATAGTTCTAATGAAATATTCATGAATCACTAAAAGAGATTTCATTGTATTAAATGAAAAAATCACCATTATTTATTTATTCTACCAGAATTGGTGCATACTATCATTTAACCCCATTCAATCAATAAACACTAAACTTAGAAACGGCTTTAATAAGTGCAGGTGATTTTTTTCATATGGAAAACACACTGAAAAAACTTGAATCATAACCAAATATGAGTTTTCGTAAGTACATTAATTAGGAAAAGAAAACCTTGTATATGAGTTCGATTGATAACTATAAAATGAAATGCGTTGAAAGATCATCAAATTATGATGGTGTCAAAATTACTTAATTAGGAGGAAACAAATTCATAAAAAATTAACAATACAATAATTTGGCTAGATTAATTAATCCAGATATATTGGTCTCCTTAACTGAATAATCAGAGATTTAAACAGGGTATAATTCTATAAAGAGATCTGCTTAAAAATCAGCTAAATTTTTAAAAGAAAGTTTAAATGAATTAAAAGATACTTAAATTTGCATCTTTGGTGCAATCTAAGGAGGTTTAGATATTGATTAAAAAATTATTGCAGCAGAAACATAAAGGTTTGCGGCTGATTATCAAAATTTCAAAGGTTTGACTCTCTATGGATTCAATTAAGAAGATTCTTGGAGAGAAAAGGACATGGCTATTTCAGCAATATAAACAGTCTTTCATGAATATAATTTATAATATGTTTTGGCAGGACACGGAGAGATCTTATCCATACTTTGGGGTATAAGTTGGGGCATAAAAGGGTTTGAAATTGAAGAACCTTTTCGATTTGCTCAAAATCACAAAGCACTTTTATTGCCAAAATTGGAAGCAAAAAAAACTGAACTCCAATGCCTTTCTGGAGATAGAATAAACTTTTATGAATTAGAGGGCAAGAAAATACGTTTTGTGAATTTTGCTGTAACTTCAGATAGTAAAGAAAATGTAATATTTTCGATAAGTTTAATAGGTTCCAATCGATCCTGAATGTTCCTGTGTTGTATGCCGGAAACATACAAAATTGTATATATCTCATCTTGTTGAATGCAAGGAAATGAATTCTTAAGTATTATTGACAATTCACAATATCCATTAATATGTGTAACTCCAGTAGAAATTAGAAGAGATGCACAATTAACAATAATTAAATCAATGGATTAGATGGGTTTTATAATAATTATGATATGAATATATAACAAAAATAGCATTACAATTACATGAATCAATAAAGTGATTTTCTTGCATAAAACAATATGTATGGACTGCTACTGCCATCGGTATCATATCTTTATTGTTTTATATCAATTTCTCTAACATCAGAATCATTATAGCGATACCATTTCTAATTGTAGGGATTCTTACTATCACTTTATGAATATATAAATAATAATTACGCAGTGTAGTGTCCTCCATACAAAGTTCCACTATGATTTACTATTCCACATAAGGAGTATTAACAGTTTTTGGTGGACTAGTCGACTAAAATTAAGAATGTCTTACGTGAATCCTAGATGAATTTAGTCATATCTAATTCCAATGGAAATTTGACTCTATGATTTAATTTGTCGCTGGAAAATCTTCGGTAATCAAATCTTTTGATATGAAACATTAAGATATGAGGCAATCTCCAAATTGTAAATTTGCGTTTTACTTTTTAATGCTTTTTGCTTCATCAAACAATAACGATAAATTAAATACCATTTTGAACAATAATAATCATCAATAGTTTCTTCGATTACATATTTATCTAATAGCCTATCTAAATCCATGTCTTCCAATATCTTAAATGCTCTTGTAAATGCTAAGGATGTATCTTAGAAGGTGTCGAATGCAAATGAACTGTAGCTACAAACACTACATTTGATAGTATGCAATAACTGTCCTTGGAAATAGTCAAGGACTAAACTATTCTCTCTGCTTTTTGAGTAATCCCACCATTCTTTACTCTAAAATATGATAACTGTTTGAATTACTAAATCTTATAGTGTTCTTCCATTAACATTGTCATTCATTTCTTTATAGGTTGGTTTACTCTTCACTCTGTTTAAGCCAAGACTTAGACCGTCTAACAGTCCTACTAAAAATTCTTGGGCATCTTACTGAGCATATCCTCTGAAACAGGGCATCACAATTTCTAAAAAAAATAGTAACTACAAAGGAGTTACCAACTGCTGATTTGATTCCATAGGGAGCAATAGATTGAAAATTTGGAGTGTTTCTGATGGTGGATACTAATTTGCTGTACTCATTAGGAACAGAGCTGTTTTTAGAATTCAAGTCTTTTAAGTAGTCACCATTTAAAAAATGTTCATTAAAAGCAGGAACATTAAGTAAGCACTGCAAAACTGAGTTCCTGAATATAATTAAATACAATTACATGAAACAGGTATTGCCAATATTTCTTAAACCGCATATGCCTTTGCTGACATTAATCATTGATTTTTATTAATATTATTCTGGTTGAGATTAAGTCATAGATGAAATTGTTGAAGTGGTCTTTTGAGTGGTCTATAGGGAAGTTGTCATGACACTTAATTGTTGTTATTAATTAATTTAAGAGGGATATTGTTTTTGGATGTTGTATTCAATAGCGCTTGTCTACTCGAATAAATAATAACAACTTACTTATTGTGATTGAGTGTTTAGTGTGGATGAACCGTATGTCGAAAAAGGGGAATATGTTTTGATCTCTTGAGTGGGTGTTGATTAGGTTTTATTAAGTAGCAATGGGTAATTGGGCAACGCTTGCTATTACATTTTATCTTTGGTTGTACTTGGTGGTCTTTGATTATTAGTGAATATATTTTGTCTCATTATTTAATTAATATAAAATGGACGATTTAGATTTTGAGCAATTCCAGCGATACATACAATAGGAGCATCATCAAAGTTATAAGCATGATTCCAAGTTGAATGACAAAGAAAAGGATCGCGGACATGATAAAAATAAAGATAAGCATAATAGGGAGAGTCATAAGGAAAGAGAAAAGGAGAGGGAGAGGGAAAGGGATAAGAGTGCAGAAAAAAAGAAAAAGAAGAAGGAGGAGAAAAAGGATAAGAAAAAGTAATTAACTTATTTTTAATGAAGTAGAAGATCAAGATCAGCATCAAAATCATCGAAGAAAAAAAAGAGCAAGAAAGACAAGGATAGAGAAAAAGAGAAAGAATAACATTAATAAGCAATTACCACTTAGATATTAATGACTAATGATATCTAAAAGAAGAGGGAAATAGCTAAATAGAGGAAAATTGAAATTATGGAAGCAGAAATAAGAGAGTTGGAAAGGAAAATTGTTGAAGTAGAAAGAGAACTAGAAGAGGCTCATAGATAGGATTTGACTGTTTTAATGTATTGTTTGCCATTGAAAGCAAAAGAAAAGCACATATATTAGTTTTTCCAAACCGTAAAAAAATATCATTTACTTTTTATAGTTCAATTGCGGCAAAATTAGAGATATCAGAATTATAAGAGATCAAAAATCAGGTAGATCTAGAGGAGTAGCATATGTTGAGTTTTATTAAGAGGAATCCATTCCCATGGCCCTAGCACTAAATGATAGATTGTTTATTATGGATGGTCAATAAGTAGGCACAATTCCAGTTAAAATATAATTGAGTTAAGCTGAAAAAAATAGAGCTGCCAGAGATTAGAAGAATATGCAAATTAAATAAAACAAACTATAATCCATCTAAGACTTACAAAATATGAATGGTCCTGCAAGAGTTCAAATTACAGGCATGGCTGAGCAACTCTAAAAAATTAATGAAGAAGACATAAGAGAAGCTTTTGTGCCCTTTGGTACTATTGACACTGTAGAAATCCCCAAAGATGAATAAGGAAGGATGACAGGAGTTCTTTATGTTACTTATGAAAAAGCAGAATCAGCGAGGAATATGATTGAAGTCATTAACAATTAGCAATTTTTATTGAATGGAAAACCCATAAAAGTTTAGCTGGTTTCTGGGGCCAATAATTATATGGACTTATAATTAGATGATGATTTAGTTTAGAATCCTGTAATGAGAATTACCCTCATGAAAAAATTAATGGATGACAACTTAATTGATAATGTAAGGGAATTATATATTATTGATAGATCAATTTACCTCCTTTGATGTCATAATTAGGCTTAACTGTTCAAAGAATCCTAAATATTATACAATCTCCTAATCCCTCTTTAGGTTGTATATCAGGTTGGATGCCTCTTAAACACAATCCACCGGCTTGTCCATGCATCACCAAAGTCATTGTATTGACTAATATGTGGACTGATTTGGAAATTTCTAATTAAGCTGCCATTGTAGAACTAAAAGAAGAAGTTGAGAGTATTTTAGTTTTTATATCATAGATGAATGCAAAAAGTATGGTGAAATTGAGATGGTATGGGTTGATAAAAAGAATGAAGGAAATGTTATTGTTGTATTCAAATAATGGGAAGCTGCTAAATAAGTAAATGTATTAATGAACAACAGAAAATTCGGCAATAAAGTTGTTTAAAGTTATTTCATTACAGAAAGTCAATTCATGAGCATCATCAAATGATATAGTAATATATAATAATAAACATACAAAGTAAAGAGTTCATTTTTATAGTTTGATTATGTCTAAGGTTGAATTTTTGTTGAACTTCTTTAAATTTTCTAGATTTGGAAATAGTTTATCAAAATTCTTGGCTAAATTTAATACTTTATTTGATAATTCTACTGTTTCATCCTTGTCAACATTAAGCACTTGTAAAGTTTAAGAGATCTAAGTAATAATAGAAATAAATTGTTACAATTTCATCACTAGATTCTTGACATAACAGATTGCATCCAATTATTATACATGCTGCTGACAATGATGAATAATTATATTAACTAATTAGTTCATAATCGTATAAAACTATTTTAGCTAAGTAGATAACAAGTTAATGCAGTTTCTAATACTAATTTATCAGTTGTAAGGTCATAGTAATAATTTCTGAAATCGTTGTCCCAACAAAGTTAAAATCTAAAGCCTAAGCTATTTAGCATTCTTTGTCTTTAATTTCATCCTTCGATAACTTTTTGTGTGCTATTTTTTCATGTACTATTTGTAATTTTACTGGGTAAATCTCTTCAAACTTACTGGCAATGAACATACAAGTCACACCAACAAGATGTAAATCTTGAGGAACATGTTATTTGGTTGTTAAATGTAAGAATGTATCCATCAATCTTACAGCCATGAAAAAAGTCTAATCTTTACATTTGTATGATGTTAAGACTTCAACCATCCAATCAACCATCTTGGCTCTTAAATTATTGCTTATTGTATGCTTTTTTAAAAACTCACACTTCTAAATAGAGTCTTAGGCCTAGTAATTAATAAGAATATTGTCTCCATAAAGATAAACCAATTTATTTTAAGGATTCTTCTATTCTTTATTTAAATTGTCTTGATTGCATTAACTAATTGAGGTAGTCTATCTCACTGTAATTGGGGAAAACTACGATTGACAGAAATTCTTACAATTTATTCAGTTGTAGAAACAGTTGTTTTTTACTTCACTTCTGGTCTATAATGTAGACTTGATACATTTGGATTTCTTTGTGTTAAATAGTTTTATTGCTAAGGTTGTTGTTTGATGTCTATGCTCTTGAATTCAATTTCTGTAAAAATACATCAAAATATATTACTTGGTTATCTATTTAGCAATGTTAATGAGACCAATTGAGTGAATGATTTTTAATTAGCTCTTTTGTCAATATTATTAGAGACTTCTGCTTGGTTCTCCTTTTCAAATATACGTCTGGTAGTATCTTTCATTGTTGTATAATTATGTTTAACAGATAAATAATTAATGAAATTTATTAATAAACTTATTTTGGTATTTATTATATGAATATGAAATAGTTCGAAAATTATGAGAATAAATTTTATTTTAAATATGTTAAATTTTTATGTTATTTACTTCTTACATCATCAAATTTATAATAATCAATGGTGAATAGTAACTTCACCATGTTTGCCGGATATGATGATTACATAATTATATAATCCACATAAGGTCTACTTATAATATTTTCTACAAATGAATGATTCCTAGAACAAGGAAAAAAAACATCGGTTTAACTGTTTTCCCAATTATTGTAGGCCATTTAACTTCAGATGAGACTCCAGAAGCCTATAGACATAGGTTATTATTTTTAGGCAGCACTGTTATTCTTGGATGAATTAGTAATATTGGATTGTGATTTGTTGATAAACAAATAGAAGTAAAATGGCCAAAACTAGTCTCAAAGAGAATAATTAAGTTTAAGATTCTAACACAAACTCTGAGCCTAAACTAGATTGTAATATTTAATTATACACAATTCATAAATTATAACTCAAAGATTTCTTTTAGATTAAGATTGCTGTAATTTATTTTACTTTAAGACTCAACTATTTCATTCTTGAAACCATTCTTCTAGCAATACTTACTAATTTCATTTATAAATTCTAAAATCTTTAAAATATTCTCTTACTCAGTATATTATTTTTGGTTATTATGGAATATTCATTGATTATTCAATTTCTTATTATGATTTAATAGGGTGAATAAGCAATCAAATTATCATAATTCTAGTATTTTTAAAAGATTTCAATAGTTTAAAAACAACAGTAACTATTCTATAAAACAATATGTCCATTAAATATAGGACATATTATTAATAATAGGTATATTCTTATGCCATGTGTTCATATTTTAAACGTTATTGTTAAAAAGATTTAGTTGAATAATGAGCATAGAAATGTTATAAAATTTCCATTTTTCTATTTTATTTTAATATGAGCATTAAGAGTTTTTAGCAATTTTCTAGAAAAATCTAAATAATTTAAAAGGCATCTCAGAACATTAAAAAGTGTAGAAATATTTAATTAGTTTGAATGTTTTCAGGAGGTTTCAAAGGATTTAGTGGTTTTCCATTTGGAGGAGCAGAAGAAGAAAGTTCTACATCATAACCTTAAAATGTTGATAATAAATCATTGTATGAATTATTGGGAGTTCAACCAGGTGCCACAACAGATGAAGTCAAGAAGGCTTTTAGAAAAAAGGCAGTCAGAGAACATCCAGATAAAGGAGGAGATCCAGAAAAGGTATTTGCACCAAATTTAATAATAAGTTTAAAAAATTAACAGAAGCCTATGAGATACTGTCGAATCCTGAGAAGAAAGACCTCTATGATAGGTTTGGGATGGAAGGAGTGAAAAATGGTGGAGGAGGAGGAGATATGTCAGATATATTTAGTCATTTCTTTGGAGGAGGTCGTAAAGAATCAGGTCCAAAAAAAATGAAGGCTAAATTAAGAGAATTAGAAGTGACCTTAGAAGATGTGTATGAAGGAAAGATCATTCATCTTAAACATCAGAGAAAGAGAGTTTGTGAGGGATGTGATGGAAAGGGAGGAGCTAACTCTAAATAATGTTCAACTTGTAAGGGCAAAGGAGTTGTTTAAAAATTAACAATGTTAGGTCCAGGAATGTATTCGCAATCAAGTGGACCTTGCTCAGATTGCAGAGGTGAGGGTACCATTTTCTCAGAGAAGGATAGATGCAAGAAATGTTAAGGAAATAAAGTGATTGATGTGGAGAAAGTTGTGGAGATCCCTTTAGAGAAAGGTGTGCCTGAAGAACATGACTATTAATTTTATGGAGAATCAGATGAATATCCTGGAGTGATGGCTGGGGATTTGTATGTAAGAATTAGAATAAAGAAACATCCAATGTATGAAAGGAGAGGAGCAGATCTATATACAACCAAAAAGATTACATTATTAGAGGCTTTAACTGGCTGTTAATTTACACTTAAATTCTTGGATGGATCTTATCTTAATGTATCCACAAAACCAGGAGAAGTTATCTCTCCAAGTATTATATTTCTAATAATATTGTATAGATAGTTTTAGAACTATCAAACATAAGGGTATGCCATTCTACAAAGATGCTATGCAAGAAGGAGATCTCCATATCTAATTCGAAATTGAAATGCCCACTGAATTAAAATAAGAGCAAATCAATGTTCTCAAAAATGTATTTATTATCAAATTAAACTAAGATTTTACCTAAACCAATTGAAAGTAAAGTAAAATTTGACCCCAATAAACGAATCTTTTTGGAAGAATATGATGTTAATAATCTTAATTCTAATCCAGAAGGGGGGAAGAGAGAGGAGGATGAAGAGGACAGTCAACCAAGAGGTCAAAGGGTTTAGTGTGCTTAATAATGAGTTTTTATGTTTCTATTTTTATTATAATTATTTGCTTAATAAATTATATTGCAATATGAAACAGGCAAGAATTACTCGACTCCATCCTATTTTAAGTCCTCCTAAAAATGAAGAAGTAAATCAAATTGTGATAAAGTCTAGGCTCCTTTCTTTGATCCATGTCCAAAGTTCTAAACTTCATATCATCCCAAATGCAGTTTAGATAGGATTATTTCATACTTATTTTTAAAGCAAAATGATATCAATGGTAAAACCTTTAGCTAAAGACGTATTTGCAAATTAGATGCAACTCAAACTTTTGATGGCCCATCGAAGTGCAGAGTTCTTAAAATTCACCCTCCTGATGCCAATAAAATTAGTGGATGGTAGAATGTAGGAGGAGAAGTCTCGTATGATTATGATAATGGATGGAAAACTCGATTGACTGATATTTGTACAGATATTTAAGAAGATATTAACATTATGAGGAAGGTTCTGATGGATGAAGGGGAATAAAAACATAATTATAAAGCAAGGATTGAATATTTAAGAAGATACATTGAAGAAATCAATAAGATGTACCATATTGTCAATCTAAAGGAAGACTTAAAGAAATTACGTGGTATTTATAGGAAAAGTAGGGAGGAAATTAAATCATATGTCAAGTTTAAAGGAACTCGATTCTTTGAAATCGTTCCTTAATTGAAATAAACTTCTAAAACACCCACTGTCTTAGATGAATTCAAAGTATTTAAGCCACTATCAGACGAAAAATTGATTGAGAAACAAAAATATCTCGATGATTTATTCAAACATCTGAATAAAAAGAATCAGTAAAAGGAAGTTAAAGAATAATTGGAATAACTTGATCAATTAGACAAAATGCTCTAACAATCTGGAGTCAAGATCGATCCCATTCAATCAGATCCTTTTGCTTCAAAAGATATTACGGTTAACAAAGAAATTGAAAAGAAGTTTGTTTTCGAGGAATTCATTGAAGAATCCAAATAATACGAAGATGAATAAGAAGGTGAATAGCAAGATGAAATCAATGAAGAAACTGAAAATACAAAAGGAAATAATTAAAGGCCAAAGAGAGCTTTTAGCTAAATTATTTCAACCAAATAATAAGATAAAAAAAGTGCTGCCCAAGAATTCAATTCCTAACACTACTTATTTGAAGTGAAAGATGTGAATTCCTTTGGCTAACAAATTAGATTGAACAGATTAAATAAGATCATGAATGAAATGTTCAAAGAACAAAGAAACTTTTCTTAAGATCTTTAACAATATTCATATAATCATATAAAGCCTTAAACTGTCTCAAATATCTCGTGCGAAAATCTTTAAAGTCTCAAACATGTAATTTATTACTCATAACATAGAAACTCGTATAAAGCAGAGAAAAAGAATTAAAAAGAATGAACAAATCATCAGTTTAAGAAATTGGAAAGAGAAGCTCAGTTCACGTTTCTGCATTTTATTCTACTGCAACCTCTAAGCAACAGCTAAAATTTTATTGATAATTCTAAATTAATTAATGAACTATCATATAATAATAAGATTTTTTAATCCTCATATATTTACTTGAGTATAATTAATTGTCTATATTTAACTTTTAGTTTTTATTCGAATACAAAGCTCATCGTGAAAGAGAGGGAATCCTCCTACTTCTGGTTTTTAGGCTCCAAATACAATTCAATTGATATAAATCCCTGTATATATATATATAACAATTAAAATTTATTATTAATTTTCAAGTATGTTAATTAACAATACTACAGTAAACTAAAAGTTTAAAGTCTCAAATAATGAGAATCGAAACACATAGGAAAGCTATTTTAAACAAGACAAGGAAAATTATTATAACCAATGGGAATTAAAATTAAAACAGAGGGAAACTTAAGTATTTAAATCACTCATCTATAGTTTAGTTAGAATAAAAATATAAAGAGTTAAAAAATTTCTCTAGAAAATTGAAGATTAAGAGTGATGAACTTGTGTAATAAAAATTAGAATTAGGAGAAAAAATAGAAAAATATAATCGACTTTTAGAATAAATAATCTAAGCATAAATGTCAGAGAGATAAGTGAGTAGAAATGCCTCATTAACGCCAAATAATAATATTATAAAAACAAATAAAATTGGAATTAATGAATGTCAGCAAAGAGTTGCAAATTTACTGTAAAAAATTAGACACACCAGCAAAACTAATTTAAAAACTCAATAATATTCTTATTTGGGAAATAATTCTGATTATGAAGAAATCCTATTTAGTAAAAGACAAAACCATTCTACTTCCTTAACAGGGATTATGAATATAAGTGCACAAGATTAAATAAATTATTAACAGTAATAATAATAATAAAAATAAAATGAAATTTAATAATAAGAAGGAATAAACTAAAAATCATGCTTGCTTTGTTGTGAAAATGAGTTAATGAATCATGAATAGTAATTGTAATAAATGGAGACAAGCTAAAGGCAGTTTTATTCGAAAGTATATGAAGAAATGAATAAACTCAGGTAACAACTTTGACATTGAAATAATATATATTTATATCATTATAAATAATACTCAGGTGTTTTCTTAATACAAGTCAAAAATGATGGACTATTATGAAGATTAATTTAAAGTTAATTATAATAAAATCATGCTTAATTTGTTTGATCATTAGATTTATATAGATTTTAATTAAACTAATGCAAATTTTATATTTTGATGATGGAAAATCGAATACCTACATGTAATGAAATTGAATAAATTTTAAATCATTTCCATAAATTAATTATTATATATATGCTGTAATAGTACTATGACAAGAAGGTCTTGTTTCTTACTGGATGCACAGGTAGAAATGCAGACTCATTTTATAGGGTTCGTTGGTAAAGTGCTTTTAGAAAAGACCTTGCGTTGTCTTCCAAACATTGCTTGCATTTATGTGTTGATAAGATAGAAAAAGGGAAGCAATCTAATGGAGAGATTCAAAAGAGAGATTCTGGACTCTTAGGTAATGGAAATCTAATAAGTAGTGCTTTGATAGATTGAGAAAGACTTATGGAAGTGGATTTGAGAAATTTGTTAGTGAAAAGATATATCCTATAGAAGGTGATATGCTGAAAGATGGTTTAGGTTTGGCTTAACATGATAGGCAAATAATAATTAATAATGTGAATGTAAGCAAAAAATTACAATAGCTAGATAATAATTAATTGTGCAGCCAGTGTTGATTTCAACGCAAGATTAGATGATGCTATATAAATCAATGTAAGAGGACCTTAGAGATTTATAGCTTTGGCCTAGTAAATTAAAAACTTAGAAAACTTTATTCATATTTCAACTGCTTATGTAAATTCAGATAAGGGAGGATATATTGAAGAAAAAATTTATGATCCAGGCTAAGAGAATTTAGAATAGTTAGTCACTTAATTGTTGAAAACACCTGTTAGTATCCTGGAGAAGAATGTCAAAGATATAATTGGAGATTTTCCAAATACATATACATTTACAAAGTGCATTGCAGAAAAACTATTAGTTTAAACGAGATCTCCCAATTTTCCATTGACTTTAGTGAGACCCTCAATCGTAGGTGCCTCTTGGAAAGATCCAGTACCGGGATGGATTGATAGTTTAGTGGCCAGTAGTGCAATATTTTTCTTTGTTGGTTTAGGATTAATTAAAACATTAAATGGAGATGAATGCCTAATTGGAGATTAAGTGCCTGTTGACTATGTATCAGACTTTATTTTAACTGCTGGAGCATATTAAAATGGGAGAAAAGAGGTTTCTGTATATCATTGCTGTTCCTCAGCCAAAAACCCGATGACATGGGCTTTGGCTAAAGAAGTTAATGCTTAGTTTTGGACAAAATCTCCGAGTTCTCAATAATTCTCTAAACCTAATTTAACGTTCTATAAAAATGAAAGATTATATAAACTTATGACCAAAATAAAAAATACTCCTGCTTTGATGTATTATTAGATTGCTAATCGGATAGGAAATAAGGAAATGAAGATTTAAGCAAAAAGATTAAAGAAAATAATTGAAAGAGCTGAATCCATTAACGAAACATTTAAACCATTTGTCATAAATGAATGGATATTTGAAAGTTCTAAAAGTAACTTGTTAGTGGAATTCTTGAGCGAATCCGAAAAGTAAAACTTTAATGTTGATATTGAAAAATTGAATTGGAGGAACTATTTGGAAAGATTCAATTGGGGAATCCAAAAATATATATTAAAAGATTAAGCAAGAGAACTAAGCGAGTAAAGCACTGATGTTTTATCTTAAAGAAATTAGTAATCTTATTTTAGTGATATTGAATGGTGTCTCAATAATGGTTAAGATTTTAAAACTAAAACTGCAAAAGAACAAATAAGTTTAGTAATGAATTCATAAAGAGTTCAATCTGTAATCAAATAATTGGTGGAAGAAAAGGCAAAGAAATATTAATCTGCTACTCTAAACCTAGAGAAATTCCATTAAAATATTGAAAAACAAGGGGTTGACATTTGTGAAGTTATGTTTGCGAATTATAACATGGGAGTAATCCGCATTTTTGCTTGGTTTATAACAAAGGTTTTTAGACAAATCTATGAGAAAGTTCAAATAAATGAGTAGGCAATGCTGGAATTGCAAAATTATAACTAAAAAGAAGGAGGACCATTAATATTCATGCCCACTCATAGATCTTACATCGATTTTATTATGGTAAACTAATATCAAATTAAATTTAGTGTTCATATGTGTTCTTTTCATATAAAATTAAGTGTCCACATATTGCAGCTGCAGAAGATTTTTTATAAATGTCTATTATTCCAATAATTTTGAGGGCTTCAGGAGCATTTTTCTTGAAAAGAAAACAACTAGAAGACAGTATCCTTTATAAAGCCATATTTTATGAATATGTTCAGAGGATTTTAATAGAGGAGTGCTATTTAGAATTTTTTATTGAAGGGACAAGATCTAGGACTGGAAAAACCTTGAATCCGAAGTTTGGTTTACTCAGTATCGTAAGCGATGCTGTCTTTGATAAAAAGATACCAAATGCCACTATTTTGCCAATCACTATCAATTATGAAAAGGTGTTGGAAGCAGATACATACCCATATGAATTACTAGGGGAAGAGAAGGTTAAGGAATCATTAATAAGAGTCATTAAAGCATTAAAAATATTGTCATCTAATTTTGGGAAAATAAATGTTAGTTTTGGAAAAATGATATCACTTAAAGAATGGTCAAAATAATAAGGATTGGACTCTTTTGAAAATATGAGAGATAGAAAAAAGGCAGTAGAAACCTTGGGATATGAGGTAGCTTATAGATTAATTGAAGAATTGGTAGTCATGCCTACTGGAATTGTATCCACCCTTTTATTGATGAATAGAAGAGGCATCACAGAAGACCAACTAATTAAACGATTTGAATGGGTTTTGAAATAGATTACAATGAGAGGAGCTAAGACATCGATCACAAACAATGGTCAAAGTGATGTTACTGTAAGAAATTCTATCGGATTTTTATAAGATTTGATTTATAAAAAGAAGAAGAATGTATTTGAATTGACTTTGATTCCAAAATAAGAGTACAAAAGCATATTGCTGTTGAGTTATTATAGAAATCAATTAGCTCATATTTTCTTTAGCGAAGGCATCGTATGCTGTGCCTTAAATGGATTTGGTCATTTATTATCTCATAAGGAAGGTGTAAGCATTGAAAGGTTGTGGGACGAAAGTGATTTCTTATTAAAATTACTTAAGCGGGAATATGTGATTAGAAATAGAATAACCACCAAAGATTAAATGATTGATTTCATATAGTATATGATTGATAAAAGTGTACTAGAAAGGGTATCAAACAAAATTAGAGTTAATTAATAATTTGGTGAATAGGCTTCTCAATTTACTTGTTCAATTATATGGCCCTTAGTGGAATGCTATTGGGCTACTATAGTTTATTTATATCAGTTAAAACGGGTTAGTGAAGCTAGTACAACCTTTGAATTGGCAGAGTTGATTGCATAGATCTAAGGATTTGCTGAACAAATGTTTGGAGAACATATCATGGAACATTATGAGAGTTGTTCAATTGAGACTATTAAGAATGCAATTAATACCTACTCAACAATGAGATGTATTAATATCAATAAAAAGGATGATTCAGAATAAGTCAATATATTATTCACAGATCAAGAAGTATTTATACAACTTACCAATTTTTATAGTTATTGGAAGTAGAGGCCTAAGTGAAAAAATACCTTAAGAATAATTATTCTAAATCCATACAAAACCCTATCGATATTGCAAGATCTTTGCTAGATTATACCATTATACCAAAATTATGAGTAGTGTTGTATATACTCATATATATATTAATGAATTATGATGATATTTGATTGATGCTCAATGATGATGTGATCCATGTCCCTTCTTAACATACTATAAGCCACAATATTTGCAAGTTTAAGGTGTTCCTTCAGTTCTTGTATCTAATTTGATATAAACCTAAGGATGTCCTGCATTGATATGGGTACCACCCTAAAATAAGTTATTGAATTACTAGGCATCTAACAACATCAGAATCTACTTCAATTACTGGAATTTTATGAATAAATTCTTCAGCTCTGCTTTTATGAGTTTGGAGTGAGTTCTTAATATTATTCATATTACTTTATGAGTTTCATCATAATCTAACCATTTATGTTAAGCTAAGTTAGTGTAAGATTTCACAATCTGTGAAAACTAAGCTCTCTTTGCTAATTGCATACACTTTTGCAACATTTATAATTATATATATATATAAATGCAATTAATTTTAGTTAGTTTCAATTTATACTATTAGTCATTTATTTTTTTATAATCACTAGATTTATTTATGATGATCTACTTATTTTTGAGATCATCCAAATCAGCTTGTAGATCCATCACTTCCTCCTTTTTTATGGAACTCCCTTTAATTGTATTAAATAGATATCTTGCTTATTTTATTCTATAAACTTACTTTTCCAAATACATACATCATCAATATTAAATATTTCTATTTATCTTCTACATTAGCAATCGAATCTTCCAATTATGCATAAAGTTCGGAAATATAATGATTAGAATCATCTATTTCTTTATCTTTTTCACTTAACTATATTTATCATACCCATCTATTTTATGCTATTTTGTTTTTATTTTCTCTTACAATTATTACATTTCCTCATACAAAACTTTTATTGTATTAATTAACTGTTAAATCAAACTATATGCTAAAGATAATTCACTCTTTTCATCTTAACCCTATTTTTTCTACTGTTATGTTTATAAAATATTAATTCTATTTTGCAGCTCCTACACTTTCATTTTTAATAAGGTTGATGCACTATTGGTTGAATTTAAAATGGATTTTGAGAAACTACTTTAATTGTTGGCTATGAAATTTATTAAAATTATGTTGAAAATCCTACTCCATACGAAGTTTAAGGAATTTATTATCTCATAATATATAGTGTTCGAAAAGATTATCTAAATATAAAATGTATTTTATAAGGATTAAATTTAAATTGCTAAATAATTACTATTAACATTCTAAAACCAAGCATTATTGATGAAACTACAACTAATATAGCCATATTGATATATCAATATTACATTAGAATTTTATATAGAATTTAGTCACCATATAAATTGATATTTTTAAAGTATTCTGTCTTACAAAAATCCTTAGACAAGAACAATGAAAATAGAATAAAATTTAAGAAATGTAAAAAATGTTTGAGGTAGAGCGGCGTAAGTGAAATTTTTATAATAATTTACTTAAGTGTTTTTGGCACTAGTTGTAATTTTTATTGTTTTGTAAATATTTTCCTAGAGATTTGTTATTCCATTATAATATTCTTTTCCTCTCTAGTCTCTAAATTTTCATATGTAGATGAATATCCTTAGAAGTAACTCACTAACATGACCTCAACACATTATTGCTCCAATTACATATAACTTTGCTTAATTCCTTCTACTCAATTATGGGATTAAAAAAGAGAACAAAATTATAATGTTTTATTTATTTTTACACTATTTCCATTTTTTATAATCTAATTATTTATATTGGTTTCTAATTAAAAGTGAAGTTGTAAATATGAGTAATCTATTTCCAAACAGTACTTTATTGTAATAAGTTGCTAAATATTATTTTCGAATATTTTTTATTAATTAATTAATATTTCTTATGGAAGAATCGCTGTTTCATTGTTATCATGAAATGATTCCTGTTGCCTCTTTTTCAGAATCTCCACTTCTATAAAAAGAGGAGCAAGCAATGACAGATGAAACTAATATAGAAAATCTAGTAGTTGAGAGTTAAATGATCAAATCAAATAGAATATAGCGTATATTTGATATTCAACATAAGTTAAACAAACCAAAATAAAGTTACAAAGTTGAATTGGAATTATCAATAATTTTATTGAGAGAAATGAAAATTAATAGATAATTAGAATTTGTTATGTTGATTTCAATTTTAGTTGATAGTTTGATTAGACTAAATTCTTACATATATTTATTTCTTCTATTAGTTGATAAAGAAAGTGATGGTAAAATAATGTTATATTATCTATTACTGATACCAAGATTTTACTTTTTTTTGAGTTTAATAAGAATGTTGTTCAGGAAATTGCATTTGTATAGAAACCAACCAATTTTGATGATAATAGTTTTATTTAGATAAAATTTTACGAATTTAAATATGATTGAGGAAGCATCAAAAGAATGGTATGATTGGCGAAATGAATCATCTCAATTTAATCTCAAACAACTTTTAATTTATTTACTAACTCCTAATGAATTATCATATTTTTTATTGAAATCATTAAAAAATGGAGTTAAAACTTATATCGTAACGAATTTTATTTTGAAAACTATAGAGATAGTCATGTTTACTCCAATTATGCTAATACTATTAAACTTTAATGAAAAAATAATAAGCAAATAATTTTTAATTTCTAATGGCTATGAGTAATTTACTCTCGTTTTAATATATATTGATGGAATTAAATACATATTCTTTAGTATTTTTTACTTAACAAAAAGAAACTATTAGATAAATAAAATTTGATGTATATAAAATTCTAATATCAAATTTAAGAGGTACTTATAATGATGTAAAATTTGTTATTTTAAACATCTTCTATCAATCAAATCATTTTAAAATAATATCAATATATATAATTCTCAGAGAACCTACCGAATTATTAATTAAGTTGAATTCTACTTCCCATGATATTAATATCTTTGGTTTAACAAATAATTATCGTTCTTGAAATGCTTGTCCCAAGAAAGAAAACTTGTTGAAATCTTTATCATATTTAATCAAAAATCCTTTTCAAATTATAATACATAAAATGAATATAAAGTAAATGAATTAATTATTATTTATTTTTTATTATTTTATTCAAATCGATGAGCTTTTAAGTATAAACATGAATATCAATTAGACAACTGATTCAAAAAAAGAAGAATTTAGAAAGTATTTAGAAAAAGCAGGAGTAATTGATCAATTGACAAGAGTCTTAGTTGGATTATATGAAGAACCAGAAAAACCTAATAATGCTATTGAGTAAACTTTAGAATTTAATTTAGTTATGTCAAAAAGTATCTCGGATCTCCAGTTGATATTGATGTTGACAAATTGAAATTAGAATATGAGAAATTAAAAGATGAAAACATCAGATTAAAGAGAGAAGTTGCTGAATTAAAAAAAGAAGTAATGAAGAAAATATCCAATAATTTAGTTATAAGCAGCCTAGTAAGAATAAAATTGATGAATTATAAAAAATATTTAATGATATCGCTAAGCAGTTTCTAATATTTTATTCTAATAAATCCAATATTATAATATATTGACAAAAACCATGAGTTTTATTTTGATCGGTTTACTCTTACAATCATTTTAAAAGTAGAACAACAAGAGGTTAGTAGTCATACAATAATTTTATTTCTAGATTCTTATTTCTTCTTTGATTTTTTTGACATTTTAGAATTTTCTTTTAAGTGGCATTTGCTAATTGAATAATGAATAATATTAAAGAAATAAATAAGTAATTAAAAAATTATAAAAGCTTATAGATCAACCAGAATACAATATTTCTTCTCCATCATCCTCTAACATTTTAGGTTTTATATATTGATGAATTTAAATCTTTGAATCTACTCTTTAATTATTATTATGATGATTATTATTATTATTATTATTATTATTATGATCATTATTACCTACAGACTATTCTGAAATTTTGGATTGCATATCTAACTATGTTTTGTTTAGATCCTCTTTTATTTGGGCTGCAATTTATATTTCATGATACTTTTAGAAAATCAATTCTAAAGTAGGACCAAGCATTTAGGTTAACCTGTAATTAATCTGATTGTTATTTTCTTTCAATTTAAGATAAGAATTATAAATTTTAAAGAATTTTTTAGTTGTGTTAAATCTTATTCTTTTGTTGATTACTCTTGCTCTTTTCTATTTGTTAGTTTAAGTTATTAAATGATTTGGTCTAGACTAATCTTCAGTGATAATCTGATAATGTTTGTCTATAAAAATGACAGGTCTCGGGGTGTAATTGAATACTGATACTTAATTTTCATCCAGTAATGTTTTTTTTAATTTATCAATTTATTGAATTTTACTTAGTATTGTAATTATATCTAAATCCCTTTTTATCATTTAATCACATTGAATTATGAGCTGCCTTGTCATCCAGATTTTCTTAAAGCAGGAGCACCCCAAAAGAATATAAACATAAAAGTTTAAATCTAATCTCAATTAATTTCTAGTATCTAGAATCTTTTGAACTAAATTGTCCATAAAACTTTCTTTATATTCCATTAACTTTTTAGTAAATTAATTAATATCAAATTAAGTGATTTTTTGTTCTGTTACTTCTGCTTGTTCTTATGATTACTCTTATCTCTATAACTTCTGACTCTATGAAACACTACTCCACATCCTAGTGATGTGACTTAATTTAACCACTTAAAAAGTATAGTTTTTAAGTTTCACTAGTAATTCGTCAACTCTATTTATTTTATATTATATAAAATTCAGTAGTCTATCATATGAGAATTGTAGCCTACCTTAATTTTAATAAGGAATATTAAAATCGTATAAAATATTTGCCAAAGAAATTCTCATTGAAACTAAATTGTATTTAATAGCAAAGACTCCAAATATTGCAGTAAAGAACTTCAACATTCCTCCTAGATATGAAATAAATTAGTCTAATCTATATGCTGTCTTTGACGTAATCTGATTTTATTGATTTATTCTTAAGTTTATTTCAAATAAGTTAGTAAGATTAGAATCCTGTCTCTATCATATTAATAAATTTACATACATTAAATTATCTATTATCATTGAGAGTGTAGGACCAATAATCCAATTCCTTGGTTGTGGTCATTAAACTTAATAAATTGTCATCTATTTAAACTTTATTATGTTAAAAAAATAGATCTGTGTATATCGATTATTATAGGTTTGACTAGAGATAAAAGTCAGAATTAATGTACTAATGTAAATCGTCATCTGTGCTATTTGAAGAAAATAAAGTCGATTTAATAAGAGTTGAAAGAGTGATAGCTGTATTTTTATCTAGTTAAGCTTTTTCTATCTCTTCTTAAGAATAACAGTTGTCGTCATCCTTACACAATTAAATAAGTAATTTAGGATATAATAATGTTTCTGTATTATAACCTCCTTGTAACTAAAGTTCATACGTTAAAGGCAGACATAAATAATATTGGAGCTATTTTTCTATGTATGCATTATTTTGAAAGTCAATGTTTTGGAAGTGTTCAACAGTGCATTATTCTAATTTGAATTCCCTTAATTACTCTCTGTTCTTTGAGCCATCTGCTGAGATTTATTGAATATACTGATGCAGCGATATTGAAAAGAAACTTTTCGATGAATTTTTATAATATTCTTTAAGAGGATCCTCAAGCTTTATTGCAAGCATAAAATTGTCTAAATTCATAGCACTATAATTTGGGTTTGCACTCTATATTGTTTGCACTTTAACCTATATTTCAATATATTTGTAACATACTGTATATTCAGATTTTGTGATAATGCTAATAAGTCTGTTAATAAAAATGAAGCTCAAAAGGAATATCATAATAACAGATGATAATCCCCCACATGCTGTTGTATATTTGTCTTTTTATTTCATATTTAAATTTAATTCGACCCCAAAGAGATCGAATTATTTAATTCCTTTCTTTATTTTCTAATACATTTCTTTAGAATTCAGTTCCAGTGGTAAAATTTAATAATTAATATTAATTCATTGTGGGCCAAAAGTTATATTTTAAGCTTCTTGGAATTGCTAAATATTTTTAAGATTACTTATAAATAAAAATGCTCATTCAATATCAAATTAATCGAAAATATAAAAGCGTGACATAACATACGAGAAGGAAGATTAGCTTAAACTTTTATTTTATTATCAATCATACAATCAAAGAATCATATTAAAATATAAAATTTCTTAAAATTAACCTTGAATTGCACATGTTAATTTAATTTATATATATAATATTAAAAGAAAATGAAAAAAAGAAATTAGAAATAATGTAATAAATTAAACCATCAAATAAGGTGATTTTATTGTTTCCTCCAAAATTTAGTGTGCTAAATTTGGGACAAATTCAAAGAAAATTATTGCTAGTGGCGATGACAAAAATTGTGTTCAAATTTGGCAAATAGGAGAATCAAAACCAATTGCTGTATTAAAATGATAGAATCTTAGACTTTAAGTTCTTAAAATAATTCAAATGCTTAAGTTGAAGTTGCCAGAATTTGTTTTAGTTTTTGTGAAGCAGAAATTTTCTCAGGGTCAAATAGGGGAATTATAAATGTTTGGGATGTAGAAAACAAAAGATGTATTTATTCAAATTAAATAAGTACTTCAAACACTCAAAGGACATTCTGCTTGTGTGAATGCTCTATGTATATATCCATCGGATGAAAATAAAAATTTATTATTCAGTGGCGCATATGATACCTCAATTAAATTATGGGATTTGAGATCAAAAACTTCTGTTAATTAATTCAAAGGTCACACTATGTAAATCAATACATTGGCTGTTTCTCCCAATTCCAAGTTATTAGCATCTGGATCCAATGATGGGTCAGTCAAACTTTGGGACATTGCATAAGGAAAATTGATAACATCTTTTACGCAACATGACAGTCAGATTACATGTTTAGCTTTTAATCCCTTAGATAAACTATTAGCATCTGGAGGTGCAGATCGTTGCATAAGAATTTGGAATTTACAAGACCTTAATCAAGTAAGCAAATAAAATTATAAAGATATCTATGACTAGAACAGATTCCACTCCTATTCAAAGTATACTTATAAATGATAATGGAAAAGTAATTTATTCAGCAACACATGAATCTCTAAAAGTATGGGACATTGAACATGACTGTCAATTAATAGACAATGTAGAGAGTATGTGGAAGGGAGTTCAAGACATGATAATTACACAAGATTAAGAATAATTGTTGGGTTTAGCATCGAATCCTCAATCTGGTTTTAGTTTGCATGGTGTTTCTTTGAAATCAATTGGTTAAGATAATAGACTTAATGAATAAAAACAGACGGGTAATGCAAATTCTAAGTAAAGGGGGAGAACACCTGATAGAAGATAAGAAATGGTAACCAAAGCCTAAGAACCAGAAAATAAGCAAAAAGGTAAACCAACTTAATAAATACAAGAATAAAATTACATAAATCAAGATAATCAACTTGAAAAATAAAAATCAAATGAGGTTCCCAAAGATTATTAATCACTATAACCATAACCAATGTTCCCACCTATTCAACCTCAAAATTATAATTCACCATATATTAATAATCCACATAATAACAATAATTAAAATGGGTTACTATAATACTAATTGCAATAATAATAATCATAGTAATAGTAGTAGTAATTACTTTATCAATATTAAATTTAATAAACAATTTAAATAAATTAGTAAAATTAATAATAAAATTTATCTTCTCAACAATAGAAGAATTAAATTGTTTAACCACTTAATAATTAACCACAATATCATAGTAATTAATAAGCTTAACTAAAATAATAAATGCCATAAAATAATTAATAGGAGGATGATGAATACAATGACAATTTTGAAGAAGATCCAGATATGACTACAACCAGTGAACTTACATTATCTTAATTCATGTTGGGAGATCATAATAAGGAGAAATTTAAATAAGTGGATCTCATTCACGAAATAAATAAAGACCATAATAGAATAAATTAAATATTATCTCAAAGAATGAAATACATTAAACCAATCCTAAGCTGGTGGATTAATAATAATATTAAATCAGCTATTAATGCCATAAATCAGTAAATTTATTTATAAACTTAGAGTAATAGATCCTTCAATTTTGTAGGACGCACTCTCTCTTTATTCCTAATAGCCTAAGTTTAGTTCAATCCCTATAGAGAATTTTCCACTTTTATTGGAAAAAGCTAGAATATTAATAGAATCAAGATTTGCATTTCATATCAAAACAGGACTAGATTTTACTTATAAATCTCTTTGTTTGTTTAGAGATGTATAATTTCATAAAATGAATTTAGGAAATTTTGAATATAAAGCTCTTTAATCAATTATCCAAAGCTGACTTAGCAAGAGAAGAAAGAATCTAGAAATACGATAAAGTTATTGAACAATTAAAAATAATAGCGCAAATGCCTAAAATGTAAAAATTAATCGAAAGAAATAAAGATGAGCTAACAGAGTTGGCAAAAAAATTGTAATTAGAAACAGCAGGTTTGCTAAAGAAAATTAATCCAAACAATTCATAGAATTGAAGATTATTTTTTGTCTATTATATTTATATATATAATATTTTAGTCGTTAATGAATAATTTAAAATCCAAAAATTCTGCTCCCTTAGACAAACCATAAAAATATCCTAATTCAGACATTTTAACTATTCCTATGCATAAAATGAGAATGGATATCAATAACAATAATAACAACAGGTTAAATTCACAATAATCATCTAAAAATTTAGAAATACTAAGATAGAGTCATTAAAGCAGCACTAGCAATTTAAGACTTGATAATTCCCACAACAAATCAAGCGAAAATTTAATAACCAAAACTCCTACTAGAACTAAGGTTTGCACTTTCATTGATAAAATACCTTAGTAATTATAAAATAATTTCTCATTAAGTCCTCACAGTGTTTTGTAGAAGCCATTAATGAAATAAGAAGATGATTAACAAAATATTATAAGTTTTTGTCATTAGAAATCAAATCTAGTCATAGATCATAGGAAAGAATAATTAATTTTGCAATTACAATAAGCTTAACAATTATTAATATAAAAGGATTAAGAAAACTAAAAACTTTAAGAAATTAATAATAGATTATACGATGAAAATTAAAAGTTATTTAATTAAGGTGAAGATATGCTCAAGGATATAGAAACTATGAGATAGAATTTCGATTAGTAAAATAATGAATATATGATGCTGAAATAATAAAATTAATAATTAATAGAGGATGTAAGATTGATATAAAATGAAAGAAATTAAACTTAATCTCACAGTGATTAGATTTTGAATCATAAAAATTATGAAATATAATAACTTTAAAGAGAGTTAAAAGAATATTAGCAATTACTATAAAATAAGGATCAAACAATTTCTAATTTAAAATAATAACTTGATAATCTAAAATAATAGGAAATTGCAAGATAACATGTAAATTAATATTAAAAAAACTCTGAAAAATCCTATCTTAATAACATTAATTAATAAATAGAAACTGCATAGAAATTTCAATAGTAAGACTTAAATTATAAAGGAGCTTAAATGGAATCAGAAATTTAATAATACCAGGCATAGTTAGAATTCATAACATCTGAGAAAGAAATTTGTGAATAAAAATTGGTAGACTTGTAAACAATAATTAATTAATTTGCGTTAAATGAAAAATAATAAAATATGACTTCCAATTCAAATGGAAATGTAATTTATTAAAAATAATCAAACAAATTGAAATAAATAGTTCAAATTTAAAAAAAACAAATTGAATCTTAATAAAAGACAATCATGAATCAGCATTATGAGATTTAAAATCTTTAAAATTTACTTTATTCTATTGAATAGGATAGCTAATCTTAAAAAAATAGTAACATTTTCTATGAAAAAATTTCCATTTAATAACTAAATATGTATATATAATAAATGATTAAATAGTTCTGATACTGGTGAGAAGGAAACAAATTTGAGAGAACCCATAGTTACAAAAGGGTTTTAGGGCATTTTGCTTAAATAACAACAAGGGCCAAATATTGTTATGGAGGATACTTTTAGAAATATGTAAAAACAATAAGACCTATTCAATTCTACTAATGATTAATGATATAAATTCAAAAGATATTCTGATAACTTTAAAATAATAGTATTGTAAAAAAGGTGTTAAAACAAAAATAAATTAATCAAAGCATTTTCCAACTATTTTTGCCTTAAAAAGTTGTTGATACATTTTATAATGAATTAGAGGAATCTTAATCTTTTGTTATTCCAGGAGATGAATTCCTAAATTTTTATCTTACATTTGTATTTGTGGGATTACTTGGTTTATTTTTTGTTTCATCTATATAAATTAGTAAGAGTTTTACTTTTAATTGCAGGGGAAAAAGTTCTAGTATTTACAGTAGATGGTTTCTAGACCAAAGTAAAACTTGTAGAAGAAACATTGTCTTTAGCTTTCCTAATAATTAAATTATAAACATACACTTATTTTTACGATTATGTTTTCTCAGTCAATTCTTATAAAACTCTTATTGGTTAATTTTTAACAAACTAAGCTTGACTTTTTGTTAAATTTTAAGGGGATATGAGTTTTTTAAATTGATTTAAGTCTGTAACTACTCCTTTGGTTGATTATTTTTAATCAGCTTCAATTGCTGAATTACTATTGTTATTAAAACTACTATTATTTTAAACTTAATTGGCACTTTAATTTAAGTATTTATCCTAAAATGAATTATTGGGCTTTTATTAATTTCTTAAAGTTGATGCAGCCTATCTCCTACATTAAACATTTCTTAAATAAATCTAAGAACTTGATTAAGGCAAAGGAGGGCCTTATTAAGTAACCTTTTTGACAGCTTCTTTTTAAAATGGTGACAAACTTTCCTTTTTTAGTTAATTAACTCCTCTGGACCCATCGTTAACTTCAGCACTATTAGGCCTATTTTTAAAGTCTAAATTATCTTATTTTTTTGTTAAGGAAGTACTCCTTTCCTAAACTTTAACTAAATTCAAACCAGTAGGATTAGCAACAACTGAAACTTCATTAACTTATGCATTTTATTTTTAAATACATGACTGGGATTATGATTATTTTATTTAATTCTTTTATTGTAATTATTAAAACTTCTAATAACTAGATTATAATTAGGATATCGATTAGGTGAGTGTTTTTTATATTTCAGAATGTTTTGTAGAATTCATTTACTAAATCAATGTAGGACTAATTAGTTACTCTAATTTATTTTTTTGTTGAGCAGTATTATTTTATGCTATCAATAGTTATTATTGTTATTATTATTACGTTACATTAGATTAAGTTGTTAACTATGTTGTTTATGATTATAATGATTATTTATCCATATTTGATATTGTTTCCTATTATTTATTAAAATAGTTAAGTGATTGTTATACTTAATTTTTGAATTCTTAAAAGTTTGTTAAGATAGAAGGTTGATTGTCCTTCTATTTAACTGAGCTTGGACGATTATTTTTATTGGCCTCTGTTTAGTTTCTTTTATCTTCAGTCTGTTATAATGAATTACTTCTAATTCCACTAGAAGGATTTGCTTAGACTTATAATTGTAGTAAGTTAGTTGCAATTTAAGGAATGGATTAAATGTTTTGATTTTCAGTTTACGGTTTAATTAAGTTATTTATTAAAGTATTTTTCTTAACAGCTTATTCTTATTATTATTATTATTATTATGGGGTTCTAGTTTTCATTGCGCAATGCATTAATAAATTTTAGAAGGAAGGATTATTTGTTAGATTTGCTGAAGTTATATTTGAATTCAATTAAAGATCACTTTGATCTTATTATTAAGATTTACTGCTAGCTGATCTTACTTGAGGTGCATTTTGAGAACTCTTAGGGAAGTTTGACTAAATTTAAGGTTGTTTTGGAGGTTATACCAGAGATTAACTCTTTTAAGCTCCCTAATTAAAGATTAAAGTTTACTTTTAAAATTGAAGGCGTTGTTGGATCTGCTTTTAAATTAATTTCAGAAACAGGAACAAAATCAGGGGAGCCAGAGTATACAATTGTAGCTAAGGAAATATTTTCTTTGTTTGCTTAATCTTTCCATTTGAGTTTCTGGTTTGTAACTTTTCCTAATACTCCCTTACAAAATTGAAATGAATTCTTACTTATTTCGCTTACAAATTTGTATATATTTCATCTACAGGTCCGTTGTGCGAATTTAAGAATGTGTTTCTTATGATTAATTCATCCTGCACTTGGGAAGGGTTCTGTTCATCAGAAGTTAACTCATTCCATGAGGCTGTTCTTTTTGGTCCTTATTTGGTCATTCTATTTTCTAATGCATTCAACTAATAAAAGAATGATGCCCTGATTTCAAGATCTGGCCTCCTTGAATTTAAATATTCAAGAGTTTTATACAGCGTCCATGAATATCTATTAAATTTAAATATTTTAACGAACTTTTTCATAAAATATGCAGCGAGCACACAACAAGCTCTACTCTGCCCTCTAACCGAATGGACTAAACAACTCTCTCCCTGTTGAAAGCATTCTTCTATGAATGTAAATATTTTATTAACATTTTCATTTCTTTCATCAAATAACACCTAGATATATCACATTTAATGATTACTTCATTATCTTACTCCAACCAATTAAATGTTAAATACTTAGCACCCATTAAGGTCCATTTATTTTGTACTTCTGTTCCTGCACAATTTATTATATGAGTGACTTTATTTGTCATAATGAATTCTCGATCCTTTATTGAATCAAATACCAAACCTAAGATGCATATTCATCTCCAATAAACAATCCATCCTTTATTTTAATAGCTCCAACTATTTGGTTCTAAGTCATATTAAATAATTTAAGTGAATATTATTAAAGTTAACTCTTCTTTGGAGATCAATAAAATTTATTTTAACATTTCATTTTATTCAATTTCTAAAAATTTAAAAGAAGTGAAGATATTTATTGTCTTATTTTCATAATTCTCCTTCTCAGAAATACCCTCAATAATAGAGAATTAACAACTCATGAAGAAATAATAATGAGTTCTATTTTTTATATAGAATTTAGCACATAATTCAACACCACAAGAAAATTCACAAATATAAAAAGATGTTCTCATACTATTATATATTTTTAATTACAATTTTATAAATATTTAAGAATGCTTAACAAAACTAGCTCATTTGATTAGTTATCATTTAATTTTGGAGTAACTCAAGAAAATAAAACTTATGTTGTAGGAATTAAGATGAAGGATAATGAATCTGAATGGTTATAAGGAAATGAATGTATAGTATGCGATTTAAATTTTTCTAAGAGTGGAAAACCACATCATTGGTATTTTATTGTGAAATTTTTAAAGTAGAGTCTGCGGCAACTCAGTTTGCAAAAACTGCTCTTACAAAATGGTCAATGATAAGAGATCGTGTGATCTGTGTTTTAAGAGAATTTAGTTGGTTGATTAAGAAAAACTTAAGAAATAGTAAATTAAATCAAAGAAAGAATCAATTAAAGAATTAAAGAACTAAATCTAAAAACAATAAGAAAAGAATGACTAAATGAAAAATTAGTTAATTGAACTATAAAAGTAATTTGAAAGACAAGAACGTGAACATGCACAACAAGAAAAGCCTCTGGAGGATTAATTTGATTAGAAAATCAATATGATCAGATAACAGATAGAGAATAACAATAGATTAGATGAAAATATTAAAGGGGAGAGAATTCAATTAGAAGAAATCGAAAGAGAGATTATTGATTTACATAATAATATATAAAAGAAAGGATTTGATATAAAATTTGCAAATGAAAGAAAAAAAGAATTTCATGAAAATCTTCAAAAACATGAGAAGCACTTAAAGGATTTATAATAAAGTGTAAGTATCAATTAATATATAATTAGTTAGAACAAAAGTAGTAAGAATATACTGAAATAGAAAACAGAAGAACTGCATAGAAGTAAATAATATCTGAGGAGAATGAGAAGAATGAGAAGAATGAGAAGAAGAGTAGCGATTTAAATAAGGAATAAAAACATAAAGAAAATTGTATTATATATTGATTAAAATACAAATTAATAAAATTACGATTGTCTATAAATTCACAAAAAGACATATAAAATTAAAGAATAAACCCAATTTTGCTAATTCTTTTTTATTACAATCAGCTATTTTAAAAGAATTGTAAAATCTAAAAGGAATTTTTATATCAAAATTATATCAACTGAAAATAAATTATAAAAACGATGTACAATATATGAGCTTTTGATTATTAAATATGAGTAGAAAATTATGAATTGGAATTAGAGACCAAGTATGTGATTTGTGGATTATCAATTGAGTTTGTTAAATAATTAAATTTTTAAAATCAGTTATAATTAATAATGAATTCAAACTAAACAGAAATACAAGAATAATAGGTTGTTGAAAATACAGAAAACATTGATACTACCAATACAGAATAACTACTTGATTTCACCAATATGTTTAAAACTCAAAAAGTAGCAAAACCTAAATTGCTAAATAGATAATAATCATAATAATAATAACAATAATAATAATAACAATAGCAATAATAATAATAATAATAATAGTCAACTTAAACTGCAGAAGAGCAAAATAATAAATCCATAAAAAATACAGTGCCAAGGAATCTTACTATTACTTAAGAAAAAATGAGTTAACGAAGATGTTTAGATGTGCGTAGATGGTATAGTTTGAGCAGACCATAATACTAAAGAAGTTGTGGAATTTCTTCAGTTGTGACTTGCTGGAATTATTTATTTTCTACATTAGGTGTAGGAAATTTAAATCCACTTTCCTAAGAAGAAGTAATTGTTTCATTGGGGTAATAATATAACTATTTTAGTTTAACTGCAGAAGTAGGACCTCATTTTAATGATGTAGAATTCGGATCTTTTAGTGGAAACATGTCCTTAATATCTTGGTTTAAGAATTTATGCAGGTTGCACAAAGTGCAAGGAAGAGCCTATTTTTTATGGAAGAATGAAGGAGATTTTGCTACTCCTGGTGTTGATAGAGATGTTGCACTCTAAAAGTTAACAGCTGGATTGAAAACTGATAAAATTTCCTTTATTTATCACGCTTATGATCATTATTTCTGTCCTATTGGATTTGAATGCACTCCAAATAAATAAGTAGAGGCTTTTGTCGATGAAATTGATTATGATGATTGTCAATATTGGATTATTATTGCAGAACCAGCAAAACCTTATCCTATGTTTACCGTTAGAAAGTGGGTTGATATTGCTTAAGATTTAGAATTAAAATATCCTCAATATATGAATATTCGAAAAATGGATGAGGGAATAAAAAACTACAAATATGACAAGGGAGTTAGTTAACATTGCATCATGGCATTTGAGAGGATAGATCCTAAACCAAAAAAAGTGATGGAAAAAAAAGAGAAACCCGTAACAAATGAGGAGGTTTAAATTGATAAATCAAATTTACCTGATTAGAAAGTTGAGATTCCTGAATTAACACATGTAAAAGCAGAAATTCCAGAATAACCTATTGACGATCAATTGAAATAAAATGATCAATCATGAAAAGGAGAAATTCTTTGATAATTCATATTTTATGTAACAATTAAATTACAATATCTTTTGGTTCAATTTATTAATGAATATTATACAATTTGAAATCTTTATTATCAATATTTCTTTCAAAATTAATATTTAAGATTTAAATCAATTATCAATAATAATCTAAATAAATTCTGATAGAAAATACTATATAAATTAGTTAATTGTTTAAACATGTAATACTAATTAATCAATCAGAAAATGAACTGCTATCAGATTCTTCAAATCTTGTTTATTTTTTTTATTAATTTGAATCTTAGATTCTTACTTTCAAACAGTTTTATTTTTTCATTTAAACTAATTGATTGATTCTCGCATCTAAATCATCATGTTATTAAACAAGAATCTTATTTTTGCCTTTTAAATCTCTAATTTATTTCTACAGTTAATCAATCATATCAAGATATTATCCTTATTCCTTTTTATGATTCTATAATTATGATTTTAATAAGGTGTTCTCGTCTCTTAATTTAATCAACTCTTTGCTAATTTTCTCAATTTTAGTCTCTAAATTATCCATATCCTTATGTTAAGCATCTGTTAATTATTATTACTATTTTGTTAGTTTATCTAATTGGGATTTATATTTCTCTGATTCTTCTTTTAAAAATGTATTTGATCTTTATTCTGCATGAAATAGTCTAATTTATTCGTTTAATTCTTCTTGCAAATTTTCAATTTATAAGTTCTTATTTTTCAATTCTTCATTAATTGAAGATTACTATTATTGTTCATTAACGCATTAACTATTAAGTTCCCTAATTTGTTTACTCATTTTCTCGAATTACAATTCATAGTCAACGATTTCTTATTCTAATCTTTTACTAGAGATTAATATGATTTATTACTTTGAATCTTCTAACTATGGTAATAATCGATTTGATTTTTCAGATAATATTCTTAATGAATCATTTTCTTAGAGTAATTATCTATTATCTTTTTTGATTCTTTCACTTTCTAAACTTAAATTTTTTAGTTTCAACTCTAATTCGCCTATTCTCTCTTTAATATCTGCACTCCTCTTTTACTATTTATCTACATCAACCATTTTCTCTTCTAACTATTATTGTAATTGTTAATCTAACTTCTTTTTTAATTTTTAAATTCGCTTTTATTATTTTGATATAGTTTCTTCTTTTGAAATTAATTTATTTTCCAGTAAACTGATTTATGTTTTCAAAGTCGCAGCCTCCTTTTATAAATAATCAATTTCTTCATTTAATTAACCACTTACTTTTTCTAATGCACTACATTCATTATATTAGAGTTTGCTTTTAGATTGCTAATTTAGCATAGATGTTAACTTATCTATTTGTATTTGCAGTTTCTGATTATTCTATCTTTCAACATGTCTAAAACTAATGAATATTTATACGCATTTTCTTTATAAAATTCGCACTTTCTTTCAAGTTCACTCTTCTCATTCAACCATTCTTTTTTATCTTCCTACCAATTAACCTATAAATCAATTATTTCTTCCTTCATCTAAGTTAATTGTTCATTTTTTTTCAGAATTTTGAATTACAATTTATTTGTAACATCTTTTAATATGTCCTCTTATTTGTAATTTTATGCAGCCTCCTCCTAAATTGTCTTTCTTTTATCATTTGCAGACTCTCTAGTTTTGTTTTAAGGGGTAAAATTATTTGTAGTTTATTGTTATTACATATAAAATTGAATGTTAACAAATAAATGAATGTATTGTTTTTACAATAAATATTTTTATGTAAAAAAACGTTACTAAAATAGTGTCTTTAAATTTCAAAAATATTCTGATGAATGGCTTTGTCAACTAAAAGGCCTAAAAGCAAAAAACAGAAGAGCTATTTTTCTCAGAGTATGACAAGACATTTTTGATGTCTGATTATATTAAAAACTGTATTATATAGAAACAACTAATTATACCAGTTGATTTTTCAAATGAATGCAGATTTGATGATTTTGCTGAAGACCACTTTGATTGAAGAATTAAGAATGAATGATTATTTAGAAGACTTAAACAATTATAAAATATTTTCAATATTTTTTATTATATGTTGATAATACTGTATCATTAACTTGTCTTCTTAAGTTCTTCAATTTCAAAAGCCTTCTTTATTGCCTCTTATTAATGCCTTGATTTGATTCCTACTTATCCACCACCAATGGTTCTCAACAATTCATGGTTTTCGTTGTAGTGTTATCTTAAATCACGAGCCTTTAATTAATTTTATTTTATACTAAGTTATCAAATTCAGCTTGATCTTCTTTTCTTACGTCTGTCAAAGCAACACAAGTAGCTGTTTTTTAGTGAACCAAAGCTCCTAATCTAGCCTTGTCTAAACATATAGAATCCTTTATTTACTTTTAACAAAGGCGAATGGGACTTCTTGACGTCTGCACAATTGTGGGAGCCAGACTACTAATTCAATTGGATCAACATCATAAGCAATCAAAACCAATTTAGCTTTCTTAGTTTCAACCAATGTAGTAACATGATTCAATCCGAATTTGAGGACTGTCACTTTCTTGCTATCTGTCTTTTAGTTTTGGGCCTTAGATTCAGCAGCCTTGACTAATCTTTATTTCTTTTCGGTTTTAGTTTCAGGGGCATATTTCTTCAACAAAGCATAGACCTTTGAGCCTTAAATTAAAATTTACAATTTACTTTGATTCTTGTCGAGTGTTTTGCTGAATTAATGAATAGCTGCTGGCACTTTGATTCTTTGCAATAAAATCTTTTTCTATCTATGTAAAAGAATATAACGAGGCCATCTGACATATCTTGATAAATCTCTCTTTGGTTGGACATCATTTCCAATTCTGAAGTTTTTAGCATCTCTAACAAAGAGTGGATTCTTCTTTCTATCTGCTACTTTCTTTTAAACTTTCTTAGCTTTGGATGTCTTAGGAGCTTTTGGCTAAAGGAATAGTCATAATCAAATTTACCATAGTTAATGAAAATCTTTTAATATATTTTTTGAAAATAAAAGAAAAAAATAAGTATTAAACATCAACCAATATTATTTATTCAAATTTTGAGCTCATCCAGAAACCACCAGACATAGTTATTTAAATCTATTCGTTGTAATAAACATTATAGTAATTTGAAGAATTAAGAATATATATGAATGATACCAAATTTATAAGTAAAATTATACTCATTCATATTTACTTAAAATGTGATTTTATTTTCAACATCTTTGACATTGTTGAATTTATATTCACTTATTTTCCTGTTTATTTAGAATCTTTAATAAATTATACTGATTATTCTTTAGAATTAATTTATTTGTCCTTGAGTAGAAAAGTCAAATAATATAATTTTCAATAATCATCAATTCATTTTTGATTTCTTTTTGAAAATCATTTAAATTTGGTTGAAGCTTCTGCTCAACTTAAATCACAAATGAATCTAAATTTTAAATTTATTACTTTTGTTTTGTTTTATATTCTAAATTAAAGCTAGTATTTGTGTACTTGTTTAATCTAAATTTCTTATTGCAAAAGCACAGTATTTTATAATGTTACCCAAATAAAGATATTTAGATATAGTAATATTACCTGATTTTGGACTATCAAAAATTACTATTTTTCATAAATAATATTATTAGATAATACTCAATCAAATAGCTTTCTCGAACAAGGCTCAAAACATTTTTCAACCTCTTCCACATTCACTTCTTCAATAGTCCTAGGATTAAATTTAGGCACATAGGACCTATCAACAAATAAGCTCTTTAAGCCTTCAACAAGATCAGGTCTTACAACAACTTTATCCAAAATCGATTATTCCATTTTTAGATTATCTTTAAGAGACAAGTTTAAATTTTTATTTCTCAAAAATGATTCATAGAAACCATAAACACTAAAAGCACTATTTTTTCTAATTAGAGCTGCTTATTGTGGGAATTGTGCATCCATAGCAGACATAATGGAAGGCAAAGATGACAAACTCAATACATTTCCAAATTATTTAGGAACATTGAATTCAGTCTTATGTTTCTTACAATACTTTTTAAGCAAGAACTCATTAATAGATTCTTTATCTCTCAATAAATGTGCATGTTCAAATTCCTTTTCAATTTCAGGTATGCATGAACTTTCAATAAGATAGTCTGCAATACCTAAATGAGCCATTTTTATGCCATCAATTTATTCTCCACTCATACCTAAATATAAACCAAAGTTTTCTGGCATTTTACTAAAATACAAACCACAACCTCCATCAGGTACTATACCAACTTTGCACTCTGGCATAGAAAAAATAGTATTCTCTGTTGCAATTCTGAAATGAGAATGAATCCCAAAGCCAGCACCTATCCCCATAGCAAATCCATTCATAATTGTTACCAAAATACTCTTAGTAGAACTCATAGCATAAACTGCTTTTTTAGCTTCATCTCCTAAATGACCAACTTTAGAAGTGCTAGGTTCATCATTTTTTCGTTGCGATATATTAAAGACATGTCTAATAATGTTTACTATAATACTTTAGATCTCCCCCAACAGAAAATGCTCTCCCATTCCCTTATAAAATAGTTACCACAGCATGTTCATTCCAAAGCTTGGTACTTTCAAGAATATCTTCACACATTTCAAGATGCACAGCATTAAGCTTCTCGGGTCTATTAAAATGAGCAATTGCCAATCCATCTTTAATTTTACTTATTAGACCATTATTTTTGGCTATATGTCTCATTTATATAATAATAATTCTTTAGTCTGAAAATAAATAATATTAAATTATGAACTTGAATATATAACTCTCTATCAAGAGACAAAGGATATTGAAATGAATATATTAAGTTTGTTTCAAAGATAAAATTGTCTCGTATAAATTTATTACTATATTGATGCTTTTATTAGATCAATCAGAGGTCATATAATTTCAATTATGACAAAATTATAAAATACATCTTTGAGATGAGATTGCTATAAAATAAGGAAAAATATAGTATGTTTTTGAGAATTGTGAAGTAAATTGATTAATTGCAAATGATTTAATTTTCGTAATAGAAATATGAATCTCGCTAGATCTGAAAATAAAAGTTATAGTATTCTTTATAAAGAATTAGCTTTCAAGCACGATATGCCCAAACGTATTCAACGACTATTTGAACATAAACTGAAAAGTTTAATAAAAAATTTCTTTCCAGTTTATGTTCAAATTCAAACTTTAAGTCTTTATATTAATCTATTAATTACTCTAGATCTGCTTAAAATAGAAAAAACTCATAAAAAATTTGAAAATACCTCTGAACAAAAGTAAAAAAATTTTAAGGAATTCATGAATATAATTATTTAAAACTCCTAATGAAAAAACCTTTAATGCTTGATATTCTTTATATGCTTATTTATATTCAAATTAAATTGGAAGCCTCCGTTGATTGCTAATCCAAATCATCTACGAATATCACTTTTTTGCTATTTTTCTATTATTTTTCAACCTTCACTCCCGATACTTTTATAATCTAAGCATTTTTTATTGTGTTTTCATAAGTTTACTGTAGAATTTATAAATCCTCATGAGTCATGGTTTTTATTAATTCAGCATAACCAAACATTATCTTTTTTTTTATTCTCTCTTGTAATGTTCCAAACTGATCTCTTCTATTTCCTTATTTTTTAAAAAAGCATAGTTTACAAATTCCAATCAATATGAATAGTGGTGCAATTAAAAAGAAATAGAGAGTAAATGACATATCAATTCAAATACAATAATAATTATTTATGAATATTATTACATAGAATGAGATGACAAATATATTGAGATGTAATTGAATAAATATTTTAGATTTTAATTATTTTCACTCATCAAAAAAATTTATTTTTTAATCATTCAAGGTTTTTGGTTTAGTTCTTAAATGAACTTTAGCATTTTTTTCATTTTCCTTTTCATCAATTTTAGGATGAGGTGAGACATTGCCACTTAACAATTTATCAGAAGCTCCAAAATCCTATTAATGTGCTTCTAAATATTTATGATGAGATTAAAGAGATTAAATTTCGTAATACTTATCAAAAATCTATACCATAGCTGGTCCCATTAATTAGATTATCCTTGAATCTACAGGAAAATTGCTCTCTTTAAGTTTTACATAAGAATTATAAATTTTCACCATCTTATTAGGTTAATGATAGTTTTTATTTCTAATCAATCTATTATATTTCGGATGATTCGATTTTTGTATCAATTGACTCGGTTCTCCTTCTGTATTTAATATTGCCTTTTGATTGTCTTCTATATTAATAATAGGTTTAGGAGTATAATTAAAAACCCTAATTTATTCTTTCTCCAATAGAGTTTATTTTAATTTTTCTATTTACTATAATTTCTACAAGATGTCTACAATATCTAAATCCTATTAAATAACAGTTTCACACTACTATAACAATTTTCTTGTCATTTATATCTTTTATATGCATGGACAACATAGTAACTAATAAAAAATAAAGTTGACTCCCAGTTTTAATTTATGTTGTTAATTACATATTTCATTAAATAGATCTTTCAAGAAAGATTCTTTTATTTCGTATAAATTATTTTCTTACTTTTCTAATCGTTCTGAGTTTAATTAGGATTATTCTTGAATTATTGTATTTTTTTTTTCGTTTTATATATTTTGGCTTGATTGGTTTTTTATTGTGAATGCTTTAGTAATTTTACTCATTTGAACTACATGAATGGTGTGGCTTTTTAATTTTGTTACCATTTCATCAATTTTATTTATTTGCTTTTAAATGTAATTTAGGAGTTTGTCATATGAAAATTCAACTTTACCATTCTTATTTTCTGGTATATTAAATTAGTATAATTTATTTGCTAAAGATAGTTTGAGTCCCATAGAATTATATTGCAATGCGATGATTCCAAAAACGGAAGATATGATTTTTAACATACCTCCGAAATATGAAAGAAATTGATCCAAGGTATTGACTTTTTTCGTTGTTTATTTGAATTCTTAGCTTAATCTAAAGATAACAGAGAATAGAGATCCTGGAATATCATTAAATATTCTAGGATATGATAAAATAAACTTACTTTAATTTCTCTATAACTATAAATTGGGAATACCCAATAATCAATTATTTCATCATCACTATAAAAACTAAATATGCTATTTTGATTGACTATTTTGTTTGATTCAAAAAAAATATCAGCTGTAGATTCAGCATCGAAGTTAGTGGCTAAAAAGAAATCAGAATTCAAGTATTAATATAATGGGTAATCGGTTTAATTTGCCATGAAGATAGCTGATTAAATGATGGTGGAGAGAGATACCATAATTGAGGAATTCTTAGCCAATTCTAAAATTTCTGATTAGGAATAACAGTCCTCTGATTTACATAATGAGATGGATAATTTAGGAAATTACATAACATAAGAACTGTAAGTACCTTATAGCCATAATCGATAATCTGTTGGTAAACAAAGATACTAACTTAATTAATTTTCAATTTAGTGAAATTCTTCAAAATTTATAGAAGGAAAATGCTGAGGGGTGCAAGTTTCCAATGTATATGTTTTAGTGATATTCTTAGTTCTGGTCCCATTTTTTTAGGTTTCAATTTAAACTTAACTCATAGAGATGGAGAAGGGGTTTTTTTATATATTGGGAAACCTATCGATAAACGGATTGTCCACTTTAATGGCGAACATAAAGTTTTAATTATTCATTTCTTTTAGATCTGGATCCATATCTTACAGTTATTAGACTTCAATCTTTAATAATTTTGGATAATTACAGTGTACGTATCTCTTTGAAAGACGCCAATTAAACCAGAGATGAGAATGTAAATCAAGACGACTGTCATCATAAGAGATAGCACTCCACCGCAAACGCTTTTATACTCTTATTGTTTATTTATATTGAGATTAGGTGGAACTCCAAAATTGTCATAGCTTCTGATGGCCTTGTTTATTTTCTATAGCATTTCAATTCAAATATCTGTAAAAGTTATTAATATTATAATATAAAAAGGGCTAATCATACTCTAAAACGAGGTTTTAATTTGAATAGTTAAATAAATATATATACATATAAGTATTTAAATGGCTGGAAACTTTTTTAAAGGGACGTCGACTGATCAGGATTCTCGATTTGGCGATAAGGAGCGTAAACTCATTATGAATAAACAATGGCCCGAAGTTTTCAATCGCAAGCTAAATATGAAAAATGTAGAAGTTCCTTATATTAACTAGATTGATTTATCAGTGATAAAACCTTGGATTGAAAAAAAAATGATATAGTATATTGGAATAGAAGATGAAGTAGTTTAGCGATAAATAATTAATTACTTAGAACAATAGAGCGAAGATATTAGAGGACCTGATCCGAAAGTTCTAAGCATTTAAATAATGGGATATTTTGAAAAAAATACACTGCCATTTATGACTGAACTATGGAATTTATTGGTTGATGCAGAGGGACAAGATTCCGGAATTGTAAATTGATTAAATGTTATTTTGAGCCAAATTAATTGTTGGATAGTAAGAAATTGGAGTACGAGGAGAAGAAAAAGGAATTGCAAAGATTATTAGACAGACAGAAGTTGCTATATCAAGCCATTGAATATTCGGAGAAGACGAGAAAAAAAATAAAATCAGAATAACAATGAATTTATAGTGTTAAAACATAATTATATATATATAGGATGATCCCTTTGATGGAGATTCTAAGCATTTTAATATAGGAGACAATAATGATCATAATAGAGAATTCGCAATATGAAATGCAAAGTTAAATATATTATGAATGTGTACTATTGTAATTGATTTCAATCAAATAAGCCTCCCATATCAACATCTTCTTCAGGTTCTGGGTCTTTTGGTTTTTCAGCTACCTTTGGAGCTTCAGCTGGCTTAGCAGCAGCTTAAGTTGTTTAAGCAGCTGGGGCTGAGCCTTATCCTCCTCCAACAGAGAGTAAACTGAGGATGTCTTTACCCTCGAAAGCTTTAACGAATGCGGCTGCCAATTATTTTGGAACATTCACTCCTGCCTGTAAATCATTTCGAATATGTGAAATACTTTTTTGGTCAATTTTTCAACATTATCAGCTGTTAATGGAGTATTTGAGCCTGCTAAAAGAAGTGCTGCATATGCTACTGCTTATGGTTATTGTGCCATTATGATTATAATTATATTTTTAAATTAAAAGATTTCCTTGTTTAATTAAATGCAAACACTTCTTAAGTAAATAATATGAAAACTCATGTATTAATGTCCATTTAAAGCCAAATGCAATCTTTATTGATGCACTACATTAATTTATATGCTTAGTAGTAATAGGCGCAACGGTATCCAAATAGCCTTGTCATTTGACGATGTTCTTCTGGTTTCCTAAAATTCAATATTGAAAGCAGAAATTATTTCATTTATGAAACTTACTGTAGTTAAAATATCAAGCTCAAAACCCAATTTGTATGTAGTCCTTTGGATACAATTACAGAAACTGAAATGGCAATTCGTATGGCAGCAAATGGTGGGTTAGGTATAATCCATAGATTTATAACAAAAAACTAAAAAGGTTAAAGATCAGAAGCTTATTTTAAAATAGACCATTTGTTGTTGGTCAAAGTTACACCCTCAAGAAAGTCTTTACCATAGCAGAAGAATGGAAAAGTATGACATTTTTAGTCACTGATGATAATTTGCTTGAACAAATCAAGATATTGAGGAATCTGATGAAAATGGTTCTCCTCGTTATAAATCTATCTCTTTATTGAGAATTATTACAAACAGAGATTTTTATGAGTAACCTTTAACATAATTAAAGAAAGAATTGATGACTCCAAAACAAAGGCTTGTTACTCCTCACTATTTGGGTATCAGTTATGAGAAGGCAAGATAAAAGATGATATCTCATAAATTAGACAAACTACAATGGAAGATAACAAAAATAATATTAGTTTAAAAGATTTAATTATGGATTCAATATTGAAAGTTCTCGATTAAATAGGTAGATTAATAATTGAAGGAGCTTTTGTTTCAAATGATGATGAAATCACAAAAGCCAAGAAATTAATCAATTTTGGTTGTGATGTTATTGTTTGGATATTGATAATGGATATTCCTGATTGGCAACATTTACCCATTATTAATATAGAAAGTAGCAATAGTGTTATCATAATTTAAAAGTGGAATCTACTGTTTTATGAGTTATTGTGGGCCTCTAATATTGCAGGGCTTTAGAAAAATATTTAATTTATTTAGATGACAAATGAAGGCTTTGTAGAAGCTGTGGTGTACATGGAATTACAAAAATATGATTTGGAAATGTGTATTATATATAATAATATTGGTTAATTTTAGAATTTTAATAATTTGATATGATAAATATTCTATATTAAAAGTATAGACTTTGATGTATCATTGATGAATGTTCAAAAAATTAAGTTCAACGAATGCAAAATTTTCCTTATAAACTACATCCAAATATCATATCTCATTTTTGGAGTTTTCAATTTTGGTAATGGCAAAAATGTTGTTACCTTTTCATATAATTTTTATGCTTTTCTAAATTTTTCCAGTCTACATGTTCTTTTAATCTGTTTATATTCTTCATTCTGCTTTTTCATATCTTCAGCAATAGTGGATAATCTCTTGATGATTACCATTTTGTTTTTTATTTTGAATTAATCTGTTTCAATCGAGAAAACAACTGGAGGTAGATATGTCACTTCTCCAATACCCCCAAAACAAAATATATTAGTAGCAAATACACAACTGCAATGACTCCATCTTTTTGTCATTAAACCTTGTCTCTTGACTTAAATCCATTAATTTAAAATCAAGTTGAAAATGACTATTTCACTTTAGTATTCTTAGATTGTTTATGATCTGCCTCCAATCAGAATCAAATTATCATTTAAACTTTCCATTGTATGATTGTATCTCCCTTAAGGAGCAACTCCAGTTCCTTAGACTCTCTCCCAACTTTACGGAGCTTATCCAGAGAAAACCAACCTCATCAAAGGGAAAGAACCCAAAGATTTAGTTTTGCCACCAAACAAATAAATTGTATCTACATTTCTCTTAAAATCAAAGGCTTCACAAATGGCATGCTAAGCTATTCCCTCATCAAAATATATCTTAGTTCCTAACCATCTCCTTGAATCCAAAGAATACATAAGTGTGTCATTCAATAATTATTCACCAGAATCTAAGCCACCAGTTATAACCATATACTTTCCCAAATATAAAGCAGCCTTATGTTCTCTTCTGGGCTCTATTGATTCTAATGTTATTGACCATTGATTGGTTTGAGTATTAAAATAAGCTAGAGTCGAATAAACCTGCCGTATTTTCATCTTGTGATCATAATATCCACTGCCTCCAAAGATTATCAGCAAATGTTTCCATGCTATCATAGAATGATTAGTAACTTTCAAACTGATGTCTGATTAATGTAATTGCCACTCTTATTTTTCTAAATTCATAAATCTAAGTATTACTTATATCATAACACCATAAATCACTACTTAAACCTGCTCCACTCATTCCTCCAAAAACATAAACTTTATCCCTGATAACTGCTATTTGAGCTGATTCCCTCCTACTAGGAATTGCATATGAATAAGCATTTAAAGCTTCCTCAAAGAAAGCGATATTAGTTTCTGGTTTGTTTTTTGTCTAAGTTGGCATTTATTAAAGGTACATTAAATTTGAATAATCCTCTAAATTACTTCCCATTTATCTCTCGAGATTTCGGACAGTATATTGTTCTTTATTTGCTATTATTCTTTGATTACAATTAAATTTATTTCTCATATTGCTCATATCTCTCATTGTAATCGACATTTTAGTTTATTCTAGTTCCAAAAAACTTTGCTGAATAAATTCCAATTAGCATTTGTTCACTTAAAGTTTATCGCTTTATTTTTCAGGAGATTTACTAGAAGTAACACATTTATTGAAATGCATTGATATATCTTCGAGAGTACTATTTTCAATAGAAGGCAACAATAATTTGTTCCTTCTAACAGAATTATCCCTTATTTTTTAGAGACTGTGATACTCATTTCTTTTCAATTTATTAAGAGAAACCTATTCGAAATAAGGGGAATAGTTAATGTCAGTTCTTTTAAAATCCTAATTCATAAATTAAATTCATATATTTTATATGAAATATACAATAATATTGATTAAATTAATCACTAAGCTTCACATTGCTGCTAAAACTTTAGGGATTGTAATTAAATTTAACATTTCAGGACCATTACCATTAAGATCATGTTAATTCCACCTTATCCCAAGAAATCTTAAATATTTTTATTCAAGAATTCGAGTAAAGTTTGATGTTTACATGAGTACTAAAACATAAGACATAAGATTAATTTAGATGAAAGGATACTCTTTGACATAGAGAGTAGATTCTAATCCATATTTTAATATTATTTGTAAAAATACATCAACTTAAATTTAAATCATCTTCGAATTTGATCTCTTATTGTAACAAATCCTTTCATTATGACATGAAAATACCGGATCTAAATATCGTAAGTCCTTCTTTCCTTATAATTACGGTCTAAAAGGTGGCTCAACCTATCTTTTGGACATTGCTTCTATGTCGATTTCTTCAAAAAAAGGATGTCGAAGGATTTCGTCAGCTCCCTTAAACCCTAAGCGTTTTGAAACCTTAATGAAACTCTCTATTATGAACCTCATTCTCAGTTAATCCCTTTATCAAGTCAACGGCTTTTTAATTCAAGTATTTTGGAAATTCAAAAGGCTAAGAAAGTCTCTTATCTATCATTTCATCCAACTACTTTGAATAGAACGGAATGGATCCACACAACATCTAATAGATCAGAATTCCCTATGTAAATTTAGAAACTATTTTACTAATGAATACCAATCGACACATTCATTGTGCCCTCTTTCGAGCAATATTTCAGGTGCCACATACTCTGGCGTTCCACAAGCTGTATAAGTAATCTAACTAAATTTATATTTGGATAAACCAAAGTCTGTCAATTTGATGTGTCCAAATTAATCCAACAGAATATTTTCTGGCTTTAAATCTCTATATATAATTCTATTTTCATGTAGATATTTCAATGCCAAAATTAATTCGACTGCATAAAATCTTGTCCTTTCCTCTGAAAATTACACATTATTCTTCAAATGTACAAACAGGTCGCCACCATTAACAAATTCTGTGCCCAAAAACAACTTATTCTTATTTTCAAAAGTGAAATAAAGCTTGATTATAAAAGGACTTTATGTTTGCTACAATATCTAATGTTCTGATTCTACAAAATTTTAATCTTCCAATTGCTTTTTGTCAATGATTTTAATTGCAAAATACTACTTTGTTTTGATGTGTTCTGCCAATAACACTTTTCCAAACAATCCAGCACCAAGCACCTATTCATAAATATTTGTCTAACATTCTTAAAGGTGAAATTTTAAAGTTAGTAACTTATTTCTTCTTCCTTTTCCTTCTGGGAAGCTTATTCTTCAATCTGATTTGGATTCAATTTCTTGGCTTCTTCTTAATTGTCTTCATCCAAAATCCCACAACATATACCCATTTTTAATTAATTAAATATTAAATACATGAATCCAGATCCTAAAAGTCTTAATATCCCTAAGGGAAGACATTCGTTTTAATGTGGAGGTACTCATTAAATGAAGATTGTTAGGCCAAACCTTTGTAGTCGATCAAAAATATGAATATATAAAACAGATTGGACATGGAGCCTATGGAGTTGTATGTTCTGCTCAAAATAAGAGAACTGGGTAGAAGGTAGCAATAAAAAAAGTAATTCTATTAATTTATGAAGGTCGCTAATGCATTTGATGATTTGATCGACGGCAAAAGGATAGTTAGAGAAATCAAATTACTAAGTACATTTTAAATTATATAAAGAATTTTTTAAACATGAGAATATCATTTCACTCTTTGATGTTCAAAAGCCTGAAGCAAAAACAGGATTTAATGATATTTACATTGTAACCGAATTTATGGAAACAGATTTACATAGAGTCATATACTCTAGGTAAGAACTGACAGATGAGCACATTCAATATTTTGTTTACTAGATCCTAAGAGGATTACTTTACATGCATTCAGCCAACGTAATTCATCGCGATCTCAAACCAGGTAATATTTTAGTTAACAAAAATTGTGATTTAAAAATATGCGATTTAGGCTTAGCAAGAGGATATGAAAACGAGGAAGACTTCAAAACAGAGTATTTGATAATACAATTATCCTAGATACGTTGTTACTAGATGGTATAGAGCTCCTGAAGTTATTTTGAATGCATCTGAATACAGTAAGGCAGTCGACATTTACTCTGTTGGTTGTATCTTGGCTGAATTATTGGGAAGGACTCCTTTATTCCCAGGCGAAAACTATTTAGATTAAGTTTAGAGAATCATTGCAGTCTTAGGAACTCCTACTGCTGACGATATGAAATACATTGGAAACAATAACGCAATTAAATACATTAAAAGTCTTCCCAAAAGATCTAAATAGAAGTGGGAAGCTCTTTTCCCTAAGGTTTGAATCCACCTCTTATAATAGGCAAATAACAAAGCTCTAGATTTGTTAGGAAAGATGATCACATTCAACCCAGAACAACGTTATACTGTTGAATAATGTCTTCAGCATCCTTACTTTGATGAATTGCATAATCCTGATGAAGAACCCCTGAGTGGCAAAGCCTTTGATTGGAGTTGGGATAATTTCGACCCAACCAAAGAATTACTTTAAAATATGATCTATCAAGAATCCCTCTCCTTTAATGATGAAGTTCCTGAAAGAAAGAAAAAGTCAAATTAATTCTAATTGAAAGCTTGAATTTATATCGATTTATCGAGAATAACAATAAATAACTTTAAAATATACTTATGTTGATTACCAAACTATTAATTTTATAAGGAACTGTTTTTAATTAAAAATTGTTGCTATTTTTAAATGATGAGAACTGTGTTTTTATAATTAATCTATATATCAGAATTCATCTCACTTTGGATGACACCTTTGAGAATCCATACAAATTTGTAGACTTTCTGGTTGTTCCAATGTTGCTTTTATCATTTTTAAAATAGTTTAATGTAATCGAGAAAGTTTTCTTTTCATTGGCTTTAGTAGTGCTTGAATTCAAAAAATCAAAAGCTGATAATCTTCCAGTACTATTTCTACAGCTATTAGCATTTTTTGTATTGATAGTTGGTTTTTCGAATGCATACAATAATTCTTTAATATTAGTATACTGTACTTTAAGAGATATCAAATGAATTTTCGATAGTTTGCTTTTGTGCCTTAGAAGAGTCATCCTCTGGTTCATTGGTGGTTGGCTTGAAAGGTAGATTTAACAATTATGGTTTTTTGATCATAAATTTATTTAAAAAAAACAATAAATTACCGAAAGATAAGTTATAATAAAATTCATTGTTAATATAGCATTTGTCTTAATCTTTAGATTTCTTCATTTTTTTGTCTTAGTTAATCTTGTGATTCTTATAATTCATCATTCAATAATAAATTATGTTCAATCAATAATTTATTTTCTCTTTTATAATTCTCCAGGATTATTTTAGTTTTCGCTAAAACCTTTTTCAGATCTTAAATTGTGAATGATTATTTCTTCTGCTGATGACCTTTCAATAGAAAAGCCAAGTTTTATGATTCTTTCATTTTTTAGTTTTATTTATTCATTTATTAAAGCTTTTCTGCCAATCTCTTTGTTTTGCACACAACATCTACGGACAAGATTATGAAATTTCATACCAATGAACTTGTCTTTAATAGGTTTTTTGTCGATTTCATCTGTCAACACACTTTGGCCATCTGCTGTCTATGATCGGACTTAACTTGAATCATTTTTGTTTGGAAAGTAGGAATTGTTGGCCTTCTAATTTAAAATGCTATTCGAACTATTGATGGTTGTGAGATATGATTTCAATCCTTTGGAACTACGCATTAATAATAATTTATTACACTACCTCTTATCCAAGTTGAAATTATCGAGAGAAAATCTATGTACACCAACTTCGTTTTTTTTATTTAAATAATGCAGGGAAGTAGATTATTGTAAAGGACTTCTAGCTTCATCCATTTAATGAGATCTTTTCCTCCCCTGACAATTCAAATATTTTTCATAGAGATTCAAAAAATTGTCCTATCGAAGTGGTGTTCTTTATTAGTAGGATTCTTTGTAAGAATATTTCGAAGCAGCTCTGCATTATCAAATTGAATTTACTTAGGGGTGTTTTGTTGGCTTACTTAAGTCTTCATTAAATAATGAAATTTATGAATTGTAAATCAAATAAATAAGCACATCATTTATTACTATTATAAAAATATTGCAATATTCTTTTGTCAAAAATCTGTCGTGATTCGATTATATATTAATTAAAGTAACAATTAATTATACCATTATTATTGATGGAAATAACTACATTAAAAGACTTGATCATCAAATAAATGCTTGATTTACAAAGTACAGTGTATAGTGGTACTTTATTTTACTGAAATAAGTAATCCCTAAATTGCCCTCAATTAAGAGTTCCAACTATTAGGAAGGAGTATTAATTGGAAGAATATTGTTATAGGCGAATGAATAAATTTAGATAATAGTCCAAAAACTTATAGATAATTAAAATACTATGCTTACTAGAAGTAAATTAAAAGGATCAAATATCCATAATAATTTAGAGCAAAACCCTCTAAAATAGATTCAATATGAAAACCCTCCAAAATAGATTTAATATGAGTCTAATTAGAATAAAGAGAAAAAATTATCAATTAAAATAACTCCAGAACCTAATATAGACAGACCTTGTTGTTTATGTTATGAAGGAAATGAAAACACATGCGGCAAAATTATTATTATACCAAATTCTCTTAGGAAATTATAGGCGCATTCCCAGTGCTTTAAAAATATAAATAATCCAAAATAAATAGAATTTGATAAAGTATATTTATTATATAGAACATAAGTATATTAGATTAATTTATATTTAGGAATGTTCAATTTGTGAAAAATAAGGGGCATCATTTGCTTGTGAGAAATGTAATAGAAAATATCATTTTCCATGCTTTGTTGACTCTAACTAAGAAGGTATACTTTAATGCAATTGCTAAAAATCTTGATTAACTATTATTAATGTTAGTATACTATTCTCATTATCAAAAAATTATCAAGCAGCAATTTTATATTCTTGTCTCTGTTATTGAGATTTCTTTTTTGAGACAATTTTATTAAATGATATAATCAATAAATACTCATATTAAATAAATAAGGATTATATCATAAATTCTTTCCTTTTAAAATTAATTTCTTCATAGGAAAAAAATAATATTTTCTTTCTACACATAGGATAATAGTATTATAAACTAAATAAGTGTATGATTATACAAAAATAATTGTGTTATAATCATAAAAAAGGACTAAAAAAATATTTATATGTTTTTGATATCCAATAAATAGATTTTATTAGTAAGAGATTAGACCAAAGTATATAGATTAGTATTATTTTATAAACAACCTAAAACTAAATATAAAATATAGTAAGTGGAATTTATTTATTGAGGTTGCTATCTAAAGCTTAAGAAATCCACAATATACTAAAAATACTTTCATTATAGAAATCTAGAACTTAATTAAGTAGATTTAATAGGCATCAAAGCTTGATGAATGATCTGAAAGAATAACAAGATTTGATATTATCTCATAAATGACAAAAATCGGATTTGATGAACAGTAATTTTACACACTTTTATATTTCTTTTATATTTCTTTATGACAATTTTATATTCTGCATTACACATTAAGTATAGTTTTAACTACATTTGTGTTATTTTAAAATAAATAATATTGATTAGGCAATTAATTACGTAATGCTTGACTTTTTACTTTCAGAAGAGGGAGAAGAGTAGTACAAAAGCGAGGTAGTTAATACTATCAGTAACATAATTGGATGGACATATTTCGTATGTTGGTCTGCTAGTTTTTACGGATAGTTGTATGAAAACTTCAAAGTGAAAAAGTATGTTGAATTGCAATTATTTAGTGTGAAAGGTATAGCCTTTGAATTTCTTGGCTTGAATTTGACTGGATTCCTGTTTTTAAGCGCGTATAGTTCTGCTGGATATTACAAAGGAGGAGATAATGGATGGCCATTTAGTGGTGATATAACAGTGCAAGATTTGTTTTTTGCATATCATGCAGTTGCTATAACACTCTTAACCATTATCTAAACGGGTTATTACTATAAAAAAGGTGATAACAAAGGAGTAAGCTTATGGTGCATTGTTGTCCTAATTGTTCTTTGGTCTCAAACTATTTTTTACGTACTATTGACTTGGATATTTGATTGGCAAGTTATATTCTAACAAGAAAAATTAAATGTTTTATATTGGATGGGATATGAGAAACTCTTTATTTCCTTTATTAAATATGTGCCTTAAGTGTTTCTAAATTACAAAAGAAAGTCAACAGTTGGTTGGAGTATTTTCAATATCTTACTAGACTTTATGGGAGGATTCTTATCATTCTTATAAATGTTACTTGACTCGCTTAATGGAAGTAATGAATTAATATTAATTTTAGAGAGCGCCAATCTAGTAGATGTGAACATTGTTAAATTTATTTTGAGTTGGATAGCCATGGGCTTTGATGGAATTTTCATGTTCTAACATTACATTCTCTATAATCCTAAGAAAAGAACCAGAGATGCTTTACTAGATGAATATTCGATTCCAAAAAAATGAATAATCTAAATTATTTAAATTATTTATATTTTATGTAAAATAATATATCAATCCTAAAAGTAATGAAATTAACTCATGCTTTTTAAAGAGGACTAAATAAATATAAATTATGTTACTATTCTATTATTAATACAACATAGAAAGGAAAATAAAATAAAAATATCTTTAAAATTTTGTAAAAGGATCTTAAATTAGAGGATTCTAAATTTAAAACAAACTAATCAGTTAATTTGAGACATTGTTGAAAAAATAGGCATTATGAATATTTAGATTTTTAATAAAATTTATTATTTTTTTTTTGAAATTTTTAATTATAAATATATTTAAGCAAAAAAGGAAAATTAATTCACTCTCATAATAGGAAAAGAAGAATAATGCAATTTACAATCTTTTTGTCTAAATTATATTAAAGGACTGTATTCTCAAGTAAACTGGCAATTGAAATACTTAAATTTTTCTAAAGAGAATAGTAAACTGAAATTTAAAAAAATAAGCATCTATTTTTATAGTTGTTATTTTCAAGTAGAGACTAATATAAATGTGAGAGTTTATTTAAATATTTCATAAAAAGTCTATTTTAATATTATTTTGCCAATATGACACAACTATATAGGATTTATCTGAAAAATTACTTAAAAAAGAAAAGTGATTAGTCATTTCAACTAGAAGTTTTTGATGAATAGTAATTTAATTAATTAAGTATATTCAAATATAGACCCCTATTCTCTATTATTGTTGTTAATCGATAAAAAATAGAATTTAATAATATGTAAAAGCAATAAGATTTGGTTATAATCACTAAATTAATCAATAGAAATAGATAGTAAGCTTAGATAATCTCTAAGTTCTAATGATTATCCTCTAGTTGGGGTAAAAGTTTCAGAACTATTTAGACAAAGTTGAATTTTAATATGAAGAAGAAATCAACAAATAAATAAAATAAGAAAAAAGAATTAACGTCCTCAATTAAAAGAATTATTAAAAGAGATGACCAAATAGGATTTTAATTTTCTTAAAAAAGAGAAGATCCTAAATATTAAGAAGATTTAGAAAACAAAGAAGAATAATAATATTAATATACTGATAATATGATTAGTTAATTTAAAATAAAAGATATCCAACAAAATAGTGGTCTCTATTTGATAGTGTAAAAAGTTCATTTAAAACCAGTAATTTTTCCATAAGTAGATTAGATGATAGTGGTAAATCCTTTGCATCAAAAGGTGGTTACTGTTAAAACTGTTCAATTTAAAGCTAGAGTAACATGAATATTTTAGCAAAAGTAAAATATTATAGATATCACACATCTTAGAAGAATAATGATTTGATTATTACAATAATCAGATTAATTTTCAATTTATGTAGTAAACTTTACAATGTTAGATATAAATATTTCAATAAAAATGTTATTTCATTGTAAACTATTATTATATTTTATTTTAATAAATAATGAATTATGTTACAGCTTCTCTTAAGGATTTATTACCCTCAAATTAAAAGGCTGTGATTAAGTTCAAAATAACACCTGGTAAGAAAATAGATTCTATCTGCTAATGCAATTAAAAAACCTGTATGATATGTTCTCGTAAAAGATCATCATCTATGCTTTCATTAAAATCAATAAAAAATTCAGTTGCTATTGATGAAAATTCTCCTGGACTTAAAAGAACAGATAATAAAAACAATTTTGTAATACAATCTAGCCTGCTTTCTAAGTAACTATCAAGGTAAGTATCTAACCATCAAATCCAAAATTAATTTTACAATGGAAAAATCAATTAGGAGTCCAAAGGTAGCACTAATTCAACTACCTGGATAATGACTAATTCTCATTCTCGAAAAATATCGGTAGATAGTCCAATAAAGGAAATCTAATAACAAACTTTAAATTCAATGGGAATAGGAAGACATTCTTTCAAGTTTCTATACGTAGTTGGTAAGGGAGGGTTTGGAAAAGTATGGAGAGTGGAAATGAAGGCAAATCGATAGGAATTTGCTTTAAAAGAAATGTTAAAAACCAAGTATTAATATCTAAAATTTTAGGATTATATCTAAGAGATCAGTCAATTCAGTAATGAATGAGAAATTCCTGCTCGAACACTTGAAGCATCCATTTTTAGTGAATATGCACTATGCATTTTAGGATAGGGAAAATCTCTACTTAGTTTTAGATATATTAAGAGGAGGAGATTTAAGATATCACATAGGTAGAATGAAAAAGTTCTCTGAAGAATAAACAAGTATTTAAATAATAAAGACTAGAATTTTTCGCTTGCTGTATATTGTTGTCTTTACAATACTTACATTAGCATGGAATTATCCACAGAGATGTCAAACCTGAGAATTTAGTATTTGATAAGGATGGATTTCTAAGACTGACAGACTTAGGAGTGGCTCGTTTAAACAAGGATAGTGTGGCTAATGATACTTCTGGCACTCCCGGATATATGGCACCTGAAGTAATGTGCAGAATGGAACACTCATTTCCTGTTGATTATTATGCTGTGGGTGTAATAGTCTATGAACTTCTAATTGGTAAGAGACCTTATAATGGGAAGAATCGATAGGAAATTCGAGAATAAATATTGGCTAAATAAATATAAATTAAAGAAAACACACCAGGAATAAGCAATAAGGCCATTGATTTTGTCAACAAAGTAATTATAAAAATCAAGAATATTAGTTGCTAATTAGAAAACCTTAACAAAGACTCGGATTTAATGGAATTGATGAGATTTTAAATCATTCTTGGTTACACAATTTTCCTTGGGGCAAGCTTTTAAATAAAGAAATCAGATCTCTATATGTACCTGGAGTAACGCATCTAAATTATATAGAGTATCGATGGCAACTATGACTTTTAAAGCTAGATCTCAGCTGACAGCGATCCCTCAGAAGACAGTTCCATGGTATTAAGAAGGAAGAGCGTATAAGGATTATTTGAAGGATACAAATTCCAATGAGATTAATCATTTGTCTTCCTCCATTTATAATTTTGTGATAAAAATTATCAACTTTAAAAATAATTCTCTAAAAACCTATATTTATGATCAATTCTAAATAAAAAGCATAATAATTAATATAAACTATTTCTATGTTATAACATCTGAGTTTACAATAATTGGAGCTTCTGTACACTAAAAGAAAAAGGTAGTAAAAATATTAGTCTGCAGAATTAGAATTATCAGCCAAAGAGCTTTAGGATTTCAATAGCAAAAAACCTGAAGACACAAGTTTACAATTTGATAACGAGGATGAAGACTAATTAAATACTCATTAGGATTCAATTAATCTATTAAATGAAGAAATAGTGGATCATATCTATTAAAATCCATCAAAAAAAAGATTGATGATCCTTGGAATGGGTCTAATTTAATGTGTGTATATTCTTATTACTCATTTTATGGGAGTATTTCTATTTGACTCAGAAATATTTTCTTTCATTTTTTGCACTACTTTAGTTATTTATTTCATTAAAATAGCCATAAGTTGGATTTAAAGTCCAGATAGAGGCAAATTAATAACAAAATAATAAGTATGTGCATTTGTTTTGGGAATGTAATCGGGAATGATTACTGCAATTATATTAAATATCAACCAAGAAAATAAATTATTTAATATCCTGGTTGCTTTTATTCCATGCACAATTATGAATATCATGTTTATATATTTTTCATAAAAATATTAAACAATTTTATGATGAAATTATCAACTTAATATAACTATATTAATATGAACTATAATATTTAGAAAGATATCTTTAGATGTACTATTACTTAATTCAATATTTTTAAGATCTGTTGATATTATACAAATTAAGAATCAATGCAGAACAAATAAAACAATATCTGAATTTTCTTAATTTAAATAAAATATATAAATCTAATATTGAAATCCAAATAAAATATAATCAAAAGTGTCATAGTCAATTTAATTCCTTTAATTTAAGTTTTGTTCTTTTTTTATTCACTCTTATTGTTCTGTTTGTTTCCTTTTAAATTTATTCAGCACTCCTCACCAAAAAGGATTTATCCCTCTGTCTATTTGAAAGTTCCTCTTAAAGATTTCCGATCGTAACAATCACTATATCAGGACAATAATGTATAAAAGATTACGATTAGTCATATAATAATCTATTTAAGCTTACGTCATAGATTCTATTTTTTTTTGTTACAGTCAACAAATCTTGATAGGAATGAACTGTATTTGAAGCATTACTGTTTGAAATAGTGACTTAAGTCATAAAGAAAGATGGATGATGTTGTGTATTAAAAAAATTATCAGGAGCCTATTCAAAATAGTTTGAATTAAACAAATGTGATACAAATTAGGTAGCATTGTTAACCACTACAACAGAAATAGTTCTATTTTTACTTTGCACAATTACTCGTTTAAGCTATTATGCTTTACTTTTAAGAGATTACAGTTAATCAGGCTTAAAATGAATTGTCTATAAAAGACTTATGATAGTAGTTTAATGATAATGATTTTTGGTTTGAAGGATTGCATTTTGATATCTCCGTGATGATTATTCTTATTATTGTTATGCATATATTAAATCCTCCAACTCCAAAGAAGGTAAATCTGTTTAACTGCTAGCATTATTGTATTATTTAGATTCCTCTTAAATTCCGCTGTTTTGCTGTTTGTAAAATTGGGAGTTAACTCTTCTAGGATGCTATTAAAGAGATAGATTATTTAATCTCCCAGTTTTTGGTTGGATATAAGGGGATAATGACAACTATGCCTTATTTTTCATTCTATGGGTTTAAGTATCTATTTTTTGGCTCCAAGGTGAAAAATGTTGCATTCTTTATTATCTAAATAATTTTTAAATTGAAACATAATGTCTGTGCAAACAAACATTTCATAATAATAAAATTCTGATTTATTCTATAATTGCTAGTATATATCTATTTCTTATGAAAACTAAAAAAACATAAATTTTAATAATGCATAATTACTCCAAAATTATAAAAAACCTAAAATCAGAAGAAATCGATTAAGAATATGAAAGAATTAGAAGTCAGTCAAAAAATAGAAGTTATAGCACAAAAAATAGTAATTACGAGTCAACTAAAACATCTTTTCAAGAGAATATATCCCTCAAAGTATTTGTTGAAATTGTATTCATCTTAGAATTAACTCTATATTTTACAGGAATAATTAAATAATGAGAAATAAAGAACTAATTAATTAGAAATAGTAATCAAAAAGTTAAAATCTTCCCTGCTCTAATAAGATAAGTATGTTATATAAATATTTTTTGAGTATCGAGAGATTTGTTGTCGAAATGCGAAGAAAAAATTTAAATTATAATTGAGAAAGACAAACTCATCAAGCAATTACAAGAATAAATGAAATCCTTGCAAGCAGAGAACGACCATGTTCAAAATACATTATCGGAATTTTAAGATGTATAAATCAATTATATTTACAGTTAGAATTAACTATAAATTAATTAACATCTTCTTATAATTCGATAGCTCCTAATATGGTTGATTAATAAACCATCCTTGAATAATGTTTGGATTATCTGAGTTCGTTAAGTAAGCTGGTAAATCCTATTTTAAATGGCACATAGCCTTAACTATAAGATCTTTTCAAAACTAAACAAAAATTTAAACCAAGATAAAAGTTTTAAATAACTGAATTGTGCGAGAATAATATGAGGCATATTTAGGATATCGAGAAATAACTAGTACATATTCTAGAACTGATTGATTAAAAGTTTATCAATGAGCTTGCTTAATATATTAAATGAGATTCTTGTTTAGATATGAGTTATAACTTAGTTAATTTAGTTAAATAGTATAAATATTATGAAATATAAGTAATTATTATTTTCCCCTGAAATTGAATTAACAAAGATTAAAATAAAATATGATTTCTTAATTGAAAATAGATAACTGATCATTTATTTCCGTTATAATTAATTTCGTAAATAATTCTATTGTAAATAATGTTTATAATACAATATATATTGCTCTTTCAAGATCTTAATATTAATTATTAATAGAATTATGATTTGAATAAGCACTTAATTTTAATAATGAATATCTAAACCCTTATTTCATTTAGATTACTAATCTTTAGATATTTTGATAAATAATGATGTTATGAATTGACATAATTTCATTTTTATCAATGAAGCCTAAGTTTAATTTTATTTTATTTAATTATAATATTTTTAAAAGATCTAAACTTGTTCTTCATTATAAATCGCTATTACAAATATATATAATCTATACATCGTAATAATTAGTTTAATTAGAATAAATTTTATAAATAATTTTTTTCTACATTTAAAAGCTGTGTTTCAGTCGAAACAACTGAAGGAGGTTACTAAAAATACATTTATGGTATTCTCTACCTCTAAAATTTGATGATTAGTTTGGATAAAAAATTAATTTTCTTCACAAGGTAAGAGTTTTGATGATGAATTTTTAAGGGACAGGATAAGTTTAAGCCTGAGTTAATGAGTTTAGTTCATTATGATAATGTTTGGAAGGTGGCTATGCTATTTTTAAATATACATAAGGGCAAAACTATCAAATTAGATTCAGAGATAATTTGTTATCGAAATTAACTGTTTTCTGAGAAGAAAATTATTTGAGTTCGGTTTCTCCAAAAAAGGGAATATGTATTCTTTTGTTTGCATTTATTAAATTTTAAGTTATTGCAAACAAATTATCTATTTTTTTAAGTTACACCAAATATTATATTTATATTAAAAATAGAAAAAGATATTAGATGAATATCCAGGTTTACGCAATTAGGAAAAAGCAAGAGATTGATATAGATTCTAAGAATGTTTAATAAGGGGGGCCAATTTTGGATGATAATAGATAATGTTTATTTATAAATAATTAAGGAAATATTTATTTCCAATATATTATTGCATATTAATTTGAGAAGGCTGAAACGATGTTATTTAATAGTGAAATAGGGGCCAAGTTTTAAAAAGCATTGAAGAGGGCAAGCAAGTCTTTAACGATTATCCGAAATTAAAAGGTAGAACCAATCAAATTTGAGTTTATCGATTCTTAAACAGAGTATATATTAGTTTTTAAAGCTTAAAATAAATTAGCATCAAAATGGTAATATATGCATAATATAGTGTAGAGTGGCATTGCAAAGAGCGCAAAAGGAGGAAAAGGTGGAAAAGGCGGAAAAGGAGCAAAATTTGGTCAAGGAAAGAATAAGAAAGCCCCTTAATCCAGGTCTTTGAAAGCAGGGCTTTAAGTAGTGAATTTGACAATAATAAGTTCCCTGTGGGTCGTATTCATAGATATTTGAAGCAAAGAGTATCAGCCAAGAACAGAGTAGGAACAACATCAGCCGTATACACATCAGCAATTTTAGAGTACTTGACAGCTGAAGTGCTTGAATTAGCTGGAAATGCTTCAAAAGACTTCAAAGGTATTGTAATTCTAATTAATTTCCTCTTTAGTCAGAAGAATCACACCAAGACATCTTTAATTAGCAATTAGAGGTGATGAGGAACTCGACATTCTTATCAGAGCCACCATTGCAGGAGGTGGTGTTATTCCACATATTCACAAGGCTTTATTAGGAAAATAAACACCAGAAGGAGGAATTCCAAAGGAATGATATATATTATATTAATTCATAGAAAATATTAATGTTATAGGGCTTCGCTCATAGTAATTCTTCTTGAAGGCTCTAACTAAATCATCCTATCTATCAAATCGGCTCCTTCGTATCCAATCTTAGAGAGCAACTCTTGCTAAAACAAGTACTTAGTTGGATAAAATCGAGGAAATGCTGCAGCCTCCTAATTAATTTTATATGGGTACATTGAACAAGGGTAAGCCACAAAGAGAGGGTGCGATGAAGGCACTGGGAGTACCTAACTTAGAGAATATTTTGAATAGCATCTCGATTTATGAGTCGCCATAAAAGAGAATTTCCTTCATAACTACTTAATAGAACACACAACCCAAGGACCATACATCTACGGATACGTGATACTTTCAAGATTAAGATACAATTTACGTTATCACACCCCAACAAATTTTCAGGTGGTCTGAAATGCAATGTAATGACTTCATAGGAATGTTTCTCACAGTTCGAATTAAAATTTCTACATTGCCCAAAATTCATTCTGGCTATGCCAAAATCACTAATGTAAACATTTTGCTTTTCATCCACAAGAATATTCAAAGGTTTCAAATCTCTATGCATGAACCCTAATTTATGAATGTTGTAGACTCCAAGTAGAAGCTACTTGAAAATCTTCTTATAATTGATTTCACTGTTCTTCTTGATGTGTTCATAAAGATTGTAGGGGTAGAATGGCAAAACTATATAAACACATCCTTTTTCAAAAATCACCTTTTATAAAGGAACTATGTGATTTTATCCTTTTAAAGAACTGAGGGCCGATATTTCCCTAAGAATAAGACCTCTAGCCATACCTGATAGTGGATTGATCAATCTATTGTGACCTTCCAGAAAAAATTCTTTTGATAGCGAAAACTTCACCTAAAATTATAAAAAATCATGTGTTTACTTGTATTTTCATCAATCGCTTTATAAACATCTCCGAAAGCTCCATAACCTACTTTCTCTTATAGAATAAATTATTGGACTTTTTTATTATCCTACATTATCAAACAAATTAACAAAAAGAACAAATTAAATAATGTAAATTACATATTAATCTTCCCTTTAAAAATTACACTTTTCTAACTATCATTATATAATATTATAATCTATATTTCATTATTTTATTTAAATTATGTTAAAATTTAGTGGAGAGTTTAATCATGCTTACATTATTACTTATGAAAGAAAACCAAAACTCTATAAGAAACTCACTTACTTGAATTTGCTACTTTTTGTAATAATAAGTTGGCTTTAATTCAATTTATAGTAAACTATATTGATCACTATAATTTACAACATTTTAATTTATGTAATTGGAGGAAATGAAATAATAATTGAGCAAATGCAAATCATCAAGAATATTGGCATACAAATCGAAAAAAGAAAGAGCAATGGAAGCATGTCTAGAGAATTTATTAATTAAAATATTATTAGAGATGTTGTTCTTTAAGAGGGATTAACCACCTTCACAGTTGAAATTTATCTAGCAATCATCTGCAAAGGCATGAAATAAATGATTTTACCTTTTCAATATAATCTAAGCACAGATTAACTAATGTAAATTTATTATCCTTTAAGATAAATGATTATGTGATTAAATTTATATTCAATAGTATATTTATATATATTTAATTAATTGCTACCCAATTCTGATAGAGTATTCAAACCTAAGTTTTAAAAATGTAATGTTTAATTTCTTTAACATATGCAGAACTTATTAAATTATTTTAATATTAATTGAATGTTGAATTTTGTTTTTGTAATTTAATCTGAGTTTAAATCATAAATAAAATAGATATCTTTTTTTGGATATCTTTTTGTTTAGATAAAACTCTTAATTCAATATGGAGAGATGGTAATTTATAGATAGCTATAATAACAAAACATTTTAGAAAATTGCTTAGTCTGAGATTGTGTTGACTCACTCAATTAATACTTTATAATGATGTAGGAAAGTTATTTCCTAAATTTTAAATAATATTATATAAGGAATAGAGTTGATTGTTATGCTGGCTAACAAAATGATGGTTTTGAGAAGTGACATCATAATCATTAGTCATATGATTTGTTAATAATTTTTTCAGTATTTTCATAAATAAATGAAGTATCTTTCTAATTCTGATTCCCAGTCGTTGGTAAGCCATCATCAGGACTATTTAATCTTGATTATAACTAGGAAACTATAATCTATATAGATTTTCTCTTTAATCCTCCTTTGATTCGAAGCTTTTCGACTTTAAGGAATAAGTTATCTTAGTTCACTATTCTACTTTGAAGGCAAGGTTTAATTTATAAATTTCCTAATTTGTTTACTCAATCTTTTCTTATCCGTCATCTAAAAATTATTTTATAAATTACATCAATCATGATTTAATCTTTAAAGTGATCTAAAACTAAGGAGATCATTCTCTATTGAAATTCCTTATATTCAGATTTTCTTTCTTCACTCTTAACTGATTGAATTGACTTTATTTTTTTGTTCATAATCTCAGCTATCTCTCTAGAGTTCCTTCCTTAGCTCTTTAACTCCATAATCTGTTTTCTTTCCTCAATGGAATTGAGATTATACACCATTCCTATACGATTCAATTTTGTATTTTATTTCATCATTAAAATCTAATTAATTAAATCGAAAAAAGAATGGAAAGAAAAAGATCAGGATTAATTCTGCTCTCATAGTTTAGATTAACCTCAACAATATGTCTAGATGATCTAGCAATAACACTAGGTTAAGCTAGGAGGCTATTTTTTAGTTGGAATTCATATAATTAATTTTTGATATTTAAAAATAATATCTTAATTAATTAATATCAAATTATAAAAAGAAATTATAATTAGTTTTATTGAAATCGACAAAGTGTTGTTTTTCGTTTGTTTCATAAATCCACAAAAAGGATTAGCTTCAAAAAAGGGTGGAAAAATATGTTTAACATATATTTTTAATACGATTACCAATAGATATATTCACACTTTCCTTATGATCTATATGAAGCGAATTTACGATTCTATTTTGCATGCTCTCTTCAATTATCTCTAGATCACAACAAATAACCAATCTCACAAACTTTTCGCCATAGAACAACTCTCCTGGAAACACTAGAACATTCTACTCCTATTAAAGTTTCTTGGCAAAATCAATAGATGTATCAATGTCTGAAAATTCTTCTGCATTAATAATCAAAGTTGAGTACATAGCCCCCTTAGTTTCTCCAACACTTATTCCAAATGCATCATGAAGACCATGATGTAATGCCTTGTATCTGCTATGAAGTTCCTCCATTTTTTCAGGAATAATGTCTAAACTCTTTTTATAGACTTCACAAAGCGCTGCTTAACATATTGTATTGGGCATTAATAAAATATTGCTGATATTTCTTAATGCCTTTTTCACTTCTTTAAATGTATCACCTTCTCCATAGAGAGCCAACCAACCCAATCTCCATCCTGGGACGAGACATTTTTTAGTCAAACCAGAACATCTCAAAACAGGAACAGTTTTAGAATAATCAGAAATAAATTTAAACTCTCTCTTCTCAAAAATCATATTTTCATAGATTTCATCACTCACTATTGGAAGATTATTATGTCTTTCACAAACTAAGGATATTGCATGATTATATTACAGTTAACAATTTCTGTCAATGCTATTGGACTTAATTCACTTCCCATAGGATTACTTGGAGAATTAACTAAAATAAATTTGATATCTGGATTCTACTCATAGATGTATTCCAATTCTACAATATTTACTTACCAAGTTCCTGGATTTAAATCATAAAACACAACTTAAATGCCATAGAAATCAGCAAAAGCCTTTACCAATGGAAATGTTGGTCTGGGCATTAAGATCTTGTCTCCAGGTTTTGCTAAAGCCAATGTAGCGTAAAAGAGAGCTCCACTGCCGCCACTAGCAAGTATAATGTCATCTGCCTCTAATTTTCTATGATGTGATGATAACACCTCTGCCAACTGAGTTCTCACATTGAAGTCACCAAAAAAATCAGTATATCCATCTATTTTTCCAACAGAATTTGCTACTATCTCCTTGTATTCATTTGGAGTTTAAAATTTTGGATAAGCTGTAGGATCACCAAGAAGAAAAACAATCTTTTATTCTGGTCGTCCTTCTGATTTTCCTGTTTTTTCTACCTCAGGCACTACTTGTTCAACCCAATTTCTTATTGGGTTCAATGATACTTAAGCTCTCGCTGAAGGTTTTAACATATTCCATGATCTTTCCACTTATTACATATTATTTTATTATGTGATGCAATAAATGATCAAATATTTTTATTATCAGGATTTAAGAATTTATTTCTTTATATTCATTGTTTCACAGCAAAAGTAAGTCAAAATATAAAGAAATTAATAAATGTGTTTGTGGTGTGCATAAAATATTTTAATATTATATTGAAATTAAAGATTGAAGTTGTTAATTTCTTTATTTTAATTTTCTGTTTTTGCTGGCATTGGACTTTTCTTATACACTCAAAAATGAATATATTTCTTTATTTATTTAGTAGTTCAACTTATAAATTAGAAGGTCTATTGTCATTAATTCTTACTATAGTTCTTAAGAATAGCGAATTGCTTGCTATTTTTCTATTTTTAAATAATTACTTTTCTGCCTTCCGCATAAAAAATAAAGTTTCAAGTAATAAAAATATAAAAATTGTGCTACAAAAAAAGTGATCCTAATAAGGTTTAGAATTTTTATAGCATAAATTAAAGATATATAGACATGAGATTTTATAATATTTATTAGGTCTATCATTTTTACTTTTGTGTATAAATAGTTAACAATATGAAAATTTAATATTATATTAATTATAGTTTATCAAATTATGATTTCATCTTCATCATCATTATTTTAATTTTCATTCTAACTGATAACTTTATCTTAAAGTTTCTCATTAATGTCTTCCTATTTACTTTGATTTTGTACAATTTATTAATTCTCCTTTTCTTATTAAGTTTTCTTTCTCTAATTGTTTTCAGTGACCTCCTCCAGTTACTCCTGTTTCTATTGTTGCTATATTGGTTATTGATATTCTTGAAAAATATTATTTTCTTAGAATAAATCCAATTTAATATTTAAACTCATCATTTAACAAGTATTTAATAACTATTTTATCATCTAATAACCTTCTAAGGATTGCTAGTCATAATTCAGTTTATCTGAGTCATCTAAATTATTATTTCCTCTAAGATACACTAAATCAATATAGATATCATTATCAAAATGTTATTAAGAATCTAGATCGTTTATTTTGAAACGAATGATATTTTTGAATAAGAACCCAGTATGAATTTAGAATCTAAATATTGGAAGTAGATCATTTTCTGGTGTAATGTGCTTGCATTTAAATACAACATCATTGCTTATTTATAAATTTGGGAGAATGAATATGCATTGTTCATTTTTTTGTATGATCTGATTTTTTTCTTCATATAGTATTCCTTTCCTATCCAATACTTGAAATAATGGTTTCAAATTCTAGAACTACTTTGGAATTCCACTTAAGATAACAGATTTCACCTTTATAATTTGAGTGTTCAATTATCCATTAGTCAACAAATGGTGCAAGTACTTATGTATATACATGAGTTAAGATTTTAATGGAGATTTAAGTCCGATTGCTTTTGCAATAATGTAAAAACTCTCATCAATACTCACCTTAAAAACAAGAGACCAGAAAATCGAAAGGAGTATGGCACTCCTTCCTTTATTTTGTTAACAATGAATAATTGCAACGTTGCCTTGATGTTGTATCCAGTCCAAAATGGATTTACATATTAATAGTAACTCATAAAGAGGTGGACATGCAAATCCAATGTAAGAATGCATTGAAACCTAATTCAGAAATAACTCTCTTGTATAGTCATGTTCACTCAAATTCCAAATATAATACTGATGTCCATATTGTTTATTTAGATACTAAGAAACAGATACGATGTATTCTTGCTTTGGAAAAGGCATCCAAAATACATTATCTGTAATTTAATATAAAGTTTTCATAAAATATTAATTTATGGATTATTAGAAGCATCTAAAGATACTGAAAGAGACTTTGGAATAACATAAGATTACTCCAGAAAATTTGAGAGAAAAAAGATTGTCCTTCAAAGAGTTCCCAAAACAAATAAATAATAGAGTAGTTGATGCCTTTTAATCATTTGCTCCTTTCGATAGAGCACCAGTTTGGATGATGAGGTATATTTTATGTAGAATGTCAAAATTAGACAAGCAGGAAGATATCTCCCAGAATACAGAGAAATTAAGGCAGAAATGGATTTTTTTGCTACTTGCCAAAATCCATTCATTGCTGCTGAAATCACATTATAACCAACGAAACAATTTGATATTGATGCAGCAATCATCTTTTCTGATATTTTAGTTTTACCTAAAATGATGGGAATGGAAGTAAGAATATTTTTAAGAATATTTTAGATCACAATTGAAGAAAAGAAGGGACCAGTAATTGCAAATCCATTGGTTACTCCAGATGATATTTAAAGACTTCATCCTCCTAATCCAGAACATTTGGAACATGTTTATGATGCTCTATTTTTGACCAGATTGGCATTACAAGGAAAGTGTAATCTCATAGGATTTTGTGGTGCTCCTTGGACTGTCTTTGCATATATGATAGAAGGGGGGTCGAGCAAACTATTTTCCAAAGTTAAGAAATGGCTGTATTTATACACGGAGGGGTCCTTGTAGGTTTTAGAATTGCTAGCAAAGGAGAGTGCCAAGTATTTAATCAATCAAGTCAAGTAAGGTGGGGCTTAAGTTGTTTAGATATTCGACTCTTGGGCAGGGTATCTCTTATAATTTAATGTAGTTAAATTCCAGCATAGGATTACATAGAATTTATCATTCCTTCTTTAAGAATATTGTTTGAAGATTTCAAGAAGGAGTGTCCAGATACTCCTTTAATTATGTTTCCTAAGGATCAGAATGATAAGAAAGTTATCGTTGAATTTTTAAAATTGATATATAATGATAAACCCTTAGTTGATGGATTCCAACTAGATTCAAATGTGAGTGATGAAACTCTGGTTAAGATTATTGAAGCCAATAGAACCATATAAGGAAATCTAGAACCAGGAGTAATTCTAAATACTAATCTATTCTAGGTCTTATACGGGACTCCTGCAATAATTAAAAAGAGGATTTCGCAAATGATTGAGAAGCTCCAGACCACTAGGAGATACATAGTTAATTTGGCACATGGACTTACTCCAGATCATGAGGTGGAGAAAGTCCGATTGTTTGTTTAAGAGTCTTAACGTCAATCAAAATTATACAAAGCCAAGGAAATTTTGGAATGAATTTTCAATTCGTGCAGTTAGTCATTCAATTAACTCTTCGAAACTATATATTAGTTTAGTATTATTATAGATATGTATATAATCAACCAATTATTGCACCCCCTTGCAGCCATTGTTACATAATTCGATTAGAAAATATTATCATTAAAAAGACAAACAAATTCAGCAAGTTACATTCTATCCCCTTAAATCTATAATAACTTCCAATCAGCCATGAAGCCCAGTAGTAAAAGAAAGATCAAGAAAAAAATAACAAAACACATCATACATTTCATCATATTCAAAGAGGAGCATCTAAGTTCTCCTCATAATACAAATCAATATCTACTAACAAAACACATAAACTAAGAAATTTGCAAAGATGTTGACCCAAAAGAACCTGGCAGTATGTTATCCTTTTTATTAAATGAATAAAGGCCACAATCGAGTGATCCACTATTTTAACTCTAAGACTCAGAAAGACTAGTTAAAGACTGCATTGATATGCTAAACAAATAACCCTGAATATACTCAATCACTATTGTTTAATGTTATTATTTATTCCTTATATTTAGTTTTATATAATTTTATTAATGATGGCTTCTCTATAAATTAAACTAAGTAAATTAGAGTCTTTTTATACCGACCATCCCTCGAATACAATTAAAGACCCTGCTAATAATGCAATAAAAATTTTTTGAAATTCTAATGAAACGTGTTTTATAAAATTTAATTTTATAAAGTCATTTTTTATTAACTGAGTCTAGTAACTCTCCAAACATAATACACCTTAAAGCAATTTAGGATGAGCATTTCTTCCCCCACAATCATCAATAAGATCACTGATAAGAATTGTTCTGAGCCTCATTTTGATCGATTCCGATGATTCTGAATGATAATAAATTTGATGGTAGAAAGAATTATTTTAATGAGAAAATTCTGGTTATTAAAATTTTCAGTACAAATTGATTATTTTTAAAGCAATAATAAATTAATATTTGTTTGAAAAATAAAAAATGGGTTGTAGTTCCGCTAAGGGAAAAAGGAAGGGTTCACTCTCTATCCCAAAAAATGGTATTTTGAAAAGACCTAGCAATCAGCAATAAGTGTTATCAGATTTAGTTAGTACCAAAAAGAAGACTCTCAGTTTTTAAATGCTATCAATTAATTCCTAAGAAGCAAATAGAAGAAGTAGCCATACAAGGCAGATTATATCTGACTGATACGACCGAAATGTGTGATTATATTTTGATTATATGTTGTAGTTTATAATAGAGTATTAAAAAATCGTTCTACTTTTATTGTCTTTTCTTTAGTCGATCTCATGAACCAATTACTTATTATTTAGAATACCCAAGGGAACACGTCTCAACTTATATATCAACAGTACTGTTTACATTATTGAATGAAGTTTTAAATTGAGGTTACATTTTATACAAAATTTGATGATTTTATGACTACATATATATTGAGAACTTCGAATCTCATTTCAACGATATGAACTCTGTTTTGATGTTTTTAATAAATATTATTGTTCTTAAATTAATATATATAATGCATTTGTAAATTAATGCAAAAATATTTAATTAAATTTAATTTATTAATTAAATTCCACTTCATAAAATGAACTACAAAGCAATGCATAATTGCAAGGAATTCGAATAATTAAATATTTAGAATTGATGAGTTGGGGATAGCCAGAATAAGCACCTTAGCAAGAATAATCTTGGGGTAATACTGAATCAACATGGGGCAATAATGGTGGTGACTAATAGTAATAGGATAATAAACCTGCTTGGGGAGGAGAATCAAATGATGGTTAGGAGAATAGGGAATTCAGAGGAAGAGGCGGAAGAGGAGGCAGAGGTGGAAGAGGAGACAGAGGAGGAAGAGGAAGAGGAGGTGATAGAGGAAGAGGCGGTGATAGAGGAGGACGAGGAGGCAGAGGTAGAGGAAGAGGCAATGATGAAAACAAGGAGGAAGGAGAGATCAAACCTAAAACTGAAAGCGGAGGCTGGGGATAGTAGACATCAGATGGATGGGGTTAAACTTAGTAAGAGAATAAAGAACCAGCTCAAGGGTAATCCGATGGTAATAATTGGGGGGGAGGAGCACCTACTGAGAATGCTGGAGGATGGGGATAATCGAATAATGAAGCTCAAGGGTGGGGTGGAAATTAAGAAAATAATAATAATCAGGATGGTTAATAGGAATAATAGAAGGGTAAGGGGAAAGGAAGAAAGAGAGATTCACCTCCTCCTGCGAAGAGAGTTAGGCCTAATCCAATAGTGATTACAGTAGAAGATGAAGAGGATAGTGAAACTTAACATGTTATAATAAATGAATATCCAGTGTTGCAAAACAAGTAGAAGGGACTGATCAAGAGTGAGGAATAGTAAATATGTTTTGAAGGTAATTTGAAGATAGATGAAAATAATATGAGTGCATAATTCGTTAGTTTTGATACCGAAATAAAAGTTAAAATTGATTAAATCGAAGATTACACAATAGAGAATTCAAAGGATTTACTGAAAACTATTGGAGATTCAATAATAGTAGGAATAGTTCAAGGTGTTGACAAGGATAATCAGAAGGCTATAAATAAATTAGCAGACAATCTTTTGGATAAGCAACAGTCGATTCACTTCAAAGATGTCAGTCTATTTAGCATCAAATAATTGTATAAGGGAGAGAGTACTTCAAGATTGGCATTCGTCAAGTAGATTTAAGGGTGATGATTATGGATATTATTAAATAAAATATGAATGTAATTTTTCAATGTTTCACTGGATGTGGGTGTTCGTGATTCCATTCTTCATAAGACCCATCAAATAGAAGTAATCTAATATATATATGTATTTGCTATTACTCTTTTTTCTTAAGAATTTCTTAGGCCAGAAGTGCAATGCAACTTAATTTCCCAGTTTGACAAGTGTTAACAATTTTCTTGGTAATATCAATTTAGTGACTTTTGTATAGCTTTTGTAAATTTTCAGTAGATTTCATGGTGTGATCGTCATTCAAGTACTCTGAATAGGGTAAATTATACGATCCAGGTATAGATCCCTTCTTGTACCTTGGTTGATCCCTTGCATCCAAAAGTAGCCAATCATCACCTTTTGGGTCCTTGTGTTGTTTGAGATAGGAAATCACGGATACATCGTTTGTAGTTAAGGAGGTCACTTAATCCTTTGGTTAGTCCTCTTGAAATAAACACTAATCATACACTTATTCAAATCCTCAAAAACTTTGCTTTCATGTTTATCGATGTCGTGTTGATGATGCCACTTATTAAATCCACCATCTAAGACATAGACTCTTTTGAATCCGAAATATCTAAAGGTAAACCAAGCTCTGGCAGCGAAATGAATGTGTTCATCAAAAAATACGATGGGAGTCAGATGATCATATTAATTGTCCTGAATATATTTCTCAAAAGTGTTTTTGGTTGGTAATTTACGAGGTACTGGAACAGGAGTAGCTGTGATATCAATTAAATTGAGGGTTGATTAGTCCAAAGTAATTCTGTGAGCATGGGTGAATTTATTGTTTTCTTCTTAGTTATGATGATGATCTGTCATGATTACATTGACTATTTTTATTCTGGATTTATTTTTGACTAGATAATGCAAGTATGGTGCAGAAATCAATGATCCACGCATTTTTAATATAAAATTGATTAATTTAGGAATTCGATATTAAATATTGTGTAGTATTTAATATTAATTATGAAAATTGAAATCACTAAATAGACACAGAGGGGATAAATTAAATATCCTTTTGTGAGTAATAAATAATTATGAATTTACTTTTATTTATTACTTTGATTAAATCATGCTACAACTAGGCTGTGAATACTTATGTTAAAATCGGATGTGTTGAGATAGTAAATGGGAATTGTGTAAAATTATGCAAACTTGGATTGTTCGATTGTGATGATTATCAGAATCTTATTTGCGAATATGGATACTTCAACTACGAAAGTACCTGTGTTCAATGTCCGAAATAAAATCTGAATGATGATTCTGTAATTTATTGTGGAGATTGTATTGATAATTCTAAGACATGGTAAAATTCCAGGTTGTGCACTTACGATTTCATAATAGAAGATGACGATAGATTGAATGGAGCCTACATAAAACGAATTAATGAGTACAGCGAATTATATGTTATTGGCGTTGCTACCACTTAATTAATGTGGAATAAACCCATTGCACGTGATACAACAAGACAATACGAATCCTAGATTTGCAGTGGATGTCATACTATTTGTACATCAACATCAGATCCGTTCTGCAATACCATATCCAATGAAGTAGATCAGCTAGTTAAAGGAATCACTTGTTTGGATGGATATTTTTTTTAGAATGGAGTCTGTGTTGCCTGTGGCATCAATTGCATAGAATGTAAGGATAGATACACTTGTGTTGAGTGTTATTCTGGTTACTATCTAAATGGTTTAGTGTGTGATAAATGCTAATCCAATTGTTTGGATTGTCTCAAACCTATTACCGAAGCAACCATCAAATGCTACTCCTGTTTAAGTCCAAATATCATTTCTATTGATAGATCAGTCTGTGAAAGTTGTGGTGACTCCTGCTTACGATGCGAGTATGTTAGTTATGACTAGATCACCAAATATAAATTTATCACCAGAGATAACGTGGACCCGGCAATCGATGACATCAATAGATATGTCAAAAGATGCAGACAGTGTGATGGCAATAACTTGGTTGATTACAGAGGATAAGATTGTGTACAATGTTAAATCAAAGATTGCTTAAAATGTTATTATACTATCACTATGGGCGGAGTCTCTAGGTCTACACTTGATCTAGACTTTTAGCCTCTAAAACCATCAGAGTAGGCATCCTAATAGCTATGTTACTTATGTGCATCTGGCACCTCTCTAAGTCCTGATATGACTTAATGTATGCCCTAGGCTCCTACTACACCTGTAGTAGATTGTCTTTACTATGGAGACAGCAGCAACAAATGCTAGCAATGTTAGAATTATCAAATCTTGGATTTTGATAACAATCTGTGCAAATCAGATTTCTGCTTTACATAAATCAAAAATTGTCAGAATTGTTATCAATATCGAACAATAAACATAGTCCAATAGAAGACATTCTATCATTGTACTAAATGTGAGGAATACTATTATCCTGATTTTTTCACGGGAACATGCGAACATTGTCCCAACCATTGTTCTTCTTGTTGGTAATACTCATAGACTTACAATTTCACTTTGTACAATGAAATCCCAAAAATCATTCAAAATAGAAAGATCTATTATTTAGATGGTGCTATAAATATCTATTGTTCAGAATGTGAAAGCGGCTTTTAATTGTACAATAATTAATGTTTGGGATGCACAAGCAATTGCATGATACCTGCAACTGGAGTAGCAACCTTAAAATCGTCTTGTCTTTATAAATCTAAATATGCATTATGCTCCTAATGTTATGAACCCTTATATCAAAGATCACTTACTTCTGATCTATCAGAATGTCAAGAATGTCCGAATTACTGTCTTGCCTGTCATGAACGATTAAAATCCTAATTTCCTAACAAGTACTTTAACCCAAGCAGTCAAATCCTACAGAAATACAGTAGATCATGCTATAAATTATAAACTGTAAGTGGAGGTTCTGCAGTTATTCATTATAATTCCTAACTCAACATGCCTGTTAGTTGTAATACAGATTAGCCTTGTAGATACAAATATGACATTGACTTAATCCTCTTTTGCAGCGTTGAGGATTATCTGTCATAATTGACATTTTCCCCATCGAATGCCAAATTCTATTATAATCTAGCTACCTCTTATACGACTAAAAGTGAGGATGTTGCCACCATCAAATTTGCAAATCTAGAAACATTAGTGTTTTATGAGTATTTGAACACTCTACCACTTGAAATCCTGAATTTGAATCTTAAAATTAAAGGTGATAGTAATAATAATTGCAACTTCTCAAAATCTACTAGAATCCTGACCCAATTTCATGAAAATGTCTTTTCTTTAATAGACTTCAAGTTCACAATTATGAGTTATTCATCAGACCCCTTGAATTTGTATGTGAATGGAAATTTTACACTCTCCAATTATCCCAATATTATCATCCAGAATATAAGACTGTACACACAAGAATCCTAGTTCATTTTCAAACTAGATGAATGTTCAAACCTATTTCTTAGCAGTGTTTAATTTCAAAAGGTTTCCTCAACTGCACTTTAGATTCTACTATAAAATTTGGACAAACTAGATATGCAAGATGTCACCTTTGACAACTTTACAGGCACTAACGATATCATTTCCTTCTCTCCAATAAAGCAAATAGTAATGTAGAATGTTGTCTTCAACTCATTAAAATTAAAGTCTATTTATTTAATAGAAATGCACCCATAAGTTGATATTAAGATGAACAATATTAAGATAAGCAACTCTGTCTTTGTAGATTTTCATTTCATTGGTGATTTAGAACCCAACGATTAATTGATTGGCAAGACTATTATAATTGGTCTAGAGATAATCAATAATACATTTAATAGTTCCTTCATTTTTAAGACTTCGAATAGTGAGAAGTTCTTTTTAAGTCAATTATCATTTAAAGATAATCTAATTTATGATTCAGAGTTATTTATCTCTAATCATTTTATTTTTTCAAATGCCTTGATTTACAATAATCAATTTGGAGTTGGAGCCAGTTTATTAGGAACTAGTGATGAAATATTTGAGGAACAATTGTATACTTTGAGTGAGTCCAATTTCACAGACGTTCAAATTGTAAACAATAGTTGCTATCAATCCTTGATATAAATACAATCACCATTCAATCAATAATATATTGTGATGAATATCAAAATCGATTCACTATATGTAGATCAAATTGAAACTTCAAAAGATGGCACTCCACTTATTTAAATTAAGGAAGTTGGATATATTTAAATTAATAATTTAATTATAAAAAACCTCTTAAAAGTAACAGGACTAGAAATCAAGCAAGCTACCTGGGTATGGATTAATCAATTTGAGTGTGACTCAGCCAATTAAAATACATAGATGCCTATTCAAGAAAGTTGTTTTGAGCAAAAGGAAGCCAATTCTTATTGCTTGCACATAGAAGAATTTGATAGGGGAGTGTATCTGTAGAATGGCATAATCAAGAAGCAATTATAGATGGATTCTTCCTTAATTTACATAAAATCCTTTGATTACTTGACTAAGAACACTGAGAGTAACGTAGAACTGGATAATTCAAAGTTTTTTTTTGGTTATAGTAATGAGTTAGTCAAATTGGAAGATATCAAATTCTATAATAATACCTTGGCAATCTTGGATCCGTAGATAAAGATATCATCGATAGTAATAGATTCAACTTAAAGATAAAAGGTTCTTATAAGTGATTTAACTTTTGTTGGAAATCATCTGCATCGAATTCCTCCATCAGTCAATGTTGATTTGGTTACGTGCATATTAATAGATTCGCCTTTAGCTGATCTCATTATTACTAATAGCGAGTTTCTAGATAATAGAGCAACCAAGTCCATTTTAGGTCTAAACAAATTTATAGTGGATAGTGTGATATTGGATAGTCTCAATATGCAAGATACAAATGTAATTTAGATATATTATGCTGATATATTGGAAGAACACTCATTATTTACTTAAGATCCAAAGGTAGAGATATAGAACATTCAGAGTTACTTTGAAATTTAATCCTTGGGATCTAATATCTATTTTGATTGTGATAACATAAGTATTTCAAATTTAACAATCAATAATTCAGTTGGATTGGATGGTGCAGGTATGTTTATAGTTGGAAGCGAGAAATTAGTTGTTAAGATGTCTGATATAGTGATGAAAAACTTGGTTTGTTCGTTGGAATATGATACTCTAGGCTGTGGTATGTACATCAACACATAGGTGTCTTCACTATCTTTAGAGATTTAGGATATGACCATGGATAAGATAATCGCATATCAAGGAGCTGGTATTTATATTCTGAGTTAACAATTTCTTATCTAAGTGAGCATCAGAGATTCAATATTCCATCAATGTCAATCTCTTGATTCTTAAGTGTTCTATTTCAAGCAATAGACATTCACTACTTCAATACCTTCAATCCTTTTTGACAACTGTACTGTCTATAATAACCATTATGATAACTACTTATTGAATATAATCACATTAAGACCATAAATTGATTATGATGCCAGAGTGGAGGATGAAAATCAGCTGATTTCTATTGATTATGCCACAATTACGATTACAAATTGTCTATTTACTGATATATCTTTTACTACGATATTGAAATTACAAAATATCATCTAATTGACTATTTTGAATACCAATATCAACAATGTAGCTATTGGATTATCTAAATTGATTAATTTGGAATTCTATAATTAAGTGGGACACATATCGATATCTGGATTGATTATTCAAAATGTTTATCCATATCCTTAATGGGATTAGTAGCAGATGGATTATTTAAAATCAAAGTATAGTGATCAACTCGAATCTTCGACAGTGGCTGAATAGGTTGATCAATTATAAGAATGCAAATTGCCTAAAACTTCTGGTTTTGTAGTGAATCTTGCAACTATTTCATATGACATTGATACTAGCAAAATACCTAGGAATCCTGTTCAATACAGTAAATTCAATACTACATTATATACCTACTATACTAATTATGAAGATACTTCATTAATCACTTATTTGTACTCCGAATATATTATTAATAATTTAATTAACTCATATCCGGCCTTAATTTACTTACCAGATGTGGACTTCATTAGTACAGATGCTTCAACACTCTCACACTCTCTCTAAATTAACAAACTACTCCTAAAATCTATTACATGTGGATATTGCACTTATGGTTTATTTTATATTTAAAATATCAACACCAAAGCAAATAAAAGCATTGTGTTGAATGAAGTCAATTGTGTCAACAATGTTGTAGATCAATATGGATGCATAAATTTAAAAGGAAGAACAACTAGTGATTTGAAAAACACAAAGATCTATACAATCATAGTTGAGAATAGCAATTTCATGAATAATTAAGCAGTTTATGGGGCTGGTTTGAGTGTGTAAAATGTATCTCTATATCTCAAGAATACCTCCTTCTTAGATAATACAGCCACTAAAACAGGTGGAGCCATTCTATTCTCTCAATCTAATAAATAAATATATTTGGAGGAGGTTACCATTTAAGGGAACAAAGCAGATATTGGTGGGGGAATCTACATGAATGGTTAGAGCTTACCTGGTTAGGATGTCAATATTATTGGCAACACAGGTAGAAGTCTAGTTGAAGAAATACCCTAGCATCTGAGCATTTCGATGATCAAGGGTGCTATTTTACCGACTAAAGTATTTGATACTAATATTGATGCACTCTCATTAACGTTGAATCTACCATCTGGTCAAAGCATCTCATCCTACAAACTTTACTATCAACCAACATAGGAGTAAGTCCCATATGATTGGATATTCAGAGTCATGAATTTAGATAGAAATCACAATCCAATCTTAACAGCCTCATTAACAGATACATGTAATATCACAGGGAGAATGTAGAATTCTGAGAACTTTGATAAAACTCTCAAATTCCTTAGTAATTATACATAACCTTCGCTCATCTATTTTAGCGATGAATCATTCAATCTAGATGAATTAATAATTACATTTGATCCATATTTACCTGAATAATACTACCTTCAGTTACAGTTTTAATGTTCAACTATAAAATTACCAATCGAACCATATCCTTATCAATCCTATAGTACAAACTATGCATTATATGTCAATCTTAGAACATTGCCTTGTTAATTAGGAGAAGCATATACTGCATAAAAGTGTTAAGTTTGTGGGAAAGGTTAGTATGCTTTAACAATCAATTAAGTTATATGCACAAATATGGATGTTTAATCAATGGAGGAAGTGACACCAGTGAGAATAAAACTGTTTTCTGGATATTGGAGATACGATAATGATAGAGTAGAGAACTGTTATAATTTGGAAGAGAATTGCAATGGCGGATGGATTCCAGGAAATCCTTCCTGTTACTCTGGACACACTGGAGCATTGTGTGAATCATGTGATATCTATGGCATCAGGGGAGAACAGTATAGCATAAGTACAAAATACAAGTGTGGATAATGTTCACAAACAAAGTCGAATAATTCCTTAACGATTGCAGCCATCTGCATTTTCACTCTGCTTTAGATGGTATTGTCGGTTAGAGGTAACTTTTAGATGATCGAAAACTTTATCAAAGAATAAGTATTATAATCAATCGGAGTAAGGATGAATGTAACGTAAGCAAACTTGTCGATTTTGATAAAGATCGTAATCAATTATTTCTAGATAATAAGTGCCTTGGGAACATTTCGAATATCCATTCCTACTAATTTAATATCCTCAGTTGACATAGTAGCCAATCCTACTCAATCGATGGCTTATTCTTTGGATTGCTTCCTGATTGAGATAACCATTACTGAGATTTTGTATTTCAGAATGATTTGGGCATTAGTGATGCCACTAATTTATTTGTTAATCTTCTTCATGGGGTATTTCCTTGGAGTCATCACAACCTTCTTACCAGCCAGGATGAATATTATCTATACTACCTTCATCTACATGTTCATATATCTGCAGCCCACACTAATAGGTGGGTTCATAGCCTTATTGTCATCGAGAACATTGGGAGGTGTGGATTTTGTGTAATCAGACGTTCAGTATCTATATGACAGCAGTACTCACTATTTTTGGATGGTAATATTCGCAGCACCGAACATCTTCTGTTGGGGAGCCTTGTTCCCTTACATCTTCATGCATTTGATCAGGAGGAATAACCAAACGTTGACTTCAATTCAAACTCGCAGGAAATATGGATACTTTTATAATGAATATACCTAACATGCTTATTTGTGGGAATTCGTTAAGATCTTTGAAAAGCAGTTTGTGTTGATGGCTCTCACTTATTATGAAGATACGGTGATCATTAAAGGCCTTATGGTATTTTTGATTGTGTTTATCTATGGGATCCTATCCTTTGAATTTTAACCTTATTAGAGTAAGAGACTTAATTATATTGATCAAATGTCTGCAGCCGTATGCGTGTTTTCACTCTGTTTGGGAGTTCTAATAAAGGCTTCTTAGAGTGAGAACATGGAATATTTGTAATTTATAATGTTTTCAATTATCGGAGTTCTGAATTTGCTCTTTTTATTGATCCTTCTCTTTGAAGTGTTTCGTGGATACATCGACAAATTCGAAATTCATATAGACAAGATTAGAGACAAGATCAGATAGAAGTACCCGCAATTTTAGAATTACAAATGGATTCGTCAACTTCTGATCAACAGAGGAGAATTAAAGAAGAGAATTAAAATTCTTTGGTCTCATCTGCGATATCAAACTCACAGAGGAATAATGAGGAGAAGACAGGACAAGAATCTACCTCTATTTGAAGTCAAGTTGATTCTCTAGGACTCAGAGAAAGATATAGATCATTCCCGTGCCGAATCCAGAGTGGAATCAAAGGCAAATTCGAGATTGTCAGTCATTGACATAAATCAAGAGGAACTGATGCAGTTAGCTAATTACAGTAGTTTATAGGCCAAAACGCCAGAGATCCAAAAGATCTACCCTTTGGAGAGTTAGAAGAGTATTGCTTAGTTGACAAAAAAGAGAATATGAGTTAGCTTATAATTATAATATGCATCAGACTTTTGGTAAGGGTGCTTTATTAATTATCTATTTATTAAATTACTTTTGTTGTGTTTCCTGATGCTTATGTCGACTGTTCTTGATTGAACTGGAGTTTCGGAGCGGAAATGCTAAGGCAAAAAGCAATTGTAAATTCTCCTTGAATTCTGAGTGATGTTCTTCAGATATTTCTTGCTTTATTTATACTCTTTTTTAATCTTATCAAAGGAGATGACTGAACTAGTTTATCTTAACCGTCTCTCTATGGACTAATCTGTCTTCTTACTAACATACTTCATTATCTTCGATCAATCTCTTCATATCAATTATTTTCTATCCCAAATTTGATGGTCGTGGGATGTCTGATGTGTCCAACTTCCCATAATAAGATGGACAATGATTGATTTCTAGAATCCGCGATACTAGAGCCTTCTTGATTGTTGGGTCTTCCCGTACCTTTTTCAAGCTGCACACCTATTTCTTCCTCATATATGGCTAATCAACTTGAACTGGAGTAGCCTTGATTTTTATTATCTGATGCAGATGTTTCTGATATGACTTATTGATACTCAACAACTTTACTTTCATTAATTAATACTCTGAAACTGGCGTGATGATTTCATTTTTATTCCAAATATTCATTAAATTAAATAAAATCTCCAACAATCAACAAATAACGACAACCCTCAATCTCTCACTTCGTTTGTTGACCCTGTTTAAATATATATCAAAATTAAATGTTAAAGAAGTTAAGTCACTTTCTGCTTGTTGAAAATAGAACCATCCTTTCTATAAGAGATTTATAGATGAAATCTTAAAGGGAATGAAGTAGCTAAAAATTACCTTAGTTAATCCAGCAATTTTAAAGTCTATTACTCTTAATCATAAATCATTTTTTTAAGCCATCTTGTGTGTACCATTAATGAAAGAATTAGTCGTATTACTCAAAAGGAAGGTACCCAGGTAGGTGTAATATTGCAATGATCAAATCTGGAAGGACATAGATAAAATCCTTTAAAGTACTTTGTTCAGCAACATTAACATATTCTTAATAATACATAGAATTAATCTAATCAAATAATATTGATTATTAATTAAATTATGTAAATTCATATTAAAATAATTTCACAGCCTCCGAAAAGAAGTGCATCGGATATTTATTAAGAATTGAAGAATTGGTTAAAGAAGAACGAAATTAATCTAAATATTCATTGCATTAAATTAAAGCCTGAACCTGTGGAGGAACTCTAAAATCAGATCAAGAAATCTCAATTTTGGAACTCTAAAATTTTAAAATCAATCTCTGAAGATTCTATAGTCTAATTTATCTCAAAGATTGAACCGAAACTTTATAATGATTCCAAATTCGTTCTAGGCAAGTAATTAGATTACTGTGAAATGATTGAAGATTTATTAGTAAAACCCTAGGAGGATTTATTTGGAGTTCCGAATTGGCACCCTACAATTAGACCATAAAATTTGTAATAAGTGTCTTAAGGCAATACACAATGCTACATATATTTTTATGGGTAGGATATCCAAAAACTCAGATTGTATGAAGATGAAAAAAATCAGAAACAAATTAGTCTTTTCGGAAAGCAATACCTTCTTAAAGGGTAGGCACAGAGACGTGAGTTAAAAATAATTAAGGACAACTTTAAATCAATACCTGGAATTGAGTTTTAATTTGGAATCTTAAGTAAGGTTTTTTATTAGTATTGGTCTACTGCCTAAATCTAGAAGTACTACAATGAGGATACTTTTCAAGTCTAAGATATTAATTTAGAACTCTAAAATACTCAAGTTAGAGTGTATTTTAGTTTGATTTTGGACAGAACTAGAAAAATTAATTGTTTAATCTAATTTCAAACCAAAAAGGATGGAAATGTTAAAGAAGTAGAATATAATAAAACATATTCGAATGGAGGCATTATTGTTGATAAATCAAAAGATGAAAATCAAATTAATTTCTATATTAAAGTTCTTGATACACCCAAATGTTATATTCAAGAGGATTATGATTATGATAAATACAAAAATCAAAAAGATATCAAATTTTGGAGATCATAGAATTTCGTATAAAATGATATAAGGAACATTATTTAAGCAGGAATCATAAGACAATCATCTTCTCTAAAGTTCACAGTGCATCATAGCTAAACTTAGAATGAAAATTTTTATAATTTTTGTTAAGAAATTGAAAATTAAGGATACTTAGAGAAATTTATGGGAGATCAACACATTTAAATGAAAAGAATTTCAGAACTTAGTAAGACTGAGGATAAATTCAACGTTAGAATTGGTTTAAATTGGATGCTGCTATCTGCTGCCTTTGGTCGATGCAAAATGATTTAACCGAACATAAAATTTCAAGACTTTATAGAATAGGTCAAAGAATTGCCTCCTTTAGCCATAGCATATTAAATAAAGAACTTGAAATAGAAAAAATAAGAAAAAAAGGATAAGGAAATTTTCTAATTTGACAAATTTTTAGACATGTAAAATAAAATTAATTATTAGTGTTAAAAAAAATGGTTAAAAACATCCTGAAGATATTTTAGAAGAAACTCTATTGGCAGATCTTACACCTACTGGAATACTGCCTAATTATTCCATATAGGAGTGCATTCCTTTTTATGATTTAGAAAGGTTTTGGAGATAGTAAATTAAAGGCAAATTATAAACTAAATCAAAAGGACTCATGGAGGAAATAGTTAAGATTAGGATTAGAGATGACAACTTTGAAATCTTAAGATAAAAGTAATTTGATAAACATCAATAAAAGCACTTTTTATTTTCAGGCTATTTTAGAGAACTACTGAAAGGCAAGCTGAACATAGTAGAAAGAAATTATAAATTCTTAGGTTATGATTGCAGAGGACTCAGAAAAGGTGAATTTTATGCTATAAACTCTGAGTATTTCGAAAACACATATCAATATATGTTTTAGTAGTTGATGAAATCATATGAAAATAACCAAAGAATAGTGAAATGTTCTTAAATTCAGAAGATATTCAATGAACATTTAAATCATATCAATACATCCCTTTCACTGAACGAAATCGAAAATAAGTTATTAGACAAAAAATTTGAACTAGACATTTAATAAGATCAACTTTAAAAAGGGCCATTGATTCAAACAAAAGTTGACACTAAATAAATAAATAGGAAAAAGACTTAAGAAAATAATTACAACTATAAAATACTCATGCCTTAAGGAAAAGCATCAAATGATGTAATAAAATTGATGAACGAAATAGCATTTGAAGGGCAGAATACAGATTATTGTTGTTTTATCATCAGGTATTAAAATTACAAAGGAATGCTCACCAAAATGGCCAATCCTAATAAAGAAGGTGTTATTCGATTGTATGATAATATGATAGACAAAAATTCTCCAACAAATCAATATATGGAAGGATTAAATTAAAAATGTTGGGTAGAGAAGAAAAAATTAGATGAAATACAAATATTAGGAGTGCCTGAATTTAAACCATGTGTGTTAAGATTGTTTTAGATCCTAAATATAATAAGTCTTGAGGTTGAAACTAATGAAAAGAAAGTGTTTAAGGCCTTTCGGAAATATTTTCATATGTTAAAATAAACAGTAAGCAAGTAAAACGACCCAAATTAAGATCCTTTCTATATGAGAACCCTTAAGTAATATGAAAGAAAATAGGAATATTTGCTACCTGTGAAGAAGGGTGCATATTTAATGGGAGTCTATGATCCACTATTATAACCTGATGAGGTTTTTATCAATGTGTAATACGAAGAAGAGAATTAAAGTTTTGTTGTTTAAGACTAAAAAATAATAATTTTCAAAAAAAATTATTTGATGAAGGATGCAATCAGTTTGTTTTAAAACACTAGTAAGGCAAATTAGGAATTACTGGCTTAACGTTATAAGAATGTGATTGTATTTTCAGTTCATATGCTTGGAGACAAGTTTCCTCAAGATGAGTTTGATGATAAGTAAAAATTTGTAGCAATTTGGGATTAGAAACTTATACCTGATATTGCAATTACACTTTTTGATGGTAAAAATTATTGTAAAAGTTTCAAAAATAAAATTCAAGGATAAAATTCTCAAAATCAAGCTTCAATCGATCAACATTTTGATAAAACTGAATGGCTATCAGGGTTATAAACTTAGGCAATTGATTTCTTCTGTGTATTCCAACAATCTTGTAACTTTAATGAACTTAAAACTATTTATACTAAAATTATGCTCCAAAATCTATTGTATTAAAGAGATGCGTCGTTTTAAAAGATCTTTGAAAAAATTACAATCTAATTAAAGATTATTAATATAATAGGAATGAAATATGCAAGTACTTAGGCTTAAAAGACAAATGTATTTAGTTTAATTTATCGTTTAATAGTATTCTGAAATCTTGAAGCATCTAAAAAACATCGATAAGGAAATGTTAAATATAGATCTTGCAGTTGAATAATATTTCCAAAAATAATGAATTTATAATAATATTTAATATGTCAGGATAAAAAGACTATTCAGTTCCTAGTAGATTTCCATCCTCCAATAGAAAATTCAAATTGAAAACTCTCTCTCAGTTTGAAGAATCTCAAATCAACCGCAATCAAGAACTCGAACATCAATTGAAAATGGTCTCAAAGTAAAATGATAAGTATTAATCATTATTAATGTCTAAGATTAAGCTCCTTAAATTAGTACTTATAGTCCACACTAAATAAGAGAAATGAAGTAATCTTCGAAGAACGATAACTCTATAATAAGACGAAATCCATAGTAAGTCCTTAGAAATCTAATTCTACATCGAAACGCTAATCATAATAATTTCATTCGAGGAAAAGTTCAATGCCTTACTTAACATAAACGAGCAGACTGTAATATGTAGGAGAAGAGTATTTTCGATTGAATTAAGTCTTAGAAATTAATATATCAGATGAAGAAGCCATCTCGTATTTCGAGAATGATCCAAATATTAAGTTTGTTAGGTAGCTAGATGAGGAAACATTCGTACAAATAGCAGAAGAATAAAGTATTTAAAGAATTTCTCATTAGATATTAAAAAGTTACTCTAAATACATGATCATATATTGAAGTTGCAAAACTTTATAAAGGAGATGTTTGAGGCTATCCTCAAATTTAAAAAGATTATTAAAGCCTCCTATTAAATGAATCAGTAAGGTCAACTTAATGATGCAATTAGTTGTATTGTAGATCAAACTTAACAATTGATGAAGTTTTTATAAAATTCATGTCTTTAGTTGTGAACGAGCCACCTGCTACATTGTTGATGAAACTAAAGGGGAAATTTGGTCCAGAGTTGCTCAAGGAATAAATTCCATAATCCGTATGCCAATAGACCAGGGTGTAGCTGGCTTTGTTGCATTCAGAAAGGAATCTGTCAACATTCCCAATGCTTATGCAGATGATAGGTTTAATAGAGAAAGTGATCTGATTAACCATTTCAAAACATAATCTATATTAGCTGCTCCCATCATCGGAGATAATAATTAATGTCTGGGTGTGCTTCAGTGTTTAAATAAGAATTAAGGAGTGTTTACTAATGAAGATTCGGCATATCTAAAATACATTTGCAATTTTAGTAAAGCTGTTTTAAATCATTCTCTTAATTAAAATCAAGTTGAATCTACCCAAAACAAATTGAGACATGTAATTAAATACTTTTTAGATATTATTTAAATTGAAGATCCATGGAAAATAATCTCTATTACAGAAAAAGTATTGAAAAAAATAATGAATTGCGAAGAGGCTCGGTTAGTTCTTAAATCCAATGAGTCTGTTTATTATATGAAGTATGGAATCTAATAAGAAACTACTGAGTTTTTGGGCATATTCAAAAAGGTGATTGACAGTCAATGTAATGAATCAACTTTGAACAATAATTCTAATCCATTTTTCGATCCAACTTTAGATATAGACACATAAATGCCAGCCATTACGATGCCTATTAATAAGAACTCTGCATTCCAAGTATTAAACTTAAAAGGAGTCAATAAAAAACAATCTTAACAGTAGTCAATTTATCTTTTATATTCATAGGTCTCACAGTGCCTTTGTGTCTGGTCTAGAATTGGAGATGTTAGAATATATTAGATCAATCTTGTTCATTAAATTAAAATGATAGATTTTTATTTAGGCTTAAATATTCAATTATAAAATTTAAATTTTTATATTAGTTAATATCGAAGGGTAAATCACTCAGTAGGTTTATATCTAGCTTTTAGTTGCTTAGGTTTTTCATCAGAATGAATATCCTATTTCTAATCATTGGTAATACCTTTAAAATAGATGAATAGAAGATTGTGTTGGTATTCTAATTGTTATTGACTTTTTATAGTAATTATATAAACTTAGTATTATTGTTAACTAGTATTAGAAAAATGGACATAAATACCTTAATCTGGTAATTAGTTTATTTTTTATACTGAACTTTCCAATAGATCAGTAAATAGTTTAGATAATTTTTTCTTAAAAGTCAAATCTTTCATTTTTTTGGTAAGACTACTTTGTTCACACTATTGGGGAAGTTATTTAACTATTGTAAAATATAATTATATACATTATTCTTAGATTTCAAATAAAGTACCCTCAAAAGATTTTAACTTCTCGCTATATTTATTTATTATGATTTTGAAAGGAGCCACATCCATCTAAGTGATGATATTATCAACGTTCTCCATGATATCCTTTTTAATGTTTTAGAGATCATTTATTTATTGATTAACAACTGATTTAAAGCTATTGAGATTAATCTATTGAGGAAGATCATTAGAAATACTTAAAGAACCTTGACTTTTTGTTGATTATTTATCAAATAAATCATTTAGAAGTGTCCTACTTATTATTTGTAGTTCATCTAAGATTTTATTAACTTATTGTCTAGGATTATCATATGTCATAGATTATTGTTGTATTACTTTTAGAAATTACATATTTTAACTGATAACATCTCCAACCTTTACAATAAAATCTTTTAACTCCTTCTTTTTTATGATCCCATCGGATTAGGTTTAGATATTTGAGATGTATTAAAGTTCTTTAGATGTATTTTATGTAAATGTCTGGAATTCCTCATGTTCTTCATCTTAACCAAATGTAAGCATTTTTCTCTCGAAATCATTATAACGTATAGGCACTCCAAATTGAATGGCATAGTCGATCGCGCATTTACTGCACATTGATTATTAATTGATTTCGTATTTCAATTTCTTTTTGTGTTATTGGCAAGAATTCATTTTTATTTCAGTTGGCTATTCCTCTTATTTCTATTTAAGAAACAAACTTATAACACTACTTTTGGCAACATTTGGAGTGATATTTCTATCTTACTTGATTAAATGATTTTGGAGAGTTGCTTTAAGATAAGATGGTTTAACAACATTTTCTTTATTTCCTCTATTAGGGGATGGTTCAGTTGTAAATCTCAAATCTTTAGTCTGAGATGAACAACTAAACTCTGTTTTTAAATAACTATTAGATGGTTTGCGAGTATTCGTATTTTGAATTTGATTCTTATGCATATATGTTAAAAATTAATTTAGAGAAAATAAGTTTTTAATCTACCAATAATGAAAAATACATCTATATACAAATTAGTATCACTTTTCTTGTGTGTAACTTTTGTCTGACTCTTATTTGTTGTCTTTTTGACACTCTCATTAGCCTCCAATTCACTTAATAATTTATCAACTTGATTTTGATTTATCTAATCTAAGCTGAATAAAAAGCTTCATAGCATCGTTGTTTCAACATAACAAGTTCTCTTTTTTTCAATTGAGTCGAAGTATGCATTTTTATTCTTCTAAAGTAAAATTGTTACCAATATCCTCGATTTTATTAAACCTGATCAAGTTTCGTTATCATAATCATAATTTTTGGATCATTGCATTCATAATATGAAATTGGCAATTAATCATAAAGGTCAATTTACATATTTTTAACATAAGAAATAAATGTGCCATTATCATGCATTGTGATAAGTTCCCTTTTTTAGGAAATTTTTTTATAAATAGAATAGTATAGTTGTTTTTACCTAATAATTATTGTTCTCATGTTTGAATAGTTGTAGCTTTACCCATTAGTTTATGACTCGATGAGAAGGATTATCAAGTAGTACCTTTTTTCTTTATAGGCCTTTATAGAGTTTCATAAATTAAATTATATCTCAGAATTTAATTTATAAATCGTAAGAAGACATCAAATTTGATGAAAACTTAGAATAAAAGGGTGCATTCAAGATATATATATATGAAAAATAAGAGAGGCAAAGTTTAAAAGGAATTGATGTAGTAATTTTATAGAGCTTTATAGAATGATTGTATTTTATGTTGATTTTACATAATCAATTTGTAATTTTGGATTAAACATCTCTCTTATATGAGGTACTTTGAGAACCTACTTGACTTGAGTAAATTCTGTAAACATCATCAAAAGTGTTTTATTCCTCTTGAAGAGTTTCACTAACTGATTTGAAGTGAGCCTCAGCACTAGCCAAATCCTAATTGTATTTATGGTACAAATACTTCATTAGCCAAATCAATAGAATTTTAGATTTTCTTTAATCTATCCTTGCAGGCAGCTGTAGCTTATAAAATAGTGATCAATTGGTTTTACAATTTTTCCTATTTAATGATTACTTAAATTAAATACCAAATTGACATCTTCAGCAGCTAAATGTCCTCTGAATGTTTCATTCTCCTTAGTTATCAAACCTTTAAAATCACTATATCCCATAGCTGAATTGACTTGATCATCTTATTTCTTTCCAAATGATCCTCTGACCTCATCTTCTAAGATATCCAAAAAGTTTAATAACTCTTATTATGCAACTGTGAATTAGGAGTAATCCTTTCCAGATCCCCCTTAAGCTGGAGCCTTTTGGCCTTTCTCAATAATTTTATTAAATGCTGCAGCTTCCTTTGCTAATTATTCATTGGTGGCCTTCTCTTCAGCCTCCAAAGGATGTTCAGGCACTGGTTTTTCTGGTTCATCTGTTTATTATGCTTCCTCTATTTCATGAGCAGCTGCATCTACTCCCTCTTCTGGAGCAGCAGAGGTTTCTACATCTTATTCAACCTCTTCAGTTTCAGTTACTGATGTTTCTTCAGGAGTCTCAGCAACTTCATCATAAACATGAGGTGGCTCATTGTCTTCAGATGTCAATTCGGGTTCTTCACCGTCATCAGCCAAGAAGGATTTGAGTTGAATGAATTAAGCAGATTACAATAGAGTGGGTAAATCAGTCTTATATTGCATAATGATGTACTTCTTTTGCATTTTTGACTGCTCTTCTGAGGAATGCTATTAAATTAAGAGTTTTCTTTGAATTCTTGATATCGTTAATGAAATTAGCATTTGATTCACATCTGTTCACATCCAATCTTTAGAGTCTTTCATTATTCTCTTTGATTCTCTTCTCAAGCCAATTAATATAGCTAAGAGTTATTCTAATGTCTCGTTCTTTATTTGCCCATTCTTAATCTCTTCTATTGCATTCACCTCTTTGAGTTGATGCCGAACGCTATAAGTCATTAACAATGTCTTGTTTTTGCTGATCGAAAGTCATATTATATACATTACATATTTTGTGGTTGCCCAATCACTCTCCAATTCTTACAATTGCTTGATTGTACCATTTTTTAAATCAGCAAGCATCTTCAACACAACATCTATTTCGTTTGATTGAGAGTATGCTGCTATGAGCAACAAAGCCATTATAGCAAAAACCTTCATTTTATTAAATTATCACACAAAAACGGTACATTTATATAGTTTTAATTTATATAATATAAAACCTTTAATCTATGCTTTCTCCTCTCGTAATATAATATTTTATGATTTAAGTAATCATTTTTACTATCTCCATTATTAAAATTATCATTAGCAAACCACTTTCTAGGACACACTGAATTTAGTTTAATATGATTAAAGTGTTTATTTTAATATGAATCACATTTTTTTAATTTAATTTCTATTTATTAGAATATTCATCAAGAATCGGTTTTATATCACTATAATAAAAAAAATGTAGTGTCATAATAACAAGCATTTTAAATATTTAATAAATTTTAATTCGTGCTTTATTTTTTTTAATTTCTAATCTGTGTTTAAATAAATAAATCCAATCCATATTTTTGTAAAAATAGTTTAAGACTATTTGGAAACTTTGAATTTAATGGCTTTTCAACTATTTATTTGATTGTGACATTAACACATAAACAACTTAATTTAAAGTTAATGTTCTTCAATTTTTCTAAAATCAGAGGTTCCTTAATTCATTTTAGCATTGAGAACACATCAAATATTACGATTTGAAGCAATCTAAAATAATAAGTCTTTTTAAGATAAAAGATGAAAATGAAAAAAAATAAGTACGTAATTCAGGATTGTGAAATATAATTATAATAAACATAATCACTCTTAATCATTGAAGAGGGATACATTGATTTGAATTAGATTTTGTAGTATTATCTGAAATAACTTTACTTTTGAATTTTCTTCTTGTCAATAATGTACTCTAAGAAATATCTTCAAGTTTAACTGAATATCTATAAAAAAAATTCTTCTTCATCTTTTTGTTCTGGTCAAATTTGCTCGTTTAAGATTCTGTTTAATTAGTAATGATTGGTTTTGCGATTGAACAGCCCATAATTGATTTAATTATTGAGATTTATTACTTTTTAAACTAAAACTTAAACTGGATTAATCAGATAAGCCCATTTAGAACAATATTTAATAGGAAGCCAAGACAAAAACGTAATGATTCATAACAAAATACTCTTTGTAATATTTATATTTGCATCTGATAAGACTTTCAAGTGATATATACTGATATTTATTATAAAGAAAAGAATAAATTTATAGAAAGAGTATTAAATACCTCTTAATCAAGCAATCAGTGGTTTTTCAGGAAAGAATATATGCAAAAAATTGATTTCTTCAATTTAATCTTGAACCCATTCTTTCATTGTAACTTTTATTCAAGCCTATTATTATTTTAAATATAATACAGACCTATAGAAACAATCTAGAAAAAATCATCCAACTCAATTTTGAAGGTAATCTATCTGTTGAAAGAATTTTCTTAAATTTAAGTCCTTCTTGGAGAAAATTCAGTCATTTATTTTAAAATAATATACTTTAAAAAAATCATTCTTTGATGTGCGAAACATTTTATAAAGAAAATTTTCCAAGAATCAAGAATTCAAGGAATAATGAAATTAATTTCACATTCTTGAACGATTATAAATTAACAAAGGTACTTAGAGTCTTAGATTTACGAATAAAATATAGGCTTTAAGATATTACTTAATGCTCTGTCTCAATCATTATTAAAAAAAATAAAATAATCTATATTTTCATAATACATACTTATTCTTATTGAATATTCACTTTAAGATAACAAGGTAACATATTTTATTAAAAATTATCTTCATATCTCAAAAAGAATTCCTGAGCATAATATTTAAGATAAATTTTAATTTTAATATTTCAATGTTTAAATAATTTTAATAAGGAACATGGAAATAATATATCACTGTCTAAATATGCTTACCCAAGATAAAAAGCATTAAAGTGGAATGTGATATGTTATCTGTATCTTATCATCTAGCACTCCCATAACACGTAACATAATATAATAAAGTAAACCAGAAACCAAGCAATTACTTCAAACCAAGTATATACAGCATAAACAGTATTAACCAACATTTCCTATATCATAAATATTATCAATGCTCTTAAATATTAATGATTTCTTACCTCCACCAATAATCCTTGGCCAAAAAACACTGGATTTTATTTTTTTTATCTATTTAAAAAAATAAGTAGATAATAATGAAATCAAATGTTAACATGATATAGACTATTTCAAGATGAAGAAATGGAAATCTAAAAATTACATAGATTGATAAAAAGGTTCTAGTAACGGAATGAATCATCTATTAACTTTGATAGTATATCAACAAATACATATAATAAATAATTATATGGTGGAACCTTCCAATCGTCCTGCTTAAATTAAATTTACACAAGGCAATATAGGTAAAAGAAGATGAATATGATGTCAAAAGGATATCTAATTAAATCAGCAATGTTCTTTCCAAATTTCAAAAGGTACAGTAATAATAATATCCAAAGTGAGAATATGTTCTGTAGAGCAAGCATTATTATATACATTCCTTAGATATTTTTGATCTTTTTTATAAATGAATTTCTACTCTTTCCCAATCCATATCTGATTCTTCTATCATCTATTTTAATAATTTAATAGTCTTTTCTTCCTTGTTGTCTAATTTTATTTCTTCAATAGCCTGTGGCTATTAAGGCTAAACTTCAATCATACTTTCTTCCTATTCATCACTTCTATCCATTTAATTTATTAATTAATCCAACTAAATAAATAAATCGAATTATAATAAGTTCAATATTTCAAGTTAAAAAAATAAAGCATTTACTCTCAATTAAAGCAGAATCAAGTATTAATATATCATAATCAATTTAATCTTCGACATTTGAGAATAAATGAATATAATTCATCTTATATTTTTAGATATACAAAAAATAGTAGTAATTATATTATTTAATAACGAATAAATTTTATAGATTAAAATATTTAAGGAGACCTTCAATGTTATAATGTGTCTTTAGTACATGAAGAATTCAATAATTTATTCTAAAATATAATTTATAAAATTACACTTGATAGATATTAATAATCTAACAAACTTGAATATAGACCTGAAGTGTATATGGTAGATTAATTAATTTTCTTATAAATCTATTATAATTCTTGTTTATTCTTTAGGTTCGTTATAGATGATTTAACACTTGGCCCAACCTGATTATGATAAATGTTTTTTTACATCGAATTCATCTGATTATCTTGATCTATGTAGTTGAAAATCAGGTTTTTATTAGTCATCAATTAAGTTTAAAAGATTCTTATGACTCATTATTTAACTATCATTATTAATTCGTAATCTTTGAATGGGAGTTTATTGAGGGCTTGATTGAATTTAGTTTTTTGTTCCTTTATTGTGTTATTTTCTCGTTGATTTTGCCATTAACTATCGTTAGAACTCAGTTAAGTTTTTTACTTACTGTTGCAAACTGGTTATCAATTGATTTTTTTCTGCTAATTCTTTTTAGTATTGCAGTATTTAATTTTAATAGTTCGAAATATTATCATGAGCAATCATAGCATTAATTTATAAATTTGAAACACTTTAAGAGTGTTATTATCGAGAATTTTATGATTGCCTTGACCCACTTAAATTAAACTCATTTTATTGATTAAGATCCCTTCTGCTGGATAGTCCTTTTTCAAATTATAAAGTCTAGGTTCCTGTTACATTTAATTACTCTTTGATTTGTTCATTTTCCTCAATCAATTTAGTCAATGTAGAATTAAGCTTTTTATAAACACAAATAAAATACTTTTTATATCTAAATTTTTAATTATGCTATCTCTTTTAGATATTCCACTCCATTCTCCTAAGCTTGCTTTAATTCGTTATCTTTGAGTGAAATTCTATTTTACAATAGTTTTAATTCACTTAATAATTTTTTATTTTCCATTTCTGATTTATTATATAGACTTTAGAGATCCACATTATTCTATTGTAACTATTAATGATAACGGGATAAATATTGGTTATTCTGTTCTGAGAAGTGTAATGCTTGTTGTAAATCTATATTGGATTAATAAGCATTGTTTTATTAATGTGTATTCAGAAGCTTTTCAGGACTGTAGAGTGGTTCAAATTAATCGAAGTTTTTAGTGGATGCAACCTTTTTGACTTCCAAATTTTCTGCTGAAGTTAATGATGATCTAACATTTATTAGAAAAATTAAATACCGAAGAGATTTTGGCATAATGTAATAGTTATTTGCTGGAACGACTTCTGATGGAATCTTGGTATGAGACTATCTCTTTTACATTATTATTTATTTATTTTTATAAAAAAAACTATAAAATAAATCAAATAGATGATCAAATTATTTATTATTTTAAAATAAAAGTTCTTACGTCATGCAATTCATGAAATTACTGTTTCTATAATAGGGATTTTGCTAATAGCATAAAATTTTTATATAAAAAAAAAGAAAATTCTTTATGTCTATTTTTTACAGATTTTTAAGCCCATTTATCAAATTCACTTAAGGAATCATCAAAATCGAAATTTGAAAATTTGGTTACAAAATTATTCCTTAATGTTGGTTCCCCAGGGAATGTGAGAATAAGATGCATTAGCAACACACCCAAAGCTTAAAGACTTTATTATTTATATTGAGGTTAATCCTGTTTGAATTATTTTTGCATTTCTTCAAAATATAGGTATTAATGATTCAAGTCTGCCAACATCACCTCATTTATAAAAGAATAGAATTACTTAGATATCCCCAGTGATACTTTAAGTCACCATAATGCTCTCTGGTTTAAGATCTCCATGAATTATTTGTTTCTGTTGCAAATACTCCAAACCACTTATTATTTGGCAGATTATTTCAATAATTAACTTGCTCTTTTACTCAATTGGCATGGGATTCATATAAAAATAAGAAAAACTCAATAGGTTTTTAGTTTGTGAGATATATCCTGGATAGATGCAATATTCAATTTGAGTGTATAGGAATATTTGTTAGTTTTTTTATTCAAGCCACCAGTCATAGTGTCTTATAATGTTTGGATGTGAAATGCTTAAAAGAATACGTGCTTCTTGAATTGTTAAGTTATCTTAATTAAAACTTTTAGTATTAAATATATCTTAAAATGTAACATTAATAGGTATGTCTTACAATTAAATCTATAATTAGGTTGTTTTTTACTCGTTTAACAAAATAAATTTAATCATCCATTGGCTTATAGACATGATAAGTTGTGCTTTATTTCTGTTGATCAAATTCTTCATTTAAGACAATAAAATCATTTTTGAATCTATTGTTTCTTAAAAATTAGTTTTTAAAATCTTATTACACAATTATTTCTTTCTAAATGTTTATATTAAAAAAGGAGAGAGTCAATCTAGCTCTCTAATTTTTTTGTTCGATTGATATTTTCTTATTTATAAAACTATCAACTAAAGATTTTTTGATAAATATGAAAGCTGTCGACTTGATTTGTAATGTGGATGTTATGAATCCAATGTTGATATCTTAGTAAAAGATTTTAAAGAGACTTGATTATTAATTCTCTATTAAAAAATGAATCGTACTTTAAATTCTTAGACTGATTAGAAGTAATTGGTCTCTTGAGTAAGTCTTTTCTTAATGGCTTTCTTTATAGCTTTGACAACCATTGTGATATGCCTAAAAAATGGATCATCGCTAGAAAAATTAATCGTAATCAATGAAATAACAAGCAATTATTGAAACTAATTAAAATCATCGGAAAGTATGAAATCATTCTTCTCTTTTAAATTTTCTTCCTTTTTCTATAGAGATAAGTATTACAAGTGTTAACATGATTTTGTTCTTATCAGTGTTTGGTATGTCCACTTTTTCATTCTGCATTTCATCGAAAACCTCTTCAATATAAAATTTGCTAGACATCAATTCATCAAATTACTAGATAAGATTGTAAACAATTATTTTACTTCTATGCTACTATACTATTACATTTTATATTATAAATATTATTTAAATATATATATAAAATACATAAATTAAATTCAAATGCTCATTAAACTTCTTCTACTATTATTATTATTCATGTTGTCCGTTGAAAATTAATCTGGAATCCAAAGCACCAGATTTCTACAGCCACTAGCCATTAATAAATGTGTAGGACAGAATTTAACAACTTTACATCTCTTTTGATGACCCTCCAATCTAGTTACCTAATTCCCATTTGGAAGACTCCAAATATGTATAGTTCCTGTTTCACTTCCACTTATTACATAATTGCAATCAGGAGTAAAGCCAGCCTCTATCATAGATCCCTAATTGCTGAAATCACTTAATTCACAAATCTATTTATAAATTAATTATTTACTGTATCTAATGTATAAGCATCTAATATAAGTATTGCGCCATCTCCAGTAGAACATAAAATAAATTTGTTGTTATTACTAAATTTAATACACTTCACTTGACTACAATTAATCTTTTTGGATTAAAATGATCCAGAATGATATTTTTTAAAATCATATAAGTATAACCAATTATTTGATATACAATAATATTATTCCAAAAACACTACCGCAAATACTTATCCTGATGGATCAAATGCAGCTACACAGAATGTTTTTTTAGCAGATAAATCTAATAAACCATCGGATGTTTAGTATTCTGATGCTAAATTCCATAATCTTAATGTTCCATCCATACTACAACTTAAAAAATCATCTGAGACAGGTGATAAATCTAGCCAATGTATCCTATTAGATAAGTAATTCAATTAAAATTTACATGTTCGTATGTCCAGTAAACTTCTTCAAAATTTAATTATCGTGTAATGACCAATAATATATGTCATATGGCTCCTTTTTTGTTACACATAACACACATGAATTATGATGAGTAAATCTTACAAGATCTATTTCCTTCACCTTGTTGTATAAAGTTCTCATTTTCCTATTGATCAAAAACTAATATACTTTCCCTAATGGACATCATACACATTTAAAGCTTAATCGTCACAAGAGACCAAATATTACCCGTCTTTTGAAAAATCAATAGCATTTATATCTTTTTACTAAATTTAGAATTCAAACTTACGTGGTCTTTGAAGATCTTGCACATTTTCATCGCTTGCAATTATTCATTAGTGATCTCTACTTCCTATTCTTCTTGCATTATTCTAATAATATAAATTTATTATAATATATATTTTCAGATATAGAAATTTTTAATCATTAATCTCATATAATGAGATTCCATTATTCATCAACTTGATAAATGATTATTATGTATATATATATATCAGATATTGCCACATTAACATCAAACAACATTCAGACGGTAATTCCATCTACAATAAATTTCATCACAAAATAAAAAGTTAATTAAAATAAATATATGAAAATATCAATAAAAAATCCGCTTTTATACATAAAAATTAATAAAAAAACAAAAGAAATAAATAGTTACATCAGCAACACCCTCCTCCATTATTTCTATTCTGGGTCTAATTCTATTGTTGCTAATTTAGATTATTATTCTAATTTTAAGGCTGTTACTATTTCATATTCATGACCTGCTCGCAAATTGAAATGAATAGCCTATCCACATTTTCAGATGTTTTCGCTGATGTTTCCAGAAATTAAGCATTAAATTATTTGGCTTTCTCTTAACCCTCCTGCTTGCTTATTTTCCTTTTATTTGGTATATCAGCTTTATTGCCAACTATTAATTTTTAAACTGTTTTTCTCCCAAACCTTTGTTAATGGCTTAAGAATCAATACTTGTCAATGTCCTCTATCCAACTATCGACTGCATCAAATGTAGATCTTTCAGTCACATCATAAACAATCACAACTCCATGGGCATCTCTATAGTAATTATTCGTCAAAGCCTTAAATCTCTCCTATCCTGCTGTGTCCCACTTAAATAATTTTGTATAAATACAATTTGCAATTTCACATCTTAATTCCCTATTTTGATTACCCTAGTTTTCTCTAAATAAAATCTATTTATACAAAATCTACACCAATCGTATTGTAATATTGTGATGTAAAATAATTTTCAGAATATCTCATTAAAATACAAGATTTTCCAACATTGCAGTTCCCCACTATAACAACCTTTATTAGAGTATCGCTATTAATCTGATTAAATATTACTAAGTATTGGAATTTTTATTCATTCAACAATTATGAAAAATAAATAATCACTAAACACATAAGCATATATTTTAATTAAGATAAATCTGATATACTTTCCATAAAAACCTAGAGCAATTTTGTGGCACATCTTTATCAAGAATTTAAGGCTAAAATAGAGTAAGGATTTGCGATTAAAAATATATCTACAATTCTTAACATATTTTAAATAAATTCAAAACTTTTAGACTAGAGACTTACTGAAGAGTTCATAAACAAGAAAAGTAATGCTGTTAGAAGGTAAAACTCTAATTAAATCTGGTATTGAGACCATTTAGTAGAATCCTTTGATTGAGTCTTGTTCATAAGATGGCTCTGCAAAGTGTCTATAATTCTTAATTCTCGAGCGTGAATCCATTTTTATATATAGTTTTATATATCAAATATATCTTGTTCGAATTACTACATGAGGAATATGTTGCGAATTACAGCAATAGGCTAATTGCATATTTATATATTATTTTTACATTTAGATAGTATTGAAGCTTTTAAGAATATCTAAGGGAGAAAGTTAACCATTCTAATCTGTGTAATCTGATTTCAGCTTTTTCATAAAATTGGAAATTAAATTAGCAACGTGAGACAACCCTAAAACTGTAGCACCCAAACTCCTTATATAATGCAAAGAATCCTTCCTAAAATTAGCAATTTAAAATATACTTCCTTGTACATTGTAAGAAGTCCTCCAAATACTGATTTATATTTAGCATTATTATGATCATGCAAATATTAGGTTTACATTCTAGTTCTAATCAACTATTTACACTTAAACTAAAAATATACCCAAAGTGGATTGGTTATTAAATCACATAAAAACCCTGTTAAGACAGTTGCTGCAGCATGGTTATAAAAACCATAGATTTTATATTTAATTTCCAATATTTCCTTGTTCCATTTGTACAAAGGAAAGAAGAGAGAATGAAAGAGTGGATTTGCAATGGCAGTTGCTCGGTAACCTGTTGTAAATTTAAAATGCATGGATTACCTTTATAATAACCGGAGAATCCTTCTTCTTTGAATATTACATAGAGTGTGTTAAGAAATCCGCTGTATTTATTAACAGATTTAGTAGCATTCTTAATTTGTATATTTTGCATACCTATAAATTTAATCTACTTCTAGCTACTTCTAAAGGATGGCACACAGTCACACTAATAAATCCACCGATTAAGCCTGCAATAAAATGATTCCAATATAGATTTCTTTATTTATCTAAATTCATTTTATTTAATATTATTTTTTTTCAAAATATGAATATGAATGACAGTTTTTTTGACAACATAGAAGTTGTGTATGAGAAGCTAACTACATATAATAAACCGTAAACTATTTGCAAATCCTTGGAACGTTCATTCGCAATGTGCAGCAATCCACCTAAGTATGTATGCCATTGAAATTTATAATTTCAGCAAAATAATATAGCAGCAAACTTCATTTCAGAATGACAATGCTATGTCTAGACACTAATCATATAAATTAGATTACTTGTTAAAATAATAAACCAAAAGCTCATAAAATAATACTTAATCTAAAAGTTATCGTAGTATAATATAATAAGATTACAATACTAACAATATAAGTTAGAATCCATAAAGTACAAGAGTAATATTGATTTAGAAACCTATATGAAGCAATAGATGAGACTAAAAATAAACTTAGAAAACGATGCCTATTAATCGAATTTAAGACACAAAACTTCATCTTCACATAACACTACAAATCCATACTAGGCATCTTTAGCTACTTTAATGAAACAGCAAGTAATTTATGATATAAATCGTAAAAGATGCAAAAATAATAGCAAAGTTTTGCCAATATATGCAAGACCTTGAATGACGAGCCAAAACCGCGAATTTCTGCCACACACAGACAATCTATTATTCCTCAAAAATTGACTCAGAGATAGGACTCTGTTAGTAATAGAAGATCGAGTAATTCTGTATATATGCAGGAATTTAGAAAGGTTTTTAGCAAAAGTAAATATAGTTTTCACAATAATATTTGAATTTAATATATTTCTCCATTTCAATAATAATAAAGTCAATGGCTTTTTAAATATTGTTTAAGTTATAGATCAAATTATTTAAATATTTCTAATATATTATTTCTCAATCATGCCAAATATATAAATAAACTCATATCATTTTGATCTCTTTGTAAATACTCTTTTTCTGTCAATACTTCAATTTACTATTTAATATCCACAGCTTTAAGTGGTAAACCCAAATCTTTTAAAACTAAATTGACTATTTCTTAGAGTGTGTGCTATTTGTCCCGTTTCATTATTTTAACTATTGAGGCATCAATAACATATTTTCGATCATGCAATAACTTCTGTGTATTTTCTTCAATTTCTTCTTTTTTCTCTATCTTTTACATTTAATTAATCTTAATGTGAGTTTTCTTACTTTCAAATTCATGATTCACTGAATACACTCCTTGGTTTAAAAGTAATATTTTCTCCTTTTCAAGTGGAATCAGATTTCTGATTATTTCATCTTTGGACAATCCACTAAGCTGAATAAAGTCCGAAGCCTTGTAAGATTTCTATTTGTTGAACAAATCTAAAATCATAGCTTAAACAACGGATACTATAAAGATGTACTAATTTATGAATTGTAATTTTTACCTTCTTGAAACCTTTAACAGAGCAATTGCTGCACTCCAACATCCAAAATAAGATCTTCTACTTAAAATCTTATTTTTTATCTTCTTGGAAATATTCTTATTATTCTTTCAAAAAGAATTTTGGAATTTAATCTTATTTTAAAGTCCAAGAATTTTAGGAAATAACAACTAGTTTTACTTCGACTCCCGCATGCTAAAATTGATAACATTTTTTATATTCTTTAAGAACTTCCTCAGCTTTTCTTACATACTAATCTCCACACTATTATTTTAAATTTATTAAGATTTCTGTTTCCAATTCTTAAGAGATGGATAATTCCAAAAGCAATCTTCTTGTCATTCTCTAAGTGTAAAAGTGTTCAAATATATCTTTAGCTGAAAAATAAGGCATAAGTTGTAATGATTACTTTATCCTCTCTTTAACTTTTTCAAAATCTTTATTTTCTTACTTTTTGATTAGAAGTTAATCAAAATAAGACGATAATTATTCAGACAACCAATTTACTTTAATTTGAATGGCTGATTCAATAGCACTAGATAAACTTATTTTAATTTTTTCATTACTATTGAAAAGATCTCTAAGTTTTTGCTCATAATACTCTTTTTTGTCAAATATACAAGAGATTGTTTATTATTTATCTTCATTATTTATCACTTTAAGCAGATCCTAATATACAGCATCATATCTAAATAAATTATATTATTATATACATCTTCCCCTTCAAAATATTTCCATCTATTATTTCATTTAATTCATAAAATATTTTCATGTAAGGCACATTTTCAAGTTAGATTGGGCTATCAGTAAGAATTTTAAAAACCATTTTATTAAATTCTTCTCTCAAGGATATACTTAATTAGGTATCATTGAATAATTCAATTATCTTCTCTTCTATCAGATATTATTAATATATTTATTCAATCGAGGTGAACTTAATATAAAAGGGTATTGATTTTTCCAAAATGGTCTATTTAAACTCTTAACAAAATTAGGTGCATTTAATAAATTGTATCAATCATAATAGTTTATCATCAATACCACTTTAACGCAATGTTAAAAACGATCTTAGAAATAGAGGCAATACTTTATTTTTGTTTGCGTAAATTTAATCTTAGTATATCTAATTTAGCAGCTTATTAATGGATTATGTTTGGAATGACTCAATAGTCTTGAAAATTTAATCCATCAACTTAATTATGTTCTAAATTTATAGGTGCTATTATATGATTTAAGAGCAATCTTGAAATACTAGCTTATTTTAAGTATATTATTGAAATTCTTTTATTATTAGATTTAATATTTGTTAATTATTCTGCTCATTTTGCTTCAACTTTTAGTAATAAAATAAATATGGCTTTGATATAGGATTTTTATTGATTATATTTATCATTAATTAGTGGAATTCTTCAGTGTGGTAATTTTCAGCTATCATTTATTTTAATTATTTAATAAAATATATTAAATATTTTATTAGTAAATGCTCTAAATTGTCTTGATCACAAATTGAAACTGAATTTGGTATATTAAATAATAGGATAAAGAATATGATTTTTTAAAGTTTGATGAAATTTAATGTAAAACTAACAATAAATAATTTTATATTAATATCAATTAAATAATGAAGAGGTAAAAGAAATCAACAACAGCAGTTGATATTTACTATTTGGAATGTCTCATTAACAGACTCATACGATCAAACACAAATAATTCCATTCATCCTCAAAATCTAAAACATCATGTCGAGACACAACTAAACCTTCCTAAAAGAACTACGTTACGTAAGTATGATAATGAATAAATTTAGATAAATATAAAAAAGTAGTAATTGAAAAAAAAATATAAGAAAGTTATTTATTTTAAAAGAAGAAATTGAACGTACATACAAGAACTTTCTATGAGGGCTAAAGCAGAAAATTAAATAAAATAAATATGGATGATTAAATAATATTAAATTAGAGAAGAAATTTATTAAGATAGATAAAAAATTAAATGATGTTTAATAGATAA